AATGAATGCAAATAATACCTGCATTCTGTACACAGGAGGAAAAAGAGGATATGCAATTCAAGGGTTTTTTTTTTATAAAAAATACTGGATAAGCATTTTGTCTCTAAAACAGCTCTTTCTGCTGTCACCCTCCAAAAATTGCCCCTAGTTCCTCTTAGTTGCCCTGTAGAGTCTTCCAGTAAAGGCACCTCTGAGTTAAAATTACATTGTAAAGAGAGAGAAAAAAGAGAGTGGGTTATTTTTCCTTCCCATTATAAACTGAACAGAAATATTTATATATATCAACTTTTAAAACTATTTTCATTGCTATGCACTCCTTTTAGGTTTCCATTATTTACAACCATCTATAAGATCTGCTATGAGGGTCTACCAATTCAGGATTTCATCGCGTGCCTGCAGAACCACCCAGAGCACCTTTAGAGATCCCCTCTCCTCACCTGGTTGCAGTCTCATCTTCCCAGGACTTCTGTCAACTCCACAGCAAATAAAGTAGAGGAACAGGCTGTGTGGCAGTGCTTGCTGTAAAAGCAACAAAGAATGTATTTACATATTCTCATTCTGGGGGGAAAAATTGCCTTTAAGTTTAATGCTATACCCAGCAGGAAATGAATGTAAAATTTAACAGTATTTGAGTTACTAATGTGGCCTTTCCTACACTTACCTTCTTGTCAATTGAAAACAGTTTCCATTGTAAGGAACTCAGTCCAGCTCATGTGAAGCTCGACATTTTGCCTACTAATATTTCTTACAGAACAGCACAAGATGATACAGAAAAACTGAAGGACTCATCCAAACAGACAAGCTATAGTACAAAACAAAAGGTGTGACAGCAGCAAAACGCAATCACACGGGCAAATGTTGAGTTTCCGTAATTCCCCTCAAGCACAAATAACATTTTATACTTTGTGTCATGCATTCCTTCCTGGATTTCATTTCCCAGTGTAGGCTTTTTTTTGAAAAAATGGGCATCGTCACTGTGCTCAGACACACATGAATGTTCAGCTGATGTAGATATAAAACAGCTTTAGGGGCAGGTCAAAGGAGAGAAGAGGGTTTTCTTGCAGGGGAATGTTTGCTTCAAATTCAGGAGACTAAGAAACCTCAGCAGTAGCCTAACCTTTGTTAAACTTACTGTACTCCATTGAAATGCAGATAAAACAGTGGGAATAACCAAATACATTTGTGTTAGGGTCAGGATTTCTCAGCAAGTCATTGTCATAAATCGGTAGAAGCTGAGAGGGAAGAAGTGGAGGTTGACCGGGAGGGTGTATGCGCAGCTCAGCCTGCAGCTTGTGCAGTGCTGCTGTTCTGAGGACACAACCAGTAACAGTGAAAACCCCCCTGTGATACTTGACTTTTTATACATGCATGAAAATGACCGCTGCAGATGCACAGAAATGCTGTAAAACTTGCATCTGACGCTGGGTTGCATTTTAACTCTGCTGGGAAGAGCCACTGGGCTGATACCGGCACAGCTTCCCACGTTGTCCCAGGCTGCAGAATAATGCCTGACCCTGCTGTAGCTTAAGCACCGCATCTCACAGCTGGGGAGAGGGGATCTCTCTCCCCTCCTGAATTTTAAACACAAACTGGTTCATAGAGCAGGGGTGTTGTTTTGCTACCGCTGGCGCTAATTTTAGAACATATTAAATATTTTTAAACCTCATAGCTGCACTTGGGTAACTTTACATACCTGGTGTTTTTCACAGTTAAAACCATCTATAGAATGAACAGTGCACATTTTATAAGCTTTGATACCCTTTTGAAAGAGTCCTATTTTGAGACAAGGTAAACAAAAAGGAAGAGTAACCTACTTACGCTTCGCTTTATCCGATTTTCCAGAACAGCAGAAAGGAAGGCAAGTGGGGTTTTTTAATCTCTCTATGTATTTGCTGACATATTGCTTAGGGGAAAGAGAAAAAGCAAAAAAAAAAAGCTAGATTATAAAATCATCTTTACTCTGCATTTTAGAGGAGTGTTGTTATCTCTTTCATGTTTATCAGAGTAATATATATAAATGTACTGTAATTATAAATCTATTGTAAGAAGCTCAGTCTGCCAGCTAGGTCGGGTACCAGAAACTGCAGCGGCATTGATCCCTGCTGCAGAGCAGTGAAGGCAGCTCTGCGTCCGGTCGCAGCCACTGCAGGCAACACCACCATTCCTTCTGCTGAAGTGGGAACCATAGCCAAGTTCTTTATACAAAACTGGGAATGATGATCTCTCATTCCAAGTTGATAAAGACTTGAATATTACGTAATGTTTAAGCATCAAATACGCATAAATGGGATAGAGAATTCAGGAACCTCCCCTCTTCGCCTGCAGGCTGAACTTCTGATAAGTCATGTATGAGCTAATAACAACACAGAACATTTCAAATTCAAAGTTTATCAAATAACGATTTAATAAAGTGGTAATTATGCAGACTTAATGTCATTTCATGTTTCAAAATTCACTCAAAAATGACTGTTGCAATAGTGGTCCTTTATTGTGTTTATTCCTGTGGTTAATAATTGTCAGCTCAAAGGAAAGCACAAGAAGAATCAATTTTCTAAAGACATTTTATTGATGAACATTTTTCCCTTCTCTTGAATTAGATACTTTTTTTAAACAGTAAAATAAGGAAATTTTTACTCCATAAATAACAAAAATTAGCCCTTATATCTCAATCCCATCAAAATCTATGTAAAATAGTTTGTTCTGTATTTACATTCTGTACTAAAATAGGAAACACATGTTCAAGGTCAGCCAGTTCTCTCACGACAGTTGTTTTATCTCCAAGGTAAGCTTCACATTAGAAAGGCAACATTTGTGTTTTGGAAGTCTGGTAGTATAAGATCACATTATTCAGCTTACAAATAGACCCAAATTCTGAAGACTGTTGCATCTTGCAGGGGAAAGACCATGACCTGCTCAGCCAGCTGAAAGTCACACCTAGGAAGTTCTCTGTAATTAACCTACATACAAAGTCATGACAGTCTCCCAAGATCTCAACTTGTTTCAAGAGCAATGGGTTTCCAGCTTTTCAGTGTGATTTTACTTGCTGTATGTTCCTCATCATAATTATTTGAAACATTAGAAAAATGTCTTCCTAAAATATGATTTGCCTCAACTTCTAATTGAGCCACTACAGATTGGAACTACGGGGTTAAAGAAAAAAGACTGCAAGACTAATTTACTTCCATGAGCAAACACGGAGTGTTTTAAAAAACTAAACTTGTGGGCATTACACACTGAACATGTTTCTGCTACAGACAAGGTAACTCCCTCATCTCTGAGCACCATCTCCAGGGCTCCTGCTGCCCCACCTGCACTGGTAAACACACAGAGGAGTGTTTGGGCTGTATTTCAGAGTTTTCACACATCAGAGATGCATTAGGATGGGCTTGCCATAATAGGGGTCAGGACACCTAAAGTAGTTGCCTGCAAGCTTTGTATTTATTCAAAGCCAATATTGACTTTTACAGGGCAAACTATGCTTAAGGCTACATAACTGATTAGTTTAAGCTACAGTTGTAGCTGTGTTCTACAGTCAGAAATGGCTTATGCTTCCTACTGTATTTACTTTGCTCTTAAAAACCTGAGATGTGTTTTTACTTCATTTTAAGATTTGGAAGTTCACAGCAGTCTACAAGCTTAAGTCAAACAGAACTGAGGTAGTCAGTTTTACTCAAATATGCTTTTTGACAGTCACCAATTCATTTTCACTTTAACTTGAACTCAACACATCTCTTGGTAGTTCCAACATATAGCTACAGCTGCTATTGCACTGACAGGACAGAACATGTTGGATTTTGCTGGCTAAAGCACCTTCCTTGCCTGACTCCCCAAAGCCACATCCAGTTCTGCAGTTCACAGCCAGTTGAATGGCTGCACATCAAAGAAGTTATGACAGATATTTCAGATTATTAAGGCAGTAATAGTTTTACTTCACTGATGCTCAGCTAAGACAGGTGAACCTGACTATAAGAGCTCTGACAGGCAGGCAGGTTTTCCCCTGTGAGTGCAACACACTATGGCCTCTTTCTTTAGAGCATGCATACAATTCAGAAGTAGGTGAGCACTGAGTTTTTGAACCATCTCCCAGTAATTCTCATGAAGAGAGAATAAAAAAAAAACCCTCAAGATAAACAACTGTGTTGAAGATAAAATATTCAATTAAATATGACAAATTTCACACTTACACAGACAGGAGACCAGCATATCAAATACCAAGCACAATAAATTAACACCAGTAAAAAAGTTTAACGAACAGTTATAAAGTTAACCAGAAAGTTCAGACAGTGCAAATATTTCACAGTAAGAAAAAATAACCAATAATTTCTTTTCAAGTATCAAAAGCATTGTTTTGTTGAGTGATACCATTTAAAGTGTATTATTGCACAACAGACAAAAAAATACAACATCAACCTCTGGGACCTAAGATGTATTCTCAAACCTTTCTGTTTTCTAGGAATCAATTGACACTGACTGCTGATTGTGCATATATTAAAATAATCAGTGTTCACTTATTAACCTCAGTGTTTCTTAATTGGAATTTGTACATATTTAAAGCATGTGATTTCTAATTTGTATTGCTTCTCAGAAACACCTACTTAAGGCTAGCCTAGGCCTTGTATAATTCAAAGCAAACTTAACCTGCAGTTAAGAAGGGGAGCTAGCCCAGTGCAAGGTATTCTCTTGACTGCGATGCCTTCAGACAGTTTTAGGTTGCAGCTTACTCACCTCAGTGGTGTTGTAAGGGTTTCTTTAAATAAAAAACCCAAACAGGATTATTTGCTCTACATTATAGAGTCAGAAACAAAAACAAACATCCTTACAAGTGTCCTTAGGTAGACAGACTTTGCTCCTTTCCTTCCTCTGACATATTTTGTCCATCGAGTGATTAACTTTGTACCAAGCTGTGCCCCCATGTGCTTCAAAACATCCAATTCTCAACTTCTTACAAATACTCAATCCATAGTATTTATATGTTCAAGAAAAAAGTGGAGGGAAGAAAAAAAAGCTAAAGACATATTTCTTTACATACGCAATACCATTTTTGTTTTAGAGAACTCACATGGTCCTGTAAGATTATAGCTGCCATTGCTACTCGTTTGCCCTTCAACAAAAAGTAAGAACAGCTGCGCTGATGTTCATACAACTTAAAAGAAAAAAAATGCCATTATTTAAGAAACAAACCAACAAAATGAAAAACAACCAGAAATCCTACCCCAATTTTACAGATTGGGTGTCAGCGCTGAAATGCCTTTGCCTAGCAAGAGAATATTCAAACATCTGATGTATTCGATTTCACAGTAGAACTGGCACATACTAAATGAGAATGGGATTTCCAGATTTGTCTTGGTTACCAGTCTGAAATTCTGCTTTGTGCACCTAGGAAGGTTTAAGTGAACCCCAAGAATTAGCCGCTTCACTGCAAACTAGTATGAATTCTGAGAAGCCTCAAGGCTGCAGAATCCAGTTGTGGGACAGTTGCCAACCACTAGGTCTACTCTATTAAATTATTTCTTCCCACCATAATTTGTAGAAATTGGCAAAACCACAAAATAAATCCCCACACCTGTTCAGGCCTGGGTTATTAGCAGTGGTGACAATTGATTTTTACATGGCTTTTGACTAAACCGTTGAGGTATATTTCTAGTTGAGGATGCTTTGCTGCCCGTCACACAGAGGTCATAACAAAAAAACCCCAAACCCTCAGTTCTATAACAGAAGAGTTCTTGTTTCAAATCTTGACCGAATTGCCAGCTAGTGTAATGCGGTTGGCATAGTGCATCTTGTTACTGCCTCAAAAAAAAGGTAAGTCAAAGGCTGCAATCCAGGAAAATACTGGCACTTATTGAGACGACAAGGTAAATTTTTCTCCTCTCAGACCCTATCTGCTTTTGTCAGCACCTCCATGGCTACTGTCTGCACCGATACTTGCCAGGAGAGATGAGTTTCAGCAGAAGACAGCTGCCTACAGAGACAAAAAACCTCCATGCTCCATAATAAGGAGTGCAACATGATGATGTATCATCTTGGAAGAGCTTCTTGCCCCATGCTTAACTCTATGCGCAGAGAAATAATCCTGTTAGCAGGGGAATTAAATTAGCCATCAACAGCCAAAGGGTTACAACCAGGCCAGATGAGCAGGAGCATAAGTCTAAAACAAAAAACAAAACACAGTAAAACTTATAAATGTTATATTTAAAGAGATGATAGAATAACAAAGAGAACACTAAAAAACATCAAAAAGCAAAACCATATTTGTGGTAATCTGCATTGATTTATTCTAGGTTTCAAGGCTAGAACTCAAACCAGCCAAATAACATGATTACTCTCCTCATAATTAAATAAATTTCTGCATTCATTCACTAATAGCAGTTAGGAGAAGAAATGAGAAAAATTTATTGGTGTGGCAAGGCAAGTGAAGGAAGCTGCCTATGGCATGAATGGGGAGAAGCAACATTTCAAAACCATAGACTCTCAAAAGACCACTTTATTAATGCTTCTGATCTGTATGGCTGTAAGTCGTGTAAGTACCCAAACCACAAAAACAGCAAGCTGAAGGGAGTGATAAAAAAGGGGAGGTGGAAACCCCAATACATGAATCAGGGAGTCTGTCCATATGGTAAGTAAGCCTCATGGCTGTGTGGATTAAGAAAAACATGGACACACATGTAAATTTGAAGAGATAAAAATCTTTACATATATATATATATACACACACACGCGCACACATGCACACACACACATACACATAAGGCCCAGTTAGAATTAAAGTTAGCTAGGGATGTGAAAGATAACAGGAAGGGATTCTATAGGTACATAGCAAATAAAAGACAGACTAGGGACACTGTGGGCCCTCTCCAGAAGCTATCGGGAGAACTAGCTACCCTGGATTTGGAGAAGGCTGAGGTTCTGTATGACTTCTTTGCCACGGTCTTCACTGGCAAAGGCTCTGACCACACCACCCAAGTCTTGGAAGGCAGATGCAGGGACTGTGAGAATGAAGACCTTGTGGCCACTGTAGGAGAGGAACTGGTTCGAGACCATCTTAAAAATCTGAATGTGCACAAGTCCATGGGTCCTGATGAGATCCATCCGAGGGTCCTGAAGGAGCTGGTGAATGAAGTTGCGAAGCCACTGGCCATCATATTTGAGAAATCATGGCAGTCAGGTGAAGTTCCCGATGACTGGAAAAAGGGAAATATAACCCCCATTTTCAAGAAGGGGAGAATGGATGACCTGGGGAATTACAGAGCAGTCAGTTTCACCTCTGTGCCTGGCAGAATCTTTGAGCAGATTCTCCTGGAAGGCAGGCTAAGGCACATGAAAAACAACAAGGTGCTTGGTGACAGCCAGCATGGCTTCACTAAGGGGAAATCCTGCCTGACCAATTTGGTGGCCTTCTATGATGGGGCTGCAGAACTGATGGACAGGGGTAGAGCAGCTGATGTCATCTACCTGGACTTGTGCAAAGCATTCCACACTGTCCCACATGACATCCTTGTCTCTAAATTGGAGAGACATCAATTTGATGGATGGACCACTCGGTGGATAAAGAACTGGTTGGATGGCCGCACACAAAGAGTTGTGGTCAATGGCTCAATGTCCAGCTGGAGACCAGTAATGAGTGGTGTCCCTCAGCGGTCGGTGTTGGGACCAGTCTTGTTCAACATCTTTGTCGCTGACATGGACAGTGGGATTGAGTGCACCCTCAGCAAGTTTGCCGATGACACCAAGCTGTGTGGTTCGGTTGATACCCTGGAGGGAAGGAATGCCATCCAGAGGGACCTTGACATGCTTGTGAGGTGGGCTGATGCCAACCTCATGAAGTTTAACCATGCCAAGTGCAAGGTCCTACACCTGGGTCGGAGCAATCCCAGGCACAGCTACAGGTTGGGCAGAGAAGAGATTCAGAGCAGCCCTGTGGAGAAGGACTTGGGGGTGTTGGTTGATGAGAAAATGAACATGAGCCGGCTTCAGTGTGCACTCACAGCCCAGAAAGCCAACCGTATCCTGGGCTGCATTAAAAGGAGCGTGACCAGCAGGTCGAAGGAGGTGATCTTGCCCCTCTGCTCTGGTGAGACCTCACCTGGAGTATTGCGTGCAGTTCTGGTGTCCTCAACATAAAAAGGACATGGAACTGTTGGAACAAGTCCAGAGAAGGGCCACGAGGATGATCAGGGGACTGGAGCACCTCCTGTATGAAGACAGGCTGAGAAAGTTGGGGCTGTTCAGCCTGGAGAAGAGAAGGCTGCGTGGAGACCTCATAGCAGCCTTCCAGTATCTGAAGGGGACCTATAGGGATGCTGGGGAGGGACTCTTCATTAGAGACTGTAGTGATAGGACAAGGGGTAATGGGTTAAAACTTAAACAGGAGAAGTTTAGATTGGATATAAGGAGGAAATTCTTTCCTGTTAGGGTGGTGAGGCACTGGAATGGGTTGCCCAGGGAGGTTGTGAATGCTCCATCCCTGGCAGTGTTCAAGACCAGGCTGGACGAGGCCTTGGGTGATATGATTTAGCGTAAGCTGTCCCTGCCCATGTCAGGGGCTTGGAACTAGATGATCTTAAGGTCCTTTCCAACCCTAACGAGTCTATCATTCTATGATTGTGTGTGTGTGTGTGTGTGTGTGTGTGTGAGAGAGAGAGAGAGAGAGAGAAACGCCAAGCATGACTTCAAATAGATGCTAAAAGATGTGAATCTCCTAGGTTACCGTTTTCTCATTCTAAAATGTAACCTACAGGCCTCAAGTCAAGCCTTTTTCCTCCATCAAAAAATTAAACTGACAAATCTTTCATATTCCGGGATTACAGCATTAACATTGTCAGTGGGAAGCTCACCTTCCAGCAAGGTGTTAATTTTGAAGGTTATAATAATGATATGGCTTTCCAAAACCAGCTCAGATTTTCTGGTGACTTGCTAGGCTAAAGTTGGATTTCTGGGATAATGATCAGAAGGAGACATGACATGAAATAATTACATTTCAGACACATTTCTCTTACGTTAACCACTAACTTGCACAGCTACACAGCAAGAAGCAGGGCGCCTTTGCCTTCTTCCTTTAAGTCCTGTATCTAGGATCTTAGAACAGCCAGGCCACGGCTCTCCTTTCCTGCTCCCTCACAGTCAGGACTGACACAAACCCTTAGAGTTTTCAGACATTTTATAGAGTTTCACTTCAGCAAATAAGGCAACCTACCAATTGGTGCAGTTCTTGTTAAATTAGAAGCTGGAGGATCCCGCTCTGGGGGACAGGAGTCACAGAAGTCTGAACAGGCTGGACAAATCAGATTTCCAACGTGTACCCAGCCATTCATCTGAATGCTCACAGTTAACACCTGACCTGAGCGGCTGCACAAGTACACCGTGTCCTTGACCCACACATGCAGCCCTTGTGGAGAACAAGAAACCTTAAAATAAAAGAATGAAAGTCAAGTCTGTATTATGATTTCTTCGAAAAATGTTCTGGGGGTTGGAGGCTCTTTCAGTAAGTTAGTATTACATTCAGCAAACTCTTGGTTTTATAGAGCATAGATTAGCTGCAAGTGTTTTAACGCATTCAGAGCAAGTATTTAGTTCAAGGAGGCTTTAAAGGACTGACTGTACTCTTTCTGCAATTATGCAGCTCACTAACTGAGAACCAGAGTAAGATCCAGCTTCTGCCAAGGACTACTTTTTTAGAGTTGTGCTGTTGTTGAAAGTGTCACCTTTAGTAAGGTAGTCCTGAAGATAAGGAGGATAATGAAAAGTAAGTGACATGCACAGCACTTTCCACCTTTGAAAAAAAAAAAAATCAGAGGGACTAGTTAACATTAAGCTTCAACAAAAGAAGATTCCAGTGTAAGTATTCGTACTTAGCTGCAGAGAAAGCATCACACAGGTAAGACAGGTGAAGCCAATAGCAAGACTGGAAGTAACACACAAACCATCCCAGTGGTCATACATGTAACCTGATGCATGATCTAAACTACAGGTCTAAAATAGTTAGAAGATAGTTATAAATAGAAGATAGATATAAAACACTTAGAAGATACTTATTTTCAAAGCATGCCATATAATCTAGTGATTAAAGGCAGAGAATAGAATGTACAGCATCCAGGTGCAAAGTTCTAACTGTCATAGTCTGTATTTTATGCCAGACTTCTCCCTTTAGCATAATTAAAAAAAAGAAAAAAAGATAAATGTACTTGGTAACATCCACTACCCCAGTCAGGGTAACTGAGTTTCCTCCTGCACTGTTCCATGACAAAAGCAGATTTCTGAATCAGACATACAGAGTTTGGTCCATACTTCTCTGCACCATAGTTTTTGGTAGGATCTAAGGTAGAAAGAATATAGTAAATTGCAACTTACTAGGGGAACAGAAAATTCACATCAATTTAATATACTAAAACTAGTCAGTGTCTCCACAGGCAATTCGAGGCTGGAATCTTTCAGACCATTAATCATTATCAATTTGGAAATTATCCTGCCTTGAATATGAAGTCGGAAGAAACAGAAGCCAGTATTTTCCATCAGAACTATGTGGGTGTGTTTGCCCCACAGAGAGTGCCAGCTGTGATTGCTGGCTGGAGGGCAGAGAGTGTTTGGTTGGGTCTGAGACAATTGCACAGCTAGGTAACACCCTACAGCATTTTGGAGCTCTGCAATATTGAGCATTCATGCACTATGCTAGGAGACAAGCCTGTGACCTGGTAATTTGCAATGCTTCTTCCCTTGAGAAAAACCACACAGATGTGGAACAGAATTATTTTTTCAGAGACTTAAAAAAGATACCCAGCCAACCAACCCCCCCCACACACACACACCCCTTTTGTCTTATATTTGGATCATTTGGAGTTAATTTCTGTTCAGTTCTTGTATTGGATGCGTTTTCTTCCTGTGTGTATAAGGTGTGCTGCGCTTCTCATCCCAGCACAACTTTTACACAGCTAGTAGTGTAAAACTAATTTCACATCAAATTAATTAGGATATATAGCAAGTTCACTCCAGATTAACAGACATAGTCTCTTAAATACCATACTGAAGTCCTGAAAACTGACCTGGTTGGTTTTCAATTATTCTACAGTCTGAGCTGCGTTGAAATTCACCACTTAAATGCCAACTGAATTCTTGACTAAAGGGACAATAGTCAGCAATTTCTACTGAGCCACCATAATAAGGCAACTCTTCTGCTGGTACTCCATCAAGACTGTCAAAATACTGCAAAACAAAACAGGTAGTGAACAGTTTGTGCAAAGACAAGTGAACAACATTTTATATAGAACCAAGCGCTGCAGGAATGCTGTTAATAACTTACAATACCTATGAAACAGATGAGCCAGAAGTATTTAAGAATACTTAAATAATGCAGAAAGATTCACAGTTGCATGTATCACTCCCCACCTCTTCCCCCCCCCCCCCCTCCCCCCACTTTGCAGTCATAGCATTCTCCAGCATGAAAAGAACAAATTTCTTAGCGTGCAGTGACACAAGGCAGCAGACTGGGTGAAGAAATAACTCTAAGAAAACATTCTGGGGTACTTATGCTGCACAGAAACATTTCCATCTGATATTTGGTTAGATGGCCAAGCGATATCCTTATTGCTTTATTAAGATCACAAGGCTTTTTTTTCCAGCCTTCAGGCTGCTTATAATATACTAAGAAGACATTTTTCACAATATCTACTCTTGTCTACTAGTTCAGAATTAAAAAAATGAAACAAATATAATCACCTGGCGGCAAAGCACAAGAATTAAAACAGTTAGTTATGTGCCAAAGCAAGATTCATTATACCTGATATTCCTGAGGTAACTGCTTTGGAAACTTCTGTAAGTTGCACACTGCTACTGCTCTTTGGTCCTGCCTGCAGGTTAGCTGCAAAGGATTACTCCTCAAAGTGTCACAGTATGGACTGATCAATTGCCTCCTCAAAAAGAAAAATCACATTAGATCAGTGTAACTGCTTTTCATAATTTAACTAAGCAGCCTGTCAAGTCAGGCTGTTCCCACTCTCCGCCACATTGGTCAATCAAACATAAAAGCTCTCACTTCTTCTCTGGAGGCTAATTATTATTTGTCTTTTTATTAGACCTTTCTAATTTGAAGAATATCAAACCAAAGTTACAATGCACCTATTTAATTTTAATGGCATTGCTTTGTAAATTCTAAAGAAAAAACCTAAAACATACAAGCAAAACAGGCCGCCACACAGCTGTGTCCTAGAAATTTACTAGTACTGTAACAAAGAAAGAAGGAAGGCTTTGTGCTGAAGATGCCTGTCATCATCTTCTGTGGCTTTAAGTACAATCCAGTAACGCAAAATTACATAGGCTGCATTTCCAATTAACAGGGACAAAATAAGATAGCAAACACTCCAGATTAAGTCCCTCTTTCCTCTCTAAATCATAGCCCTCTTAAAGTGTAGAATGTGCTTACACTACAAGATGTTTGGCTCTGCTTTTATTGTGTGGGATACTTCTGCTCTTAATACATTTTGTGTGCTCCTTCTTGGGTGCATCCTGAAGGTACTTAAGAGGGCATTCCTTGTTAATCTGTCTCTACTTCTTTTTACTGAGTTGCATGTGAAGGACAAACGTAAACAAGCATCAGAGTTTCTTCTTTAAAAAGATTGTATTCTTACTTCTGTCTCTTTTGGTCAATCCAGAATTTACAGCTCTTCATCACAAAGTCACAGCCTTTATTGCGTCCCCACTCTAGTTTCTCTGCCATGCTGTAATTTGCTTTATACCAGCTGCAAAGGCATTTTGAAATGAGAACATAGTTAATTAAAAAAAAATAGTGTTCTGATTAATAAAACAACAATTCAAAGAACTTCAAACTATGCCTCAAGGTCTTCAAATGAAGAAAAAAAGGGAATCTGTATCCCTTTCTGTCTATAACAAAATATATTGCAATTTCACAATTTTTCAAGTCACAATGAACTAAAAGAAATTTGCATTGTTTGCTTCGTCAACAGCAATGCATTGCGATCTTCAGAGGAACACTGCCTACAAGAAGACAAAATTTTTGACAAATTATGCTTTTGATCTGCAAGAAGAGTTTAAAAATTATTCTACAGGATTTATAGATGCAGAAGGTTTTATAGAATTAGAGATGTGTGCACGACTACGGGGATATGATATAATAGGCATCACAGAAACCTGGTGGGATGGCTCCTATGACTGGAGTGTTGGAATGGAAAGTTACAGGCTCTTTAGAAAACACAGGCCTGGCAGGCAGGGAGGGGGAGTTGCCCTTTATGTTAGGGATAGGCTGGAGAGTATGGAACTCTATCTGGGGTCAGGTGAGCAGTCCACAGAGAGTTTGTGGGTCAGGGTTAAAGGGAATATAGCTATGGGAGACATCACTGTGGGGATCTGTTACAGACCGCCTGATCAAGGAGAGCCTGCGGATGAAGCACTCTATAGAACAGCCTCACGCTCGCAGGCCCTTGTTCTCATGGGTGACTTCAACCACCCTGACATCTGTTGGAAGGACGGTACGGCCCGGCACAAGCAGTCCAGGAGGTTCCTCGATTGTGTGGAAGGCAACTTCCTTCTGCAAGTAATAGAGGAGCCGACAAGGAGAGGTGCCATGCTTGACCTCAGGCTCACCAACAGGGAAGGGCTCGTTGGAAATGTGATGATCCAGGGCAGCCTTGGATGCAGCGATCATGAGATGGTCGAATTCAAGATTCTCAGGACAGTGAGAAGAACATGCAGCAAACTCACTGCCCTGGACTTCAAAAGAGCAGACTTTGGCCTCTTCAGGAACCTGCTTAGTAAGGTTCCATGGGATACAGCCCTAGAGGGCAGGGGGATCCAAGACTCTTGGTTGATATTCAACCAAGCTCAGGAGTGTTGCATCCCAACCAGAAGGAAGTGCAGCAAGAGGGCCAGGAGACCTGCTTAGATGGATGAGGAGCTGCTGAGGAAAATTCAAATGAAAAAAGAAGCTTATAATAAGTGGAAGCAAGGACAGGTGGCCTGGAAAGACTACAGGGATGTTGTCCAGGAAGCTACGGACCAGGTTAGGAAAGCTAAGGCCCAGTTAGAATTAAACTTAGCTAGAGGTATTAAAGATAACAGGAAGGGATTCTACAGGTACGTAGCAAATAAAAGACAGACTAGGGAGAATGTAGGCCCCTCAGGAAGCTCTCAGGAGAACTGGCTACACAGGATTTGGAGAAGGCTGAGGTTCTGAATGACTTCTTTGCCTCGGTCTTCACTGCCAAAGGCTCTGACCAAACCACCCAAGTCTTGGAAGGCAGATGCAGGGACTGTGAGAATGAAGACCTTGCACCCACTGTAGGAGAGGAACTGATTCGAGGCCATCTTAAAAATCTGAATGTGCACAAGTCCATGGGTCCTGATGAGATCCATCCGAGGGTCCTGAAGGAGCTGGCAAATGAAGTTGAGAAGACACTGGCCATCATATTTGAGAAATCATGGCAGTCAGGTGAAGCTCCCAATGACTGGAAAAGGGGAAATATAACCCCCATTTTCAAGAAGGGGAAAATGGATGACCCGGGGAATTACAGAGCAGTCAGTCTCACCTCTGTGCCTGGCAAAATCTTGGAGCAGATTCTCCTGGAAGGCAGGCTAAGGCACATGAAAACCAACAAGGTGCTTGGTGACAGCCAGCATGGCTTCACTAAGGGGAAATCCTGCCTGACCAATTTGGTGGCCTTCTATGATGGGGCTGCAGAACTGATGGACAGGGGTAGAGCAGTTGATGTCATCTACCTGGACTTGTGCAAAGCATTCCACACTGCCCCACACGACATCCTTGTCTCTAAATTGGAGAGACATCAATTTGATGGATGGACCACTCAGTGGATAAAGAACTGGCTGGATGGCTACACACAAAGAGTTGTGGTCAATGGCTCAATGTCCAGCTGGAGACCAGTAACGAGTGGTGTCCCTCAGGGATTGGTGTTGGGACCAGTCTTGTTCAACATCTTTGTCACTGACATGGACAGTGGGATTGAGTGCACCCTCAGCAAGTTTGCCGATGACACCAAGCTGTGTGGCTCGGCTGATAACCTGGAGGGAAGGAATGCCATCCAGAGGGACCTTGACACGCTTCTGAGGTGGGCTGATGCCAACCTCATGAAGTTTAACCATGCCAAGTGCAAGGTCCTACACCTGGGTCAGAGCAATCCCAGGCACAGTTACAGGTTGGGCAGAGAAGAGATTCAGAGCAGCCCTGTGGAGAAGGACTTGGGGGTGTTGGTTGATGAGAAAATGAACATGAGCTGGCTTCAGTGTGCGCTCACAGCCCAGAAAGCCAACCGTATCCTGGGCTGCATCAAAAGGAGAGTGTGACCAGCAGGTCAAAGGAGGTGATCCTGCCCCTCTACTCTGCTCTCGTGAGACCTCACTTGGAGTATTATGTGCAGTTTTGGTGTCCTCAACATAAAAAGGACATGGAACTGTTGGAACAAGTCCAGAGGAGGGCCACAAGGGTGATCAGGGGACTGGAGCACCTCCTGTATGAAGACAAGCTGAGAAAGTTGGGGCTGTTCAGCCTGGAGAAGAGAAGGCTGCGTGAAGACCTCATAGCAGCCTTCCAGTATCTAAAGGGGGCCCTACAAGGATGCTGGGGAGGGACTCTTCATTTGGGACTGTAGTGAGAGGACAACGGGTAATGGGTTAAAACTTAAACAGGGGAAGTTTAGGTTGGATATAAGGAGGAAATTCTTTCCTGTTAGGGTGGTGATGCACTGGAATGGGTTGCCAAGGAAGTTGTGAATGCAGTGTTAAAGGCCAGGTTGCAGAGAGCCTTGGGCAACATGGCTTAGTGTGAGGTGTCCCTGCCCATGGCAGGGGGGTTGGAACTAGATGATCTTAAGGTCCTTTCCAACCCTAATTATTCTATTATTCTAACATAGAAGACTTATATTAAGAAAAAAGTAAAGAGATATTACAAACAGTACTATGCATTGCAATCCAATCCAAATATTAAAGGCTAGATTAAGAATAGATGGATTTTGAAATACATAAAGAAAAATGAACATACTAGGTTTACATCCTTGTATAATGCAATGCTTATATACACCCATTATCTACTGTGTTGCAGTTTGATAAGCACAAGTTCATCAATTCCAAGTAAAATCAAGTACAAAAAAAAAAAAAAAAAAAAAAATCAAACAACCTCCTTCCAACCTCCCCCCATCCATATTAATTCTTACCCTGTATCTTCCATTAAGGCTAAGGTGATCCTGGAAAACACTCGATTCTGCGTATGGGATCCAGTCATTGCTTCATTCTGAAAGTCACCAGTTACTATTAGCAAGCCATTGAAAAGCCTTATTGTAAGAAAATGCTTCCTATGAAAAAGGATTTTATTTCCAGTCCCTTCTTACTATTGACAACCAAATTCCAACCTCTTCCATAAAAGTGATCAAAAGTGCAACTCCTTTCCCTACTCCATCCTACAAAGTTTTCGTGTGAGGTGCCTCTGCCCATGGCAGGAGGGTTGGAACTAGATAATCTTAAGGTCCTTTCCAACCCTAACTATTCTAGGATTCTATGATTCTATAAGTCAGAAATGCCATTCCAAATTCTCGCTAAATCTTATCCATGACCAATGTGTATTTGTTTTTCTCTAGGCAAAATAAAACTCTTCTCTCTTCTAGCATATTTATCAACAGCAATCACACCAGGTCTTCTGTCTCCTTTTGGCAAGATGAAAGCCAAGCTCATTTAATTTTCTTGTGTAAGACTGATTTTTAGTTTCCACACAATTTCTAGTAGTCCTTTTCAGCATAGCCCACATGACTCAAGAAATACAGCACTCCAAATAAAGCTTTATTAGAGCAGCAGTTGAATTTTCCACCTCTTTTAAAAATAAGCAAGCCCACGCCATCCTCAAAAGAGCAACTCCAGTCACATTTTCCTAGTTAGTTTCTTAATCATCTTATAACTGGCAATTGTAACACCCACGTCTTTTTTCCTGCTCAGTCATTTCCATCTGATAAGCTTCAGGCTTACAACAAAAGTCACTCACCCTTAATTACACAATTCTGGGATTTCTACTACTGAACTTCATCTCATTTCTATTGTTTCTTCAAAACATGTAGCTGTCCAGCCTTTCCTCTCCACTACTGCAATTAGGAGGAGTTACCACTAGCAAATTAGTAGTGTCAAATTTGCTTTCTCCAATAAGAACCTGATCAAGACCAAAACCAAACTATACCAGTTACTTTCCAGATACAAAGTTTCTACATTTCCAGAGAAAGGAGACTAGCAATAGTATCCTATTATTATGCCAATCCTATTCAGCCCTTAGAATTATCCTCATTCTAATGGCAGTCTTTCCATTTGGCTTTAAACTACTGTTCCACACTAAAGGTTACTGAAAATCAGGAAAAGCTAACAATTCTGGCCTCAAGAAAAACACATTTTTCAAGATTACTGCCACAAACAGGTCTGTGCTGAAGCATTACCTTCTTGTTTACTTCACTGCATATAACAGTAACTAGAAAGTGTATCTCTGCAAACACACTACGAAGTTATAAATAAAAATAAGCTTAAATGAAAAGTGTTTTCAGGATGAAAAGCATTTCCTTGATCAGATGAGGTTCTGGAGTAGAGATAGCAAATGCTAACCCCAGGGCACATGAATAAAGATTAAGTCAAGATAATGAATAGGCAGAACAATCAAATATTGGAGGCAGAGGGTGACAAAGTTGAAATTACTCAAAGGACTATCCCTTTTTCCTAAGAAAAAGAAACATACTTTCTCAAAAAGGCAAATGGCAGACAAAAGTATGAGAAATTAAGTCTTTCAGTAATCATCTTACCTCAAACTCATACTCTGAGACTTAGCAACAAGATAAGAAGATAGATTTATCTAGAAATTGGATGTTTAAGTATTTTTAGCTTAGTACTGTTTGTGATGTTTTTGGATGAAATTTGATACAACTGCTTTTCAAGGCTCCAATAGGTTCCACTATAAACCTAAAAAAAAACGCAGAGGAACAGATGTTCCCACCCCCACCCCATTCCTAATATCAGCACTAACCTCCAACAATCTTTTTTCCCAGTGATTGAGCTCGGTACCCATGCCACCTTGATTTTCAAGCTCCATTCCCTCTAGAATTGGACAATTAAAATGTTTTCGAGCTTCTTCCTAGAAGAAAAACATTTCAGATCAACTCTCATAATATTGAGATGGATACCTGTATACAGTCCTCATGTTCTAGAATTATCTCTTCAAAGCATTTTAGCATTTCTTTTTCTATCATCTTGATTTCCTCTGAGGATAAAAACACTTCTACTGAGAAGCTGAGTAAGCCAGCAAGTAACCCAGCACCAAGTCTAACAATATGTCTACTTATCTCCTGGAAATACATGATGAAAGTTTACAAGACTAAAACACCAATGGAATTAGCTGAGAATGGCATGCACTCACTTAAAACCATAAAAAACCTAAACAACCAAAAAAGCGAACAGCATAGGAACACTATCACCCTGCTTCTGCCAAATGTTTCAGATAAAAAAACACTTTTCTACTAGGAATCTCTATGTGCCACTTAGTTTTGTATGGGGGGAGTGTTTTCTGCAAGATATCTGAAAAACCTTCAGAGGGATCACAAGAACTCTGTGCTTTCACAGTCAGGAGCCCAGCTACACTCTTGGTAGTGCCAGTGAGGCACTATCCAAGAGCACCTTTACATGCTCTGGCGAGTTTGTGCAGCATGGCCAATTTTAAAAACGGGGTAACTAAGTCTGCTCTATATACTAGGTTACATGTAAAACAAACAAGAAGATTATTTGTGGCCAAATATGATTAACATTGTAACTTGTTTCCAATCCAAGCATAGCTTAAGCATATGTTCCCTTGGGGGCGGGGGAGGCAAGACAGATTTCAAGAATACTTGAGGAATTTCTTTTTTAAATGTGACAAAACGTTCGCTGCATTATTTTGTAATCAATAAAATTAGAAAGAGATTAAAGCAATGCTTTTAAAGAGAAAAGTAGAAAATAGGATGAACTTACAAAAGAGAAAAAACAGTGACAATAGTATCTGTTAAGGCAACTAGATGTCTAAACTTGCAGGAAGACTAATCTAAAGAGTAGGATTAAGGAATCTATTCAACATCAGTTTTTCTTAACCTTTTATAGCTTACCTCCCAGTCCCTTAATTGTCTCTTTACTATGTCAATTTATTTATTTCATGCCCTTGTAAACCATTTTCCACTTCACTTTTGAATCTTACCCTCTCAACTAATTATACTGTCAGGGAAAGAGCATTCATTATTAGGTTATTATTTCCTAAAGAAGAAATATTTATGACTCAAGAATGTGATGGTAACTTTGGCATACAAAGTTTAAAATTTAAAGTTTATTCACACTTACAACTACACGAGGTGTTATCAGAAGATAAACAGTATGGCGCAGCATTTTTCCCCCACGTATGTCCCATAACCTCACTGCTTTATGAACGACTTTATTGCTCCACTGATACAAACCTAGACTGTAAGAACAACATTCTGGTTACACATCTTTCCCACAAATACATACTACTGAGCAAAGAATTATCTCTGTAAGAAACAGAATCATGAATAATTTCTGCACTTCCTCATGCTTTCCAAAATTTAAATTTATTATGCAACATTTCTCCTTTGCAAGATATGCATTTATTATATGCATATGTCTGACTTAATAAGCCAAAGATTATTAAAAAGATACCTGTAGACTCAAGATGTATTTTGTGCAGTTACTGAAAGTGCAAGGAACAAAATAAAAATCCTCAGAAATGCTATTATAAAAAAGGTCAACAAAATTAAAAGTTTTCTACCCTCCCACCTCCATAAATCGCTGGAACACTTCTACAGTATCAACTTAATGAAGAAAACAAATTGAATAACAATTGTTATTGAAGAAAAAATTTCTTCAGTAACAAGTCTGAAAAATCACACAATAGACTACACACATTCTGCAGTGTGCAGTCAGTTCTGCGTAACTATAAACCTTGACTGATATATGTCTTAAAAATGAACTGCACTGACATTAGACAGACTACAGAAAATACAAGTCTCAATTTAGTTAAGGTGTTCAGCAAGCATCAGACTTCAAGCACGGATAGTTTTAATGCTTAACGTCAAGCCTCCTGATAAATGAAATCCTGCCTTAGTTTGTAATACATGTGGATAATACAAGTGCTTACTGCTAATGTAAAGAAAGACTAAAAAAACAGCACACATGAATGTTTGAACATAATAAAGGGAAAAAATTCTAAAAATGGAATCAGGCGGAATTTTCAACAGGCAAAAATACATTCCAAAAAGGAAATGTGAAAATATCCTTCAATGGGAGTACAGAGAAGTCTCAAAAAATAAAATACCTTTCATTAAAAGGAGGGAGTCCATCCGCATATCTTGCTGTCAGAGGTTTTCCATCATCATTACGATAAAATGCAAACAGTCCAGCAGAGAAACCCTTCAAGTAGAAAACCAAGCACACAGAAACCTTTGGTAAGACATTCACATGCAAAGTCAAATGCCATGAAAGAATTATCACACCCACCACAGATAAACTGGAAGTACCACATTTCAAGGCAATTAACACAAATTGAAGGAGGCAAAGAATGGGCTTTCCTCCACCAATCATCATTCTCTGGCAACAAGCTGGAGGTACATGAGGAAGCAGGCACAGATTTCAGGGAAATACATTTTATAACATCAACCCTTACCAGTGCATGGATAATCTCATGTTTCACTGTAGATAACATGCCAACGAACTCCTGAGATTGTGTTGAAATCATATTTGGACACAAGTTAGCATATCCTGCTATTGGCCTGGAAGACAGTTTTAAAATTAAATTGTTTTCAGTAAGATACTAGAAAATTCAAATGATACTCACTTGAAGAGGCAGAAGGTTTAAAATAAAAATGAGTGCTTCCAAACAACTTCCCAAGTAATTTCTAAAATGTCTGTTAACAATACAGCAACTGTACTGCTGTCAGTTGAAATGGGGAGGGGATGGGTTCAATCTCTATAGTCAGTATTCGGCACAGGTGCTATCCTGTGTAAGAGATCTGAATTTTAGCTGAGGCAAACTATAGAGGTATAAAGTGTTACAATGACTACAACCGACATTCACTTCAACAGAAACAGGATCTTGAGATAAAGTTTAGACAGTAACAACAGAGGATTAGCTTTGACTTAAATGCCTTTCAGCTTTGCAAGTTAAACACCATTTGATGGTATTGTGGTTTTACATAAATACAGCACTTGTCTATTTCACTAACGATTTCTACTTTACTGCATTATGCAGCGCAATTAAAACTCCACATCTAACCAATTTAAAACACTTGTAAGCTTAATTTAAAAAAAGAGTTTGCAACAGAGGGAATACTTGCCTGTCCATTTCAGCTTCCAGTTGGCAGTAGGCTGCATATGCAATGATATTTTCATGGCCACACCTTTCAGTAGTGAGAGCACTAACGTAAAGTACAAAGTCAGCGTCTCGAACCCCTTCTTGGTCAGGTAAGCCAGTGGGCCCACAGTGCCATTCATTTTCACTGCACACCCTGCATTGCTTTGACAATATTCAAATGGAACAATATAAATACTCAAAATAATCAAAATTTTGCATGACAAAATTCAATTAGTTTGAAGTCAAGAATAAATCCCATTGTAAGCAATCAGAAATGAGAAAACTCCCTGCAAGGGCCGTAAATGAAACCAGAGCCAACTTTCAAATGACTAGCTTTTTTTATTTATTACACACCAGGAAGGGGGCAGCTTCTGAAGGAAACAAAAAAAAAAATAAAGGTCCACAGAGCCAGATATCCCAAAACTAGCACCCTTTATTTCCTACAAATTGAAAAATTCTTGGCTCACGGAAATAGTATACCTAAGTCATAACTGCTTTTCACATGTAGCATGGTACATTTGTAATACCGTAGCTGAAACTTCAAGATAAGAGAAAGAAAGAAATCTACTGAACACATACTGTGGTTGAATTAAAAATTCATGCAAAAGAACAAGTTGGAAGCATTTCCTGCACTGTGCTGCTGGTTCAGAAGATAACCTCTTAAAATATGGTCTTCAAAAAAAAATCAGAATTTATTATTAATTCTGGGAAAATCGGACAAATTACTCATGGACTAAGGTGAATTACAAAGTGAGTAGCAGTAATTTAACAAGCTTTGAACCTCATCCTCTTTGTACAATTCACTATAACACAGGCTTAGAGAACAGTAAACAGTCCAGTTTTATTTGACTTTTGGTTGAACAGAATAAACTAAAGAAAATCCCAGTAACTGAAGTTGTTCTATTCTGCCACTCAAACGTAGTGATCCCCCACAAAAAGGTCACTTCTGCACAGTTAGTAATATTAGCTTTTTAATTAATTTCCACAAACAATAATATTTCAAAGGTTAAGAAGCACTTGGATGGCTTAGCTTACCTGGAGATGTTTCACAGGAACTATAACTGGCCCACACCTTGTGTGGTCTGCACAGGCTCCTCGGCAGTATCTGTGAGGATCCGCTTTCCTCCTTAAGTATTGGTTTGTGGCACACTGCCTTCAATAAAACATGAAGGACAGTCAGCACTGGTTTATTATTAGACTGTAGAATAGTCTTACAGCACCCAACAGCACTACAAATACAGGTATTTAATGCAACTCTACAGTGAGAATTGTTAGTTACCCTGCTCTGGAAGACAATGCAGTTGGAGTATCCACATGTTTAAAGAGAGATTAGGAACAAGTTAATAAATAGGGGTATGTGTAAAGGAAACCAGCAGCATGTATACCCTTTAACAGCTCTGATACAACACATGGAGACGTTGACCATGGAAAGTAGGCAGATTTGTGTGTTCTCCCTAAATAGCATCTGCTACCACCACTGGGTCAGGTGGGCCACTGGTCTGATTCAGGAGGGCATTTCTTACGCTGCCGTTTCCATTTCAAAGGCTATACAATGCAATGTTAAACATCAAATATAGCAAGTGATTTTCAACAAAGTTTCATGTACCTGCTTAGTAATATAGTACCCGTGGATTTGCGCACTTGAAATGTCTTCTCCAAATAAGATATAGCTTGTGGAAAAAGTTTGCTCTGAATAGAACAAAAATAAAAGTCACCCAGCAGCAGTGCAGATATAACTCACCTTAAAATCATTAACTACCAAGTTATATGGTAGAGCAGAATAGCAAAAATCCAGACTTCCTAAGAAGTTCAAATGCTAGGAAATATTTTGTTTCAGTTCCAATATTCTGTTATTCCAAATATTTTACTAGTTTGTATTAGGATGGCAAAATGAGAACAGAACCAGCACTAATTTGAATGCACAGCTTCAAAGAGGATTCAAAAACTATGTACATCCTGCCCACTGAAACCTTTACACCTTGGGGTGTAGCAAACACCTGTCAAACAACATTCAACAGAATACTGGAAGCATTTGAAATAGAGGCATCATCTGTATACAAAGCCTTAGTCTCCCAGACTAGAGGATATGAAATTGCTGGTATACAAAGCCTTTAACTAAATTTGCACTAAGCTTAGCATCCCTGTAATAAGTACGTACAAACAAAAAGGGGAAGCAAATATGACATACCTTTATAAGGTGTCTTTTCTCAGGTAGCAAACTATTTTATAAACAAAACAAACAAGCTTTAGTTAATAGGATTTTAATTCTCAGATATGTGGCGGCCGGGGGAGGGGAGGGAGGGTGGGGGTGGTGGTGTTGGAATGTCACAACACTATACTCACTCCTCAACACTTCTGTCATAGGTGATGTTAATTCTTAGCTGCTGATCCACGTTTCTCTTCAAGACATGATTTTCCTTTAGAGGGACTTGGTAGACAACCTGTCAGGGAGAGGACGAAACCGCTGGAGGAGGACAGCCACATCAGTGGGGGCTTCCCGCTCCTCCCCACCTACGAGAGCACCTTTTTGTCCGTCTTTACACAAAGCCCCTTCCCCCCTTTCTCCTCCCACGCCGCCGGGACGGTCAGGCAGACACCGCACCGCACCGTACCGCACCACACCACACCACACCGCACCGCACCGCTCCGCCGCCCTCACCAGCGCTGACACCGACCACACCCAACGGGGGGCCAAGCGGCCAGACCCGCACAGCTCGGCCCGCGGAAGGCGGGCGGGCGGGCGGGGACCCTTCGCCCCCAGCCCCTCGCAGCAGCCTAAGGAACCCCCCGGCCGCCCCACCTCCTCGCCGCTGGGCACGCGGTGGTGACAGGACGAGGAAGAGGATGGAGGAAGGGCGGCGACACGGCCGCAGCCCAGAAGCGGCAGCAACAGCAGCGCGGCGGTAAAAGCTGCCAGCAGCGGCCGCCAAGAGCGGCACGGCCAGAGGCGCCCATCGCCCGGCTCGGCGGCCATCTTCGACTGCCCGTCCGCAGCGTCGCCATGGAGGCAGCGCCGGCGGTAGTAGTCCCCGCCAATGGGCTAGCGGGGAGCGCGGGAGAAGGTGGGGCGGAGGCGACGGACGCTCCTGATTGGGAGGAGCTCACCGAGGGGTGGGGCAGGGGGTGAGGCGAAGGCGGCGGAGGGCGCGCGGCTCGGAGCCGTGCAGTGCAGCGTAGTGCGGCGTTTGCAGGGTCAGCGCAGTGCAGTGCGGTACAGCACGAGGGAAGCGTAATGCAGTGCAGTGCAGTGCAGTGCTCTGCAGTTGAGCCTCCTGCACAGTGGTGCGGGGCAACAGTGTGGTTGGTGCCTGTGAGGCAAGGCAGTGCTGGGTGGTGGACAGCAGTGTGGTTAGGGGGCAGGGCAACACAGGGCGATGCAGTGCTGGGTGGCGCAATGCAGCGCCGTGCAATCCGGTTGGATGCGGTGTGGCACAATGCACTGTTGTGGAGCAATCCAGTTGGGTCTATGCAGTGCTGAGGGGAGCTGTGCATCACATTGCTGCAAGCCTCACAGAGCTTCGGTTGCCCTGCTGCTATTAAAAGCCAGTGCCCAGCTCAGCAAGGCCCCTCATTCTCTCACCTAGACCGAGCTCCTTGGTCTCTGGGAATCCTGCACCTAGAGGAGTTTTCTCCAGGCTCTGAGTCTGAAATCCTACAGCTGGGAAGCAAAGTCCTTTTGCAGCCAGCCCACCCCAGCACTTGAGTCTGGAGCTGAGATTTCAGTCTTCCTATGTGATGCAGCCCTTTTCTCAGCCCCCCAAACTCTGTACAAAGTATCCCTACATTTCTAGTACAGAAACTAGTCAAGAATCTCTTAACACCACCAACAGGGATAACAACTGTCTGGGGTTGTATAGTGCTTCATCTTGCAGCTCCTGCTGTGTTCCAAGGGAATTCAATTATAATGAGGGCCATGCAGATAGGAGGTGGTGTGTCCTGGCTCACCCAGTAGCTCTGTGGCAGCAGGGGAGAAGCTGGTAGATGCCTGGTACTGTCAGTTCTCTGTCTAGTTGCTCTGGCTAGTTCCAAAATACAGAAAAGCACCCAAACAGGCAGAAAAGGGAGAAAAGCATCCTCACCTTTTCACAGGGAGCAAAATCTATTAAAGCAGGATTGGCTTAAACTCTGCTTTGCTTTAAATGGGAACTTATGCAGGACATGTGTTGCACAGGCATCTGCTAGGAAGAGAAGAAATTTTTTACATTGCTGCCTGTCACCTACAGATACCTTAAGTGTTTTTTCCCCCTTTGCAGGTAATAAGAACATCTTGGTGGGGTTTTAAGACATCATGGCAGCTAGTTGCAACGCAGGTCTCCTTTGGACTAAGAAAGAATAATTTCACCTAGAGTCTGTATACAAATCTGTTACTCAGACAATACCAGAAAACAGTTTTGTCTTTTAAGCCATTTCTGCTTCTCACTATTCATAGCATCCCTGTGACATAAAGACGTTCAAACATAAAGCAACACATCTACTTGAAGTGTGTTCAAAATACCACGCAGCCCCTTGGTCACTGTCCCCCAACCCCCAAGTGGGATGGAAAAAAGGTAAGGCCTGCAGGTTGAGATAACAACAGTTTAATAATTAAAATAAGGTATAATCCTACTACTAATAATGAAAAGTGAAATAATAAAAAGAGAGAAAGAAAAAAAAGCCCAGGTGCTGCACAATACAGCTGCTCACCACTTGGTGACTGATACCCAGCCTGGCCCAAAGTAGCAATCAGTCCCTTCCAGGTAACTGTCCCCAATTTATATACCAGTTGTTTATATAGTACAGCATGATGTGCTGTGGTGTGGAATACCCCTTTGGCTAGTTTGGGTCAGGTATCCTGTCTCTGCTCCCTCCTGGCTTCTTGTGCCCGTCCTCACCGGCAGAACAACAGACTGAGAAGTCCTTGAGCAAGGTCAAGACTACTTAGCAATAACTAAAGCACTACTGTGTTACCAGCACTGTTATCAGGCTAAAGCCAAAACACAGCACTGCACCCGCTACTGGGAAGAAAATTAACTCTGTTCCAGCCGAAACCAGGACACTTAGTAACACAATGTAGCTGTTTGAAACTACTTTCATTAAAAACAAGTGTATATGGCTTTTGATTGGCAGTTGTAAGATTGTAACTATAATTAAATGTACAGCTTCAAAAGATATACGAATACCATTATTTACTTGCTTCACAGAATTTTAAAAGTTTTCAAGTGCTTTAAACGTGGTAACTGAGTTATGCACCTGTAGATGACCCTCTACAAATCAGTAATTCTGACCAGAAGACAAACTCATAGAATCATAGAATCATAGAATAGTTAGGGTTAGGAAGGACCTTAAGATCTTCTAGTTCCAACCCCCCTCCCATGGGCAGGGACACCTCACACTAAACCATGTCACCCAAGGCTCTCTGCAACCTGGCCTTTAAGACCACCAGGGATGGGAAATTCACAACTTCCCTGGGAAACCCATTCCAGTGCCTCACCACCCTAACAGTAAAGAACTTCCTCCTTATATCCAATCTAAACTTCCCCTGTTTAAGTTTGAACCTGTTACCCCTTGTCGTATCCTTTGACCTGCTGGTCACGCTCCTTTTGATACAGCCCAGGATAAGGTTGGGTTTCCGGGCTGCAGGCACATACTGAAGCCGGCTCATGTTCATTTTCTCATCAACCAACACCCCCAAGTCCTTCTCCACAGGGCTGCTCTGAATCTCTTCTCTGCCCAACCTGTAGCTGTGCCTGGGATTGCTCCGACCCAGGTATAGGACCTTGCACTTGGTATGGTTAAACTTCATGAGGTTGGCATTAGCCCACCTCACAAGCGTGTCAAGGTTCCTCTGGATGGCATTCCTTCCCTCCAGTGGATCAACCGAATCAAACAGCTTGGTGTCATCAGCAAACTTGCTGAGGGAGCACTCAATCCCACTGTCCATGTCAGCAATGAAGATGTTAAACAGGACTAGTCCCAGCACCGATCCCTGAGGGACACCACTCGTTACCGGTCTCCAGCCGGACATTGAGCCACTGACCACAATTCTTTGTGTGTGGCTGTCATGGTTTAAACCCAGTCAGGTAACTCGTTCACTCACTCCCCTCCTTCTTTCCCTCTCCCTACTCCCGGAGGGACAGAGAGGAGAATCAAAAGAATGCAATGCCCACGGGTTGAGATAAGAACAGTTTAGTAACTAAGGTATAACACAAATCACTACTGCTGCCACCAATGATAACAATGATAAAGGAAATAACAAGGGAAGAGAATACAACACCTCAGCACCAGCCGACCGATAACTCGCCCCCCCCAGCCCGACCAAGCACCGACCCATACCTCCTCCAACCCTGCAGTCTCCCAGCCCTTCCGGCTAACTCCCAGTTACATCCTGGGCATGACGTGCTGTGGTATGGAATACCTCTTTGGTCAGTTTGGGTCAGGTGTCCTGTCTCTGCTTCCTCCCGGCTTCCCCTCCTCCCTGGCAGAGCATGAGGCTCACAAAGTCCTTGGCCAAACCAAAATATCATTGTTATCAGCTCTGTTCCCAGGCCAAAAGTCAGAACACTGCACTGCACCAGCTACCAAGAAAGAGAAAAATGACTGCTACTGCTGAACCCAGGACAGTGGCCATCCAGCCAGCTCTTTATCCCCTGAGTGGTCCATCCATCAAATTGATGTCTCTCCAATTTAGAGACAAGGATGTTGTGTGGGACAGTGTCGAATGCTTTGCACAAGTCCAGGTAGATGACATCAACTGCTCTGCCCCTGTCCATCAGTTCTGTAGCCCCATCACAGAAGGCCACCAAATTGGTCAGGCAGGATTTCCCCTTAGTGAAGCCATGCTGGCTGTCACCAAGCACCTTGTTGTTTTTCATGTGCCTTAGCATGCCTTCCAGGAGAATCTGCTCCAAGATTTTGCCAGGCACAAAGGTGAGACTGACTGGTCTGTAGTTCCCCGGGTCATCCATTTTCCCCTTCTTGAAAATGGGGGTTATATTTCCCTTTTTCCAGTCATTGGGAACTTCACCTGACTGCCATGATTTCTCAAATATGATGGCCAGCGGCTTCGCAACTTCATTCGCCAGCTCCTTCAGGACCCTCGGATGGATCTCATCAGGTCCCATGGACTTGTGCACATTCAGATTTTTAAGATGGTCTCGAACCATTTCCTCTCCTACAGTGGGCGCAAGGTCTTCATTCTCACAGTCCCTGCATCTGCCTTCCAAGACTTGGGTGGTTTGGTCAGAGCCTTTGGCAGTGAAGACCGTGGCAAAGAAGTCATTCAGAACCTCAGCCTCTTTAGCGTCCTGAAAATTCCAGAAGCAATGACTTTGTATGTGGAAGATGGATGTATATAATGCTGGGTACCATGGAAAATGCCCCTAAGAAACAGGTATGAATACAGGAAATCATACACAGGGTATAACAGTATGCTACAACAGCTAGTGGGGGGATATAATGAATGCAAATGGTAAGTTCAACATTGTGTTTTTGTCTTCAGGACTCTTAGTACCAATAACAGTGAGTGGATGCCTGAGAATGACTGAAAACTCCCCTGGCAAACAGGGTAATTCCCCCAACACAGTGCATTTTAAGTAAGTCCTCACAACAGCCAGCCTCTTGGTGTGTTGTGAATACCAGAAATAGGAACACACATAGGTGCATTGTCCTATCCTACACCTCTTCAGGCTGCAGGTAAGGCATAGTGGCTCCCTCCCTCTCCTACCAGCTCACTCTGCCTTGCATAATAAGAGGTATGGGCTGTTCTCACAGTTCTCACCTCCACCTCCATGTGACTGAACTTGAAGTGGGAGTATTGAAATAGTACTTTCTCAAATATTTGCTTATCCTGGGTCATTGTGTTGATAATTTGAAGACATATTTAAACACATGGATAGTTAAATAACCACTTAGTTTAAGAAACCTGGTTGTAAACAAGAATCAAGAATTCCCCTGTTAATTCTCACATGTAAAAGACACTAGAATTTTCTAGGCTCTTAAGAATATTCTAACATCTGAAAGTAATCAGGTATTCAGGATATGCCTGAATGTCACTAAATATGACAAACATTGTCAGATCTTTCACATTATCAACCACGCTGTCATACACGTCACTAGAATCTGCTGTGTTTTTTGCTGGTGGTTTGATTAGTCCTTTGCTCACAACATAATACTGCCCAGTGAGGACCAGAACCAAGTACATGTATTTTCTGCCATGCGCATCCAGTCTGGAATAAGTATCCTGAGCAGAATAACATGCATCAACAGCAAAGTAGGTCCCATTCCAAATGGTTGCAGCTGTTCGGAAAGACAATATTGGCAAATATAGTTGGTGTTCTTATTCCCGTTAGAATCTCTAAAGTTCCCCCACCCCTTCCTTTTTTTCTTTTTTTTAATTTTTTTTTTAATTTCTGCAAAAATTATAAATTTGGTTGAACAGCAAATTCTAGTAATAATCCTTTGCATCAGAAGCAAATGCAAATCCAAATCCACTTAGATTTTGGCTAAGTATCAACACCCAGGTTTTGACTGGTAGTGGATGAGAAAATGAACATGAGCCGGCTTCAGTGTGCACTCGCAGCCCAGAAATCCAACCTTATCCTGGGCTGCATCAAAAGGAGCGTGACCAGCAGGTCCAAGGAGGTGATCCTGCCCCTCTGCTCTGCTCTTGTGAGACCTCACCTGGAGTATTGTGTGCAGTTCTGGTGTCCTCAACATAAAAAGGACATGGAACTGTTGGAACAAGTCCAGAGGAGGGCCACGAGGATGATCAGGGGACTGGAGAACCTCCTGTATGAAGACAGGCTGAGGAACTTGGGGCTGTTCAGCCTGGAGAAGAGAAGGCTGCATGGAGACCTCATAGCAGCCTTCCAGTATCTGAAGGGGGGCACCTATAGGGATGCTGGAGAGGGACTCTTCATTAGGGACCATAGTGACAGGACAAGGGGTAACAGGTTAAAACTTAAACAGGGGAAGTTTAGATTGGATATAAGGAGGAAGTTTTTTGCTGTTAGGGTGGTGAGGCACTGGAATGGGTTGCCAAGGAAGTTGTGAATGCTCCATCATGCAATGCAGTGTTAAAGGCCAGGCTGCAGAGAGCCTTGGGCAACATGGCTTAGTGTGAGGTGACCCTGCCCACGGCAGGGGGGTTGGAACTAGATGATCTTAAGGTCCTTCCCAACCCTAACTATTCTATCATTCTATGATTCTGTGACTGTCCTTTCCTACCAGAGAAGGGTTCCACTTCTTTGGATCTGGTCCTTCCTCTTTGAATGCTACCAAATAATAAATCTGACTGTGCTAGAAAAATTGGACAAAACAACCTTTGAACTAATGCAGAAAGTCTTTCTGCTAAATACTTAATAATTGTCCGTAACAACTATTAAAGGGGGATTTCTTTGTAAATTACTTCACAGATTTCTAGGGATTTCATGTGCAGGGGAGTGGGATCTTCTGATTGCTTGTGCTGAGCTTATCTTTGGAAGCAATAGGAGAATTACCTGCACCTCTACTTTGCTAACTAGGAGAGGAGATACCAGGAGCTTGTGGCTTATATCTCAGCTGAGGATGTTGAACAGCAGTCCTTGCTCCTTTCTCTAAGCAGATCATACAACACATTTCCCAAAGGCTGCTCAGCCTTGATTTCAGAGTAGGTGAACTTCTGATGGTGGCATTAATCAACAAGGGATTTACCAAACATGTTAATTCCTATGTCTATACAGAGTATGTTCTGGTGTTTATTATTTTGTTCTCCAGCCTTATTCTCCTTACATGTTGTGCTGACAGCACTGTAACATTGACATTCCCTAGTCATACATGTTTATGAAACTAACTGCTTTGGATAACGACTCGCCATTCTTTCCAGCACACCCACAATCAAATCCATTGTAGTTCATTGTGTTCAATGAGGATGCAGCTGTCCCATGAAATAGCAACTTCTCATTATTTTTATTTTTGTTCTTTGCACAGACAGACATCTTTTTTACTTGGTATGTCTGCCAGAGCAAGGGATTTTGTATTCTTTCAATCTGCAAAGTTACAAAATAGAACTATATTTATACTGGTAGAGAGCAATATTTATCATGGCAGGAAAGCATTAAAACAAACCCAGACTTCAAGAATTACAGTAATTTTCAATATGCCTTGTTAGCATGTGGTTTGGGTTGGGGAACTGAATACCCGACCCTGCTGTAAAATAATAAACCGAAGCAGCTTATCAGTTTTTCAAGCTTGGTAATTTTTGGCATACACTTGTTTTCTGTAGTATACCAGGTACACAGGCAATCATGGTAGCGATGCGTTATCATTTTTAGAAATATGCTATTGCACCACTGCCAGAGTCAATGATATAAGATGCCTTCTGTATATCCTTATCACCTTTACCTATGATTTTCTCACTAAATGATAGACTGCAATGATAGCATTACATTGAATTAAAGTTTCTTTTCTACATGTCAGTTTGGAAGTCAGAATTACTTCCTTTGCTGTGTAGTTTAGCAACCTATAAGAATTATAGGTTCAACATAAGGATTATGTAAAAATAAGTTGGTGGAAAAATACATGTTGCTGGCTCCTTATGCCAACAATGTGAATGTAGTTCAGGAGGAAACTGTCTATGTCAAAGTACAATGATAAAGGCGTTATTGTAACAGCTTTCCGTTTTCAATGGAAAATTACTTCAATGTCATTACCTGAGTTTTTTCTATTGTATTATTTTGTTCTATTTGTGTCTTAATGACCAAGCTCATTGAACCTCATGATGGAAGAAAATTTTTCAAACACATATCCTTACTCTTAAGTTTATCATATTTTCTCCTATTTATCACTCCTTCTGATTCTGAATAATTTCATCTTCCCCCTGGTAATTAAACCTCTGTGCGCTGTGCTGCAGACTTTTCAACAAGCAGGATCAGATCTTGATACTTTGGATAAAATCAGGTCTAGCTGAAAGGCTCTGGAACTGACAGGGAAGTAGTAAACTAGTAAAAAGATTTGTGGCCAGTCTACAATGATTTTGTATTTTCGTTTGTATTCTATTATTCATATTGGCTTATGCTTCCATTTCAATACAGAATTTCCTAATTGGAAATACTACATTAACTACTGAGTACAACATTAGATGAACACAGAATCAGCCTGAAGACTGATGGTCAAGGATTTTCACTATTAGAAGACAGAAATGGCAAGGCAGCTCTTGGGAAATTAGATTTTATTTATATCCACCCTGTACAGTGCTGGAGAGGATGTCATATGAAAGGTGTATTAGGTTTCAGACACCTTATAAACAAGTATTTAGAAAGTATATTAACATTTTCAGCCTAAGAATTCACTTTTTTCCCTCCCCATAGTATTTCACCTTCTCTATGACACAGCTGCCACAGCCCTTCTTAAATCTGGACTGAACTTTCAGATATTCCTCACAAAATGGCTCAAGATTCACCACTTTGACCTGTTTGTTTTCCATGTCTTCCCAGTGTGAAGGGAGTGTTATTGGCTGCTTATCTGCAAAACAGACATTGCATTATTATCACAGATATCTAGCTCAGTTTTGTAGGCATATCTTACAAACCAATTGCATGTACAGGGCTGAGAGGACAATACCTTACACAATGCTTTATCCCAAGAATACTCTCCGTCTTCAATAGATCCCTGGCTCTGTAATGCACTGCTAAGACTTTACATTTTCTGTAGTCTAATTACCCCCATGCAAATATCTAACTAAAACAACTTTGAAAACACAAAGGAATTTCATGTATTCTCCATACTCCACTTCCTTTGTGAGACTTAAGCATAGAATCTATGTTCAGCATGCCATTTCTACAGATAATATTTAAAATAGGTGTTCTGACTGCAGTCATATCTGCCATTAATTATGAAAGTACAACTGCTGGCTATGGCATGCATGGGGGAAAGAAAAAAAATCAAAAAAGAAAGAGAAAACAGCTATGACTGGATTATTTCTTTGTGACACCCCAGTTTGCATTTATCAGAATTATCATTCAATGATCACTATTAAAGGAAAGTTACAAAGCTATAATTTACCTTCATTCTTTGACACACGTTGAATGTTTGTGGTTATTCCTTGGTCATCATTAGCCTGTAGAGTATTCATATCAACCTTGTAGCTCTTCCCATTAATTTTGACTGCAAGATGTGGCTTTTTAGCTATTATGGCATCCTCCAGCTGCATATTTGTAATTTTATCAAAAGCAACAAAGCTGTCATTGCTTTCTGGATACCTCCATTCTACCAGGTTATAAATATGTTCTGCCTTGGATCGTTCTTCTTCAGTGTCCTTAAGGTTTTGGATTATTTTTTGAACTTCTATAGAAACCCAACAAACGTCCTTGGTAATACCAGAAATTTTAATGCAAGGGGGGAAAAGTTTATTTTCAAACTGAATAGTAACATGCTTTCTACTCTGGAGATCCTTCAAAGTGTCAATTTGCCTCTGATCAAAATGTTCAATTAGCTCATCTGAAATAATGTTTTCAAAATGATCTTTTAAAATTAAATCCTTTAACCAAGACTCAGTTTTATCCACATTTGTTTGGCTTTCTCCACAGATTTGGAATGTGGCTAAATCAACTTTCTTCTCCAAATCCACAGTCTTTTTCTTCCCACTTGGTTGTTTTTTAACCTGGAAAAATGCTGTGAAGAAATACACGTTAATTATTACTTTTAAGTAAAAGATCTTTAGTTCCACGTGCCCATGCACACAGAAAATCCACCTACTTACACTTAAGCAGAGACATAAATGAATTTATTGTAGATGAATTTGAATCTTCTCTTTTCTTCATGCTTCTGTAAAAGTCTTTGAGCATATTTGTTTGGAAGACGACTATTTTAATTTTTTGCAAATGCTGTACTGATCTTTTGCTTGCAAATTCCACTATAGCATCCAACATGTCATCAGCTACCTTTGCTGGACTCTGTCCTGCTGGACCTAAACAAAAATAAAAAGCATGTCTCAGTGAACAGTACTTAAATCAAGACAGCATCCAGAAAACAGAGACCATGTCCCCAGCTCATACAGACTGGTGTCCCTCTCTCCCCTCACTCCATTATGCTTTCTGTCCAAAGCCCCACGCTTAACCACAGCTTTACACCTAAGACTGGAGCTCAAGGAGCTGACACCCTACACAGAGCCAGGAACCCCTTCTGGGATTTGCCTTCATTTACTTTGAAACTCCAACAAGAACTTCAGCCTGAACATCCCCGATATTTTTAATTCCATGCACCACTAACTCTATCCCCATCTTTAAACTGGGTACCAAAGTAAAACCAAATAAAAACTAGCAGAGGCACAAGTATGCATTGTATTTCAACATACAAACAGGAACACCAAGCTCAAAATAATTGCTTTCATTCCCCTACAACAAACCTGAAGTGCAACCTACAGCTTATCCTGAAATGTTGGGGGGAGCCCTGCCAATTTCAGGCAATGCATCTCTTGGACAGCCATCGTGACACCAGCATGCAGATGGCGTTGGCAGTCCAAGGGACCTGGACTAACCCACACACTGATGCACACACCAGCTCCTACCCTACCCAGGCATGCTGAGCAAGGACCAGCTCATAATTTCTATTTCCCAAGTCAATGGGAGCCTTGGTCTGAGAAGGATACCTTGCTCTCTGCAAGTCCCAATCCCCAGGCTAACCAGAAGCTTAAACCAAATAAGCTAGCCTGCCTCCAAGCCCTCCACTGGAGCAGGTAGGCTGAAACAAGATCTATAAAGGTAAAAAACACAGGTATTCTGTACCCAGCCCACAATTTCCATAGTCAGCCAGTTTTGTTCTCAGGACAATTCCATCTTTCTTCACCTACAAACCCCAACCCCAGCCCTTATATGTGGCTGAAAGCCCAAAGCAAGGTCTATGGGAAGTTTCAAGGAAGTTGCAGGGTTGCCAGCTGAGATACACAGTCTGTTTTGGGGCAGAATGTCTTTTACAGAACAATACCTTTTCTTTAGGGGTTTTTGCTCCACTGATGTTGACTGTAATATTTATACTTTTTTTTTTTACAAAAAGCATCTTTGAAGTGTGCAGGGGGTATTTGAACTGACTAGAATGAACTTTCACAAATTACAGCTTACAGAGTTTCTTGTACAAGTTTACTGTTATCCATATCAGTGGTACTAATTCTGCCCTAGTTTCTGAACTACTCCCATCACAGCCTTCATTGCTTTCCTAAGAAATTGCAAGCCTTTTCCAATTGCTGGGAAGGCGACAGATTTGTACATCCTTAGCTCGCACTCATTAAGCACTTTGGAAACCTGACTGTTCATGTTCCTGTTGTGAATCAAGTGGATGATTTTACTGCATAGCAGTTTTCCACCTTTGAAACTGCCCAGCTGGAAAAGAGAAGATAGAGAAGGAGACATAATATTTTTGAAGTGGCTGTCTCTCCTGATAGGACAGCTGGTTATATTGATGATAGAAGCAGAAACAGTAGAAAGAGATCCACTGTGAGCTTTATTATTCTGATTTCAGTTGAGTCCAGTTTTCTCTGTTAATATTTTGATTGCAGAACTTCTTTGAGAAAGTAATACAAGTAGTTGTGTGTTTTCTAATTTCCCAAAATCTCTGCTGCAAGGTATTTGCCTGTTAAGCACAACTTAAGAATTTATGTTTAATTTAAATAAAGCTCACTTTTATTAGAAAACATGCCAATAGAATGTGCACAATTCATTTATGTGAGAAATCCTTTCTTTTATGTCACTTACTCTGTGAAAGCTCAAACCCTTATTCTGCAGAATAGCTGAACAGTTAAAATACCACCATTAAGATATCTAAGAACTGTGGTATGGAATCTTTCAAAAGATGCTTGTGTTTTTCAGAGCACTCATGTTTGATTGCAAACACCTCAGAAGGGAGTCACACCGTGAGGATGAATGGACCGATGAACCATACCACTGGTCACAAAGGTAACAACTGATTGTGTGGTGCTCTGCATGTGCTGAGGTCAGGCTGATAAACAGTGAGAGCCTGCACAGCCAAAGGCTGGGAGAAATATCCAGGACACTCCATCTTGAAAGTTAACTCCTGGATTCAGAGCAGGAACATTTTCTTTGTGCAACCAGAATGCGTTCCTTTCTGCACCCATAGAAGCCAACCACAGTGAGTTGGGATGTTACTGCTCTGCTGGTCTGGCAGAATGCAGACCATAGAAGAACTCATGATGAGGGCGATAAGCAAGGTTACACTATTTCAATTAGAAAGAATTATGTATTTGTGAATTCATACAGCTCAGATTTGCTATTAGCTTTTAAAGGCCAGTCCTGCACTTGCTTACACCAAAATACAGCCTTCCACTACTCTGTTCAGTTTCAAAACTTGCGCTCTCGTGTAGCTGACAACAGACTTTTAAAGATTTCTGAAAGTGAAAGCTATTTACATACCATACTGAGCACATTCTGCTTCTACATGGGAACCAGCAGCAGCCATTATTGCTTTGAAGACCCCTTAAATTATATGAGAAAAGCATACACATTCATTAAGTCAACATAGCCATTTCTACTCAAAACTCCACCCAACTTCTGTACTCTACAAATATCCCGAATTCTCACATGGTATAAGATCCCACAAAGTGCAAAACCTTGCCCGTTCTCCTAATTCTGCTCCTTGACACACAACACAGCTGCAAAGAGAACACTGATTTCATTATTGATTAGAAATCATTAAAAACAACTCCTATTTCATTGTTTCACCATCCAGTAGAAGGCCCTCACCAAACTCACCGATTGCTTTAAATTATACCACCTGATGTCTTCCATGCTTGCAATTCACAATGTCACCAAAGAATCTCTGCTTCTTACAGGTCACTCAACCAGGACTTTGGCTCACAGTGACAGGAACAGTTTGTCAGGATTATATTTGATGTGAAAATTTCCTTTTATTTAAGCATTTTTGTTTTTATACAAGAAAAATCTGGTCAAATGACTTCTGTCTGAATAGTCTGGAAACTAAATGGAATATTCAGGTCACATACAGAACCCATTTAATATCTGTCTCCTAACTAATTGCAACTCTCTCTCATCTGAAAAATACTTCATGGAAGTTTCACATATGGACAATTCTTCCCCCTACGCCCTTCTAAAAAGTAGCCCAAAATTATCACTAAAGATCTACATGTTTATATATGTGATGTGGCATCAAATGTTGGATTTGATATGCTTACAATAACCTCTGTATCCTCCTCGGTAATATCTCCACTAGTTACTTGGAGTGTAATGGAACCAATCTGCATTTCATGAACTGCCAGTGCATCAGTTGAAACAGGCCTAATAATACCTACAAAGGAAAGAAAAATACTTTAACACACTTATCCTCTAGTTGGGGTATTATTCTCTTCCATCGATAGAAACATCAACTTTTAATTTCAAGGAATGTGCTCTAGATCACTTTAATGGACATAGAGAGTCTCTGCCTTTCTCTTTACTCCATTTCTAAAAGCAGGAAGGCACAGTGTTATTCCCATTTAAATACTGTGAAAGTGAAACTATTTCTATTCTTGTAAATTCACACAGAATAAATTTGGAAAGGGACTCTTGGGGTTATCTGATCTGACTAGCTCTGTAACCAAGTTTCCCCGAATTAACTCTTACAAGAAATGCAGTATGCAGCTGAAGTATTTGCAGTAATGGAGATCACATCACACCAATTTTGTAAGCTATTTCATCTCTACCCTTACAGACATAACATTGTTCTTTACTTCTAGTCTAAATTTGTCTAGTTAATATTTTACCTGCACATTCTTAACTTAATCTCACTGATACTCAAAGCAACTGAGAAGAAAGAGCTATATATTCTTATGAATAAGGCTCTGTCACTGATGCAATTCACTCATATGTTTTTGCTATTGTGTCACACTACCGCCAATTAATAAATGGAATGAAAATTCTCCATTCTGTATATCTCTACATAGGAGATGGGCAGAAATACATGTTACTTATGGCTTGTTTGGGAAATCGATACCAAGTTCTTATACCCTTTGAGTAGGACAAAGTAATGGTTCTCCTACCAGGACATCCTCTTCCATGTGATAAGACAGGCCTCACTAACATGAGCATGCCCTCAACAAAAGAAATTACGATTTTTACAAATGGAGTTTAAGAATGCCAGTCCACTAGGAGGAAAAAAAAATGCTCTGTGTCTTAATGCCATTTTATCTGTTTCCTGATATGTATAGTCTCTTTACAGTATTTGCATTCTCCCGTGTCCCACCTCCTACTTGCTAGCCATTACACAATTTACTTGACCATGATGCTGCAGCATTGCAACTTTCACCTACTCTACATTGTAGTTCCATGTTAAAAGCCTGAGGAAAAATAAAAAAAGAAAGGTACCAAACATAGGAATATTCAGTATGTAATTCTGAAATACTGTACTTAAGAGTCATGTAGGTCTTGCTGAGCCATCTGACATGCTTTACAGTCATGTTTAGGTATCATTAATAACAGTGGAAGACTCAGTGTGAATACTGTGATAATAGATACCATCTTTGTGTTGCCAGACCTCCTCTGTCAAAAGATGAGTGAGCATCTACAGGTGTTTACAGTGCCAGCAGCAAGGCCAATTTTGCCTGCAGCTTATGCTTGCTGAGAGTTTCTATTCCAGAGATACTGGAGAGACAGCCCATTGTTACTGACCAACTGCTAAATTATTCCCCTTAGAAAGCAATATAATTAAAATATTGTAAGGCATAACTAGAACAGTATGTGACATAAATGGCTTTCTCCTGAGAACTACCTGAATATTATCCACATTGTTCGGATTCAAGACAAAACGAACTTCCTGGAGAGTCCTCCAAGTGTGACTACTACTGAACTTGAATACCGCATCAAACATTAATTTAGAAACAATGCTTTTAGGAAATCTGAATCCTCCAGTCCCAATAGCTGGGAAAGTGATTGATTTCAGTCCAAGTTCTTCAGTTTTCTTCAAGCACCCTCTCTGTGAGGAAATTTTTCCTAGTATCCAATCTAAACCTTCCCTGGCACATCTTGAGGCCTTTAACTCTTGTCCTATCACTTGTTACTTGGACAAAGAGACTGAACTCCACCTCACTGCAACCTCCTTTCAGGCAGTTGTAGAGAGCAGTAAGGTTTCCCCTGAGCCTTCTCCAGACTAAACCACCCCAGTTCCCTCAGCCATTCCTCATAAGAATTGTGCTCCAGACCCTTCATCTAATTTGTTTCTCTTCTCCAGACCTGCTGCAGCACCTCAATGTCTCTTTCATAGTGAAGGGCCCAGAACTGAACACAGTATTTGAGGTGCAGCCTCACCAGTGCTGAGTACAGGGGGATTGTGACTTCCCTGCTCCTTCACATCAAGTTAGAGGGGAAGCAGAAAATTAAACACCTACCATGGCTTCCTGAACATTTTTCTCCTCAACTTGGATGCAGAGACCTTCGTTTGTTGTAACCATCTGCAGATGATCTCTAGCCATCTGAAGATCCCCTTTTCCCTTCTCCTCTTGGCTTTCTCTCAACTTAAGGTTTCCCAAGCTTGAAGTCTGCAGTATCGGGGAGGATAATTCAGCTGCAAACACTTTTTAAACTGCCTCACTCAGAGCCTGAACAGTTCCTTCTGCATCATCCACAAGATGAATCTCCTTCAAGCTGATGTCCCCCTTGTATTCTTTCAAGGTCTCCTTGATGGAGGCTACAATTGAATACGTACACAGTTCCAGTGGGAAGCCAAAAATCCCTCCACTTATAGCGGGCAGAGCTATAGAACGATGATGAAATGTTTCAGCCAGTTGTAGACTTCTCTTCACTGTCTGTCTTAACAAGCACACACACTGTTCTGCTTCATCCTTCCTCCACCTGGGCCCAACAGCGTGAATTATGTTCTTGCAGGGGAGTTTCCCTCCACCCGTGATAACCGCACACCCAGGCTGCAAGCTCCCGCTCTTCTTCACCAGCTCATCACACTCCTGCTGTATCTCTGGACCAGCTGCATTTAACAGCGCCCAAGCAACACCACCGTTGTGTTTTAGGTCTTCATTAGATGCATTTACCACAACATCAACGGGATGAGTGCACAAGTCATCTTCATAAACTGCTACTACAACTCCACCTGGCAGCATTTTCTTAAAGCAGAGCTTGCTTTCCTGTGTATCACCAACTTTTTCACCCACCTTTTCTTGTTGGTGCTGTTCTTCTTCCAGACTAATCAAACAGCCAAATTTCTGCTTTGCCTCAAACACATGACTCTTTCCTCTCAATGAAGAGCTCTTTGGCTCCTGGCTTATCAATTTGCACAGTTTTCAAGTAAAGGGATGAGAGGATTTTTTCAAATGTGGTGACTGCATTTTGTACTTCTGCTCTTGGTCCACTCACAGAAATACACGGTGTCTTGGTGTCAAAACGTATTGTCATGCCTTTCTTCTTCAATTTAAGATAAACATTGGATTTTTCCTGCTCTACAAACTGCACTACCACCACTGACTTAGCCGGGATTACTTTTTCCATATGTTTGTTTCTGTCTATAAAATCAGTCAGTTTCTGATAAACTTCTGCTACATCCTTAGAAAATCCAGCAATAATCACTTGATTCTCTTTTCCATGTTTATCAATGACTATGGTTTCCTGGGAAGAACGCAAGGAGGCAAGAAGACTCTTCCGCTCACTTCTTTCTCTGCACTGTCCACTGCTGCTCTGTTGCCTGCAATCACCACCGTCTCCTCAGAAATCTCAGTTATGATCAAAGCAACATTTTTCACCAATCTGTTTTTCAAGTCTTTCCAACCTGCTGAATTTACTTTACATTTTATGGTGATGTAACATGCCATGATACATGAGAACTCAGTAGAAGCATCTTGCTTCCATGTCTTGATCAAGTTAATCATTGGCTTTTTCTGCTCTGAGAGGGATGATGATGGGCACAACATAATTTCTGGGTGTGCACAGTCTGTCTGGGGCCATTTTAGCTCACAATGGCAAATTGCCAGTTCCTGGTTTATGTCTTGCATCAGTTTGGTCTGTCTTTGTAAAACTGCCAGACATACGGATCTAGCGGCACCCCAATGGGGTCTGGCATCTTGACAGTTGGTCTTTCTTCTCCATAGAGAGCTGTTCCCAAGGACTGGTAACATGGATGCACGGAAATTAGTGTCTGTTCCAGGAAATGCTGCTTTTCCAAGACCGCGTTTACATCTAAAAGTTAGCACACATACATGCAAACACACATGATTAAGTTCAAATCAAGCAAATGATTCTGAATAGAATTACACTGAATAATGATTTCACTTCTTTTCATTTGAAAGAGCTACTCTTATGTCTTTCTGATTTCCAAACTACTCTGTAGGGGACAAGATAAGAGGCCTGGCTCCAGCCAGCTTGGTGAATATGCTTGTGCCTGTACTTACCTGTACAGTTACACCTTGCTGTCATTTGCTAAGGAAACCCCACCCCGCAGCAGGGCCATACCAACATACTGTTACGGAATGTTCCTTACTCTCAACTTACAATAAAATTCTTTGTGCCACAGAATGTTTGCTTTCCTTTTTTTTTTTTTTGACATTCCGGTGGGCATGGACAAAGGAAATTAATTATAATGTTGGTGGGGATTTGAAACTACATGACAATGATCCAAGTTACCTATTAACTTGATGTGCAAAATATTCGTAAGCAAATTCTAAGAGTCAGAAGAAAAACAATTCCCTGGCAGATATATTTAATTAAAGGAATTTACTAAGCTGGGGTCTCCTAACCCAGAGATATTTACCCGAGGTTACACTGGCATAAAAATGGGATGGTGATTCAACAAAAGGCATAGTAACAAGATTGCTCTTCAGCTCTGCTCTTCCCTGATAATGAAGATATTTGACCTTCATTAGTTTCTGAAAGCTACCTGTGAAAACTGCAGTCACTGACAGATCCTGCTTCCTCTGCCTGTAAGCACAATTAATGTTGTATTGCAGATAAAAGCCTGTGTAAAGGGGGAAAACACAACAGTGGGAACATCCCACGCACAAAACGAGTATTGAGCTGTCTTGGGTAACATACAAACCAGAGAGATTCTGAAAGCCTAGACATGCAGCAGTATTTGTAAATCCAGAGCACTCCCCAGGAACAGGACAGTGTACACTGGCTTTAGCGACAGCAAGACAAGTTTCTCCTAATGCCCAAATTCATGCTCATTTTCTGTCAGGTCCTCTCCCTGAGAGCAATTTGGTCAGGCTGAGGAGAGTGCCACCTTCGTGATCACAGAAAGTAATGATGGCCAAGTTCTCCTTGGGGAAGAACTGGACGTCTGACACGGTCCCCCACCATTCTGCGCACTCTCGAAGTAGACGGTGATGTAGTCTGTGGAAACGCTGGCTGGTATGTTTTCAGCCTTGATGCTGCGGGTCAGTTCAAGAAGCCTGGCAGTCATGTGGAATTCTTTAACCCTCTTGTTTTGTGAACATTTTTTGACAAGTTCTTCAGTATCTGTAAACAAGAACGGCACAAACTGACTGTGCTTTCCTGAGCCATTAGCAGCCCCAGCTACCACTTCTGGCAGAGAAATGAGCTGAATCTGCTTTTCCTTGTTTGCAGCAAAGCTGTCTTTGGTGCCAAGTCACTCTGTGGATTAGAACAGGGGAAATGCACACAGCCAGGTGACTCTCAGCTATTCACTACCACTATGCTTCTGTTCCCCTCTTATTCATCTCTTGTATCAACTAAGCGCTTCTCATTGTTCCACCGTCTCCTCAGATGGAGACTTTATACACTTCAGTAATTTGCAGAAATCATCTCCACCCTCAGTGTGCTTCTAATTCTGCTCCACCTAACTCAAAACAAGAGACGCACAATGAAACATTCCCATCCAATTTCAATTAGTGAAGATACCTCAATTTTTTCACAGGCACTTTCATGGAGGTGTATATAAAGACTTACATCTTTCTTCAGAAACTACAGTCCAGGTACTTGTTTAAAACTGTCTGAATCTCTAACAGGAGAGGAATCAAGCTGTGTGTCCTGATTTAGGCTGGGAGAGAGTTAAGTTTTCTTCCCAGTAGCTGGTGCATTGCTGTGTTTCAGCTTTAGTCTGAGAACAACACTGATAACACATGGATGTTTAAGCTGTTCCTCAGTAGCATTTACCCTGGTCAAGGACTTTTCAGTCTCTCATGCTCTGCCAGTAAGGAAGGGCACAAGAAGCTGGGAGGGAGCAGAGAGAGGACACCTGACCCAAACCAGCGAAAGGGGTATTCCATACCACAGCACATCACATTCAGCATATAAACTGGGGGGAATTACCCAGAAGGGGTTGGGGGGAAATGAGGAGTGCGAGCGAGTGGCTGCATGGTGCTGAGTTACCAGCTGGGCTTAAAGCAGGACACTCTGAAAGCCATTGCTCACACATACACATGGAAATGAACAACAGTGCTCATCCTGGCTTACCGATGCTTTTTGTAAAAGTAGGTACAGCAACATATATTTCAGGTATCACTTCCATAGTGAAGTCATCATCTGCTGCCAGGCCACTGATGCTCTCCAAAAGCAGACATAAGCATTTTGGACTGCATTCCTGTATGTTTTCAAAGACCACTGAAGGCGAGGTCTCCCTGGGCTTCTCTGCGATGTTTGTTGCAGAGCCAGCTTCCTCCTGGAGTTCACCACTTGCAACAAAGCTTTCTGCTTTCTGCAAGGCTTCTGCATCATCTTTAACTGAAAGAAACAAGCCACATGACATATCGCTACACATTTCCTGCAATAAGCAGATTTTGCTCACCCCTTCTCTCACAGTATTTGATTAGTTAGAGATCACCTAGCTAATCAAATACTGCAGGATACCCGGGACATTTTGGGATCCAAACCAGCCCAGATGCAATATTCTGCAGGCAGCTTCTTCAGTGGCACAAAAGTAGCCATGAGTTAAACAAGTCCAAGGTCACTGGTATGTCTCCAGGTCCAAGACGAATAAAATAACATAAAATCCATTGAGATAATTGCCCAAGGCAGCTCAGGCATTGCTAAGGTTAGTGAGAGGCCCTGCAGCCTCTGTGTCTGTTTCTTACCCGAGGTCTAACAAAGTCTGAACGTAGCTCGGGACATTCACAGGCACCACAAGCCAGCAGTAACTCTGCACAATTCAGTGCAAAGCCTCCTGATGACCACCATGCCCTGCCATCAGTGCAGCATTATGGACATGAAGAACCCAGGTGCACAAAAGGCTGGCAGGGACACAACAAAACTTTGCAGATAGACAATATAACAGGTGCCCTCCGAGCACTCCAGAAGTACAGCGGCTGCCAGAGAAAGGCAATTTGCCAGCCTTGCAGACATGTGAGGGTGGAGGCAGGAAAGAACCTCCAAATGGGTACATCCTCCTCTGCATGCCTGAGTAAATTAAAAGTGTCATGCGGTGACACAACTGTCCAACAGGCCACAGCAAGCAGCAGTCAGGATGGCGAGGGACCAAAGGGCACCTGAGGGGGCTCAAGATGGCTCAAGACTCACAAAGAAAAGCAGCTCCTCACCCCAATGAGCACAACCAGGAACATAAACCCCTCTCACTTTGGTAACCAGCACATCCCTGCAGCATGGTGGGGAGATGAGCATCGCATGGAGCCCTGGCGCTCACAACTCTCAATGTAAACCTGTAGGTCCACCATCTCCCACTGTGGCACAGAACACTGAACTGAGGGAAGAGAAGATCAGTGGAGCAGTTGCACCCCTGACCAGGGATGGGGGAGAACAAGGTCTCTCCTTGCTTTTGCTCAGAACACCCAAAAATCCCTAAATCCTGGGGTAGTGCCCAACAGGCCGCCCATGGGGGGCGGCCCCAAGGATGGAGACAGGGAAGGCTCGAGCAGGTGGCAGCACAAACAGGCTGGCTCTGCCTGCTCACCGAGTGTACAAACTTTCCCAAGGCACAACAACTGATTCCAAACCCGTAACTTTCACAGAACACAGCTGCCTTTGAAGGCCCACCAGCATAAGCCAGACAAGAGAAAAACGAAAGAAATAATCACAGAAGCAACAGCTCTGCAGATGCCAGTTACTCATTTCTAGATTGCCGACAGGAATCATTGACTGCACTATGCATAGTGAAGAAAGTACAAAACAGCCAAACCTGAAAACTAGGCTGACCCAACAAAGCGACCAAGAGCAGTACCTGGAGATTTTTCAGGGTCCTCTCTAGTATAACTAAAAACCAGTAGGTGTCAACTTTGAACACCTGAATTTGAGAGGAGGAAAACCACCCAAAACAGCACCAAACAAAACTTCACAGAGAAAGGAAAAGATGGGGCGGTAATTACTGAAGAACTTCCCGATTAACAGGTCTGTCTTGGGTCTGAATGCTTACTCTTTACAGATGTGGGTATATTTGGGTGTGCAGTACTGCTTTCTAGATTGCTTTCTGAATCATAAGGCTCAGCATAGTACTGCTGAAAGTGGACCTAACTGGAGTCACTGAGGTTCAGGGGAGATGCACCTCTTGCCTTTAGACTCTTGCAGTTAGACTCTTTTAACTGCAGAGAGCAAAATGACATCAGGCCTGGGCTTCAGACCTTCAATCTATGTGTTTCTATGCAGATCTTAGAGCAGTTGTGCAGGATAAGGGAACTAAATCCATCTCTGGAGATGTCCCTCTGGTTAAAAAGGCTCTTTTAGAAGCTAAAATCAGGCTTGTGGTCTAGGCCTGGCAAAGTGAACTCCACCCTTGGTGATCCAGCCTACAGTGTCCCTGGCCAGACATCTTTCCCTGTATCACCTGAGCCAGGCTGCCAAACTCAGAAACTTTCAGCACAGCTCCCCACGGAATTGGAGCTGTGTGTGGAGAAAAGCACCAACATTTTTGTTTTACAAAGAACCAGCACAAGGGTGACAATAACATTTTACCTTTTGGTTGAAGGTTACTCGTGGTATCCAGAGCCTAAAATAAAAAAAAAAAAGAAGACACCAGTGACTGATTTGACACTCATACCACTACTGCTAAGCTCTGGCAAGAATTCTAATTTTTATTCACCTTTGTGGGACTTACTTAATTTTTCTTCAAACACCTCCTCTTCAGCAGCTAGTGCTGTGTCAGGCTCTGTGACAATCAACTTCAGTTTTCCTTTTTCTCCCAAATACAGCTGATGAGACTGTCTCTCAAGAACACGTTGCTTCACTAAATAAAAGCAAAAAAACCCACTGATAATCTGAATGGAAACATGACTTGAAATTATGCATCAGCTTTCCATGATTACATTAGGACACACGTGCCGTCCCGCACACACAAAACTGAAGAGCTTTAACCTCACAACGCTAATAAAGAACACGCAAGGCTTCCCTTCCGAAGCAGTACAGGAGAGGGTGTCCCTTCTGCAAAAAGCCCACCAGAGATGCAAAGCTCAGCTGCACTACAGATCCCCGGTGGGCAGCCCTGCACAGGGGCTGCAGCACAAGCACCCTGCTAATGGCCCCCGCGCCTTGCACACCCTCGCCCTGCCAGTGTCAAAAGGGCTTTGGGCTGTCTGTCCTGAGCTTACCTGCTGGGTGAGTCAGCAACGGGGAAGCATGATAAGGCAAAGGGGGAAAAAAAGTGTATATATATGTTAATGCGCATGCATGTACACACATGTACATGCATACATTTAACGTAACCACAGCTAAATGCTTTCCACCTTGCTGCACGTTTTGATAAATACATGCATGTTATACGTAATTTTTAATATATACCTGCACTATAATACATATAAAGTTATACCCACATAAACTTCATTATTCCAAGTGCAATCTAGAGAACATTACTCTGTCTAATACATATATGCGTATATATATACACAGGGATATATTTATTACCTTGTAGCCTGGAGCTATTAAAAATGCAATCTAGAGGCTAGTACTAGCAAATTTAAGCAAGTACACGTAAGCAAATACGTATTATACATCCTACATTGCATATTACGGGATGTGTATGAGGCATTATATACTATAGATTTGTATATTACATACCAGCCAGTATATATCGCATCACATGCAATAATTAAGTCATTATATATATTTTTAGAAAGTTACGACTCGTGAGTCACAACGCAGCTCACACTCGCTCCGTACGCAGCCCCAGCCCCAGCCCGTTTCTCGGGGGAAGGCAGAGGCAGCCCCGGCCGTCCCGGCCCCCGCCGGCCCCCTCGCACCGGCCCCCGCCCCACCCTGGCTGCTCACCTTCGGGGTGCACGAAGCAGACGAGGAGGTGCCCGGTCACCGTCCCGGTCCCGGCCCGCAGCTCGCACTCGCCGCCACCCGAGCGCTTCTGGCTCTGGAAGTAGCGGAGCAGCTTCTTCCTCAGGGCGGGGGGCGGCTCGGCGGAGCCCCAGTCGCCGCGCACCAGCAGCGGGAAGCCGCCCGGCGGCTGCCCCGCCATGGCCGCCCGGCTCCGGTCTGTGCCCCGCTACCTTTCGGTTTCGCTTCCCGGCAAGGGCTGCCGGGCGCGGCCGCTTTAGCCAGGCGGCGGCTGCCGGCGGGTCCAGGGACGCCGCGGAGAGGGGCGAGGAGCGGGCACTGCGCCTGGAAGGGGTTCCCGCCCCTCCCCGTTTCTCCGCTGTCGTCTGCCGCGACACACCTGCCCCGGGCCGCCTCCCCGCAGCCGCCAGGCACAGCTTCGCACCTCCGCCCTTACATTCCTTTCCCCGATAGAAGCTCCTAACCCACCCAAAGCCGCCCCGGGCACCCCCTTCACGCTACTAAAATGTCCTCCCTCTGCCCGTGCTGGGAGCTGACAGCCAACAAGGTCATCCCTTTGCTCTGCCTCTCGCTTTGCTTTTCGGTCACGGTAAACTCATTTGGGGAAGCAGCATCCTCTACCCGTCACCTGCACAGAGCCCAGTGCTGCAGTTTCTTCTCTGCGCTTGATGCCCTAAACACCTGTAATGCACGTACCAGTGAAAAAACACCTTGGTGGTCATGCAGAGGCTGAGGACAGATGAGTTACTATCCTCTGCAGAGAAAGCCCTGACTGCTGCAGGTAACCCATCTGCTGCCATGCAGCACCCAGAGCCATCACCTCTGGCTCTTGTTACATCGATGAACCAGTGACTGCAGCTATTTGTCACAGGGATTGACTAAGTTTGTTCATTTTCAAAGCAAAACTTAAGACATTTGCCCCCACACCCAGATCAAGCACTAGGAATTCAACAGTCAGCAGTTTCCAGCAGTTAGAAAACTGACACCATCTAAGGCAATAAAGCCCAAAGCGAGTGGTTCCAGTGTCCTTGCATAGGGAGCACTGGGGTGGAGTGCGAATGAGTAGCCTGATGGTGGTGGCTCTGCCATGATACTTACGGGTTCACATTATTTCACACCACCTTCCCGGGAAAACATGCCCCTTGGCAATGTTTACTGCTCACCTGGACACACCAACTCATCATAAAACTTCAAAGTAATAGCAGCCTACCTACATAAAGCAAGTAGTAGAGGATTTTATCTTAATCATCCAACAAAAGAAGTCAAACCTGATTCGTTTGGAGGAGCCAAAGGTTTTTAGAACATGGAAGGGCTTCATCACTCTGCTTTTTCACTGGAAGATCTTACAACATCCAAGGCTGCAAGAGGTTTATTTTTTTACTCTGTCAACATGCTACAAAGATGATATTGTTTAAGCTCCCATGTTGGGGGCAGCATGGGACAACACAAATACCAGACTCTGAACTTTGGCTTGTTTAATGCTTACCCCTCTGAGACAACACACTGCTGTAAGCCTTAACTCCCCACCCCTCTGTGCTTTTCTTTGCTCTATTAATTTATCCTTAAGATCACAGGAAGGTGGCTGCAGCTGGTATAGGACAACAGAAACACCATCTCAAGATTTACCTTCCTGTCTCTCTCAGGCTAAATAGCTCAGGCAACACCTGTAACTTTCTGTAGAAACACTTTTTACCCTGCCAGAGAGGGTTATTGTATTAAAAACATGCAACTGGGTCTTTAAGCCATCAAGTTCATTGAAGGCCACTGTTTGAAAACCCATACTAAGTGTTCAGAGAGATCTAGACAAACACAAGCCATTAACTACAACTAGTTCAAATACCGAAAACCACTGTATCAGAATTTACAATGCAGACTGTCACAGAGTGCAAGAAGACATCAGAGACACAACACTGAAAGAAGATCCCTTCCACTCCCCCATCAGCACTCCCCACTGCCTAGTGCAACTCAGATGGCCATAAAGCTGAATGGAAAGCTAATATGGGATAAAGGATTGATATGTAACCTAACAGCCATTTTCAGTAGAATATTGAGCTCTCGTGTTAAATGTGTTAAATAGCTACACTGAGTGTAAACAAGCAGTGTTTCAGTGCATCAAAAATTGACAGAGGTTGCTTAAATGTAAATAATCTGTAAGAAATTAATTTGTTAAAACTACTTGTTCTTTTCACTGTATATTTTGTTATAAAAGTGTTTACATCCCACCAAAGATTGAAGGACCAGAAATGATGGCTGCAATCAAAATGCTTATGCAGTGAAAGTGATAAGGTATTCTGGATAAGCTTGAGCATCATGAAATATGATGAAAATGGATGGCTGCTTCACATCATCAGTTGAACTGTCAAACCGATCTGTAGAGTTACTAGCGGTTTTTGCTGCTGGAAGAATTGATCCTTTTATCCCCTGAGAATATTCTCCAACAAGGACTCGAGCCAAGTACATGTACTTCTTCCCATCCATATCTGGTGTGGAGTAGATGGCATTGGCAGAATAGCTGGCCTTAACAGCAAAGTATGTTCCCTTTCCAAACTGTGCAGCTGTAGACAGAAAAACAAATGTTTGTGAGCATTTCATTAGCAGCACTCATTCACCTGCCATCTTCAGAGCATATGAATCTCCTGACAGTTTTGCTTTTTATTGCCAATAGGGAGATATTAAAATGGGTTCAAACTTAAACAGGGGAAGTTTAGGTTAGATATAAGGAAGAAGTTCTTTACTGTGAGGGGAGTGAGGCACTGGAACAGGTTGCCCAAGGAGGTTCTGAATGCTCCATCCCTGCCAGGGTTCAAAGCCAGGTTGGATAGGGCTTGTGCAACCTGGTCTAGTGGAAGGTGTGCCTCCCTATGGCAGAGGGGTTGGAACTAGGTGATCTTAAGGTCCTTTCCAACCTAAACCATTCAATGATTCTATTCAGGAAAATTAGAGTTGTTTTGAAATTCACATTACCGTGCATTCCAGCATAGCTCCGGTTAAATCCGCCGTTGTTAATTAAGGTTAATGAATTCTTACTTGTCCCATGAAACAGATGCCTCTCATTATTTTTGTTGCCATTTTTGTTATCCATTTCACACTTTTTTATTTGGTAGGCCTTCCACAAATACGGGTTCTGTACCCTTTCAATCTGCAGAATTTGAGAGCAAAACAGAAAGAAAGACGGTTGCCATCATCAAAAAACATGAGTGTATATCAACAATTCTGTCTGCTTCCAAGATTCTGCTCCTAGATCCAATGCATATACATCAACTATGAAATAAGTTAGTCAAGTCACTTCAAACTCTGGCATGACGGACAGCAGAACCCAGCCCAAGACATGACAGAAACACTCCATGGGAAAAAAACATAGGAAAGATTTGCAGATTTCTGGGGTAGAGATGCCATGCCTACCTTCAAAGCAGACATGGCTTAAGCAAGCAATTGCTCTGCTCTACTATAGCAAAAACAATTTAAGGGAAAAGCACACTGCCTTGGTGCTGGAGGATCAATAGCTTAGAAATTGTTTCAAATATCTCAACCGCAACATTAAACTGATGCTGATTAAAGTTACTGACAGCCATAAAGACTTGTACAGCTTCAGAAATCCCAGTGGAATTTATTTTTCCATTGTTAGTATTGTCATTGCTATCAAAAGCATTTATGCTCAGACATGACGACAGGATTTTACCCTTTCAATTTTAAATGACTGACAGGTCTCCAGAAACCTTTTCTGCACATCTCTATATTCTCTTGTTTCTGGTCTTAGTTCCACTATTTTGAGTCGCTGGTTTTCCATATCATCCCATGTTGCAGGGAGTACAATTGACTCTTGACCTGCAGAAGAAACATAAAGCATATTTGCCCAAATTCTCTGCTTAAAATGAAACATGCCCTACTACGAACCCTTCTAAAGGCCCATAGATTTAGTTTATCACTAGTGCCTATTGCTCTTTGTCAGCCAAAAGTATTCCATGGGTTTTTCACTAGAGAATTAGGGCATTGTAGTTTCTAGTTTGCCACTGCACTGGCAACTGATGTGCTTGAATAAGTAGTTCCTAGACAAGTCTGTTCTTCACAGCTGAAGAGGAATTCTCTGCAACATCTTTTACTGGTAGCTTTCCCTGTAAATCAAGTTTTCAAGTATAAGGAGCAAATGCAGATTTACTGAGTAATTAATTCTCATCAGGTAAGAGACTAGAAGCAAAGGATCTGAACAAGGAAAGATTTAAATTAAAAAGTTCAAGAATATACCCTCCATCTGAAAAGCAGAAGGCTTTTAAATGGAGACTATCTTCCTTTTGTCCCTTTTCTCATTTCATGTGAGGCCTACTAATTAGCTATATTGTTAAATAGTAACACTGACTGATGCATATGTTGCAGACATCCAGCCTTATAGGTTTCTTCAATTAGAAGTGACATTTCTTGGTAAAAGAACAAAAATAAAAATCTGAAAATACGTGCAGGAGGCATTATTAAAGCACTGGGGGCTGCACTGTTATTTAAACCCATCCACTTTCAAGGGTTAAGTGGACGAAAACGTTGTTCCCATTAAGATATAAAATGTGCCCCTGTAAAACTGAGTCATGGCAGGACAAAGAAAAATAATACTGGGGAAAGTCCTGTACGCATGAGTAAGAAAAAGGTAGCTCTTTCTATTGGAAAGGACCAGAAGTAAAGGGAAGAAGATACATCTCAAGAACTCAGAAGTGAGCTGAGATCTAGAATGATCACTGCTACAAACATCTAACTACTGCCAGTAAACCTCAGAATGCACTACCTACGCTTAAAAAAAAAAAAACAAAAAAAAATATAAGTAACTGCAGGATTCTTTTATTTTCATTTCCCAATTCAGGTCCCTCCACATTCTCCAGAAATGGACCTGCACAAAACTCCTAACAACATTTTGCCTATTTTTACCATTTCTTACTCTGCAGGAACGTCAGTCTGTCAAGATGCTTTTACTTACATTTATCAACACGTATAATGGGTGTACATTTTCCCTGGTCATCCACAACATGTTTAGCTTCTAAATTCACTGTGTATTTTTTCTCATTAATGATGATTGAAATATCTTTCTCCTTTGCTAGGAAAGCGTTTTCCAAGCGCATATTTGTGAGATTGTCAAAGGGCACATAGGTATCCTTTTCATAATATTTCCACTCAGTTATGCTTTTAAGAAGTTCTGCGCTGCTCTCTTTCAGTTTAGCATTTTTTACCCTGTAGATCATGTCTTGAATAGTCGAATAAGCGATCCAGACATCTTTTGCAACACCTGAAATTCGAATAGCATTACCATCCAAATAAAGAGCAATTCTTAATTTATTTTCTAGGTCACGCAGTTTCTCACTCTGTTCTTCAACAAAATCAGAGATAAACTCATCTGTGATTTCTGCTTGAAACTGTTCCTTTAAGATTGCACTTCTCAACCAGTCTTCCGTTTCTTCCACTTTCTTTTTGCTTTCACCACAAATCTGCACAACAGCCAGCTCTATTTTCTTCTTCAAAACTGCTTTGGCTTTTCCATTTGGGGAAAGATTCTCAGAGCTCTGGAATGCTACATTGAAATACACAAGTAATTAATATAAACCATTATCAGCTGGTGCTAAACAGATTGATCTATAATAGGTATTTAAATGACATTTACTTACACTTTAACTTGGAAAGCTGTAATTTGGCTGCTGTTTTAGCAGTATTTTCTCTTTTCTGCATGCTTGTATGGAACACACTCAGCAGATGTGGTTGAAAGATGACAACTTTAACAGTTTTCACATATGGAGCAGAGTTACTTCTTGCAAAGTCAGTTACTGCACCTAGCATGTCTTCAGCAACTGCAGCTGCATCACGGCCTGCCTGGCCTGAAATGAGTCATAAGCATTTTGCCTTTAAAAAGCACTAAGAACTGTTACAAATTGTTAAAACGTCTCTAGAAGAAGTTATGAACATACCACAATCACCTGGATCATAAATATGTCAGAAATAACTGCAGGCTACCAGTTTGGAAGGGGAAAGGAGATCTGAGACATCTTTCCAGGAACCGAAACATGAAAGCTTACTGTTGTTGACATGGCAACTGATCAGGTTATGATGTAGATGATATGGCTTGGTTACTTCATAGGCCATGGGCCTTATGCTCAATGGCCCAGTGGCAAACTCTTTGCTCAAAAAGCAAGTCTAGTTTTATTCATGCAAGAGGTCCCTGCATGCATGGGGCCTAGTTCTGGATTACCGGACGAGAGATTTCTACTGAAGTGAAAATTACAAGAGAAAAAAAAAGGGACAATCTGGCCTTCCTGACAGGTTCACATTCCATCCGTAGGAACCCTACCTGTGCGGCTGCTAGCCAGAGCTGCATTATCTACTGATTTCAGCAATGGAGAAGTAGTTCCCTGGATATTCTCTGATGAGCTGCCCACACGTATTAGGCTGCTGTGACATATACTTATGGTGCTCTAGGAAGTATAAACATACTTTTTAATCCCTGTTAGCAAGAATATGTCAGATCTAGAGCACGCATACTCTTCACATACCAGCTGACTGCAAGGAGTGAACCTTTCTAGGTCTTTATGAACTTCTAGCAGTTTTGAAATCTGCAGTTTCTGAATATACTTTCACAAAGAATAACCCCTCCAGATAAACCAATTTCATCACTTGAACTCTGAGATCAGCAGAATCACACACACTAAACCACTTCAAAAAGGAGACAAAGACCTGTTCCTATTGCTGGGAAGGCGACAGAGGTGTACTGCTGATATTCACACTCCTGAAGCACCGTGGAGACCAGCATCTTGATATCATCTTGGGCAACAAAATGAATTATTTTTTTGCATGGCAGCCTTCCCGCTTGGGTGGTGATATAGCTCTTGTTTGCTTGTGAAGCTGAAACATTAAGTAGGAGAACATAATCAGTCAACAATTATCCACAATATAGATGTGTACTAATCCTCACTAGGACATGATAAATCATGACAAATACTCCCCAGAATAAGCTTCAAGTCTCCTTCCACAAACTCTGCATCTTCCTCTCTCTATTTTCACTTTCAAGGCACAAGGATCCATTTTATGTTTGCAAAATATTTGCCTCATTTGGCGAATTAATTTTCTCAGGAGTGACAAAAGGAGTTGCTTCCAGTGGGGTATGGCTTCTCTATCAACCTTTCTGTCAACATCACCCTTGCTCATAGCTGTGTTTGAAGTAGATTAGATCTGTTTTTATCATGGAAAGCTTTATTGGAATAACAGGATGCAATAATGAATACATTTAGTTCTTTATAGATGCTTAGAGGCCCTCTCTTAAAGACGTTTCTTTTACTTCCCTCATTACATGTTTTACAAGTACCACATTAACTGATTAAAAACAGCTGATGTAACACAGTGCATAGTACAAATGGATGTACAGTAGGCACCGAGAAGGTATTCCCACAGATTCCTGCCATACATGAACACTTTCATGAAGGAGGTCAGAAATGTACTATACCTAGTTGGGCACATTCATCTTCAACTGCTTTTCCAGCACTGTTCAGAATTGCTCTAGAGACACCTTGAATGAGAAAAGGCATATGAATCCACAGTTACTACTGTTAATGCCATAAAGTCCCTTCCGAGGTAGAACTGCATACCACATAATACCTAAAATATCTCAATCCTGATAACAGTAAAGGTTATAAATGAAAAGCAGCCTAAATTTTAGGTTTATGCTTCTCAATTCAAAGTGATGTCTAAAGAACCTAACAAGTTTCTCTGAGGTCAAAATGTCACTGAGGTTTGTCTTCTCCTTTAGTCTGACAGATGTTCTATGGAAGGATTACATAAAACAAAAATTATGAGGTTCCCTTTCCTCAAGAGTCTTAACCATGCCATCCTGCAATATAGATTAACAAGAAAAAGGAAGTTTCAGACACTTCCTAATTGAACCTTTGTACCCCAAGAAGCAAAGCAGAAACCACACTGTGAAACAAAAGGGTTTGAAACATTGAGGGGAGAGAAGGGAAGAAGGGGGAAGAATACTTCTTACTCTCCTTATCCAGCCCTTAACCCTGTTTTCATACATAAGTCAACTAAAGTACCTATTTTAAGGCTGAAGGTTTGGTTTGTTATGTTTACAATAACATCTCCCTCTTCTTTGGTAATGTCACCTTCTGCCACCTGGAACACGATGGAGCCAATAGTCATTTCATGTACATTCTGTGCTGGCATTGAAGAGGTACCAGAGAAAGCTGCCAGAAAGAAAGAGAGCAGAAGGGAGCAATGAAGTAAGAGATGAGGCACTTGTTCGTGTGCACAATGCCTACAGAGACCACAGTCCGCCTCCACATTCAGCCCGTGAAGAAGACTGCTTGCCATGTTAACTGAAAATCATTCCTTCTCACAGGAGTCTCTTATCAACCTTCACCTATTCCCGTCACTGCTATTCTTGCTGAGATGGCAGAAAAACTTGTTTCACTTCACACCTGGTATATAGACACTACCTCACAACATTTTACTGTATAAACCTTTGCAAAACTCCAAAGTAAGAGAGCAGCAAATTCGCCAAGTCTCACTCCCTTGCTCCTCTGTCTCACAGAGTTTTCAGGCAGGTTCTCTACTGTGTGACAGGAACTTTTTACCTACGCGTTATTTGTAAAAACTGGATTGAGTTTTCAACCATGTCCTACACTCTGCAGTTCCATTAGGCCGGATAAAACCAAAGACATTTCACTTTGGTTTTGCTATTCATCTGAATGTGTAAAAGATTTAAGAGTATTCCAAAGAGGCCACTTGAAGACACATAACCAGGAACTCACCTGCATTCCCAGGACATAGGAAGACACTGACCTGTTCATGAACTAATCAAGTACTGCAGCAATAAAAGAAACATCCCTACTTGTGCCCTTAGCACATGATAGCTTCTGCTGTAGGGGCACTAGCCAGGTAATGAATCACAGCTACCTTTTTTTTTTCCTTAGCACCTACAGCACTGTTTCAGATGTTACAGAGACGCTCAGCCTGAAAATACTATATGCTGTCTTTTCAGCAGCCATTTCAACTGTTACTTGGACTTTGGGAATGACATGCCCAACAAATATCTAAACATCCTTAATGAACACCTTCCCTGGAATATTTAAAAGAATAAAAATATCCAGCAGGCATACAACTTCTGTGAAGCAAGCTTACCTGTGTCTTGGCTAGTCTTACTTGGAGAAGTCTTCTGCACTGTAGCATCTACAGCATTTCCACACCTGTTCTTAAGTTCATCTGAGAATTCCTAGAGAAGGAAATTACAATCCACCCTTGTAGAAGTCCTTAGATTAGTTTTCAAACCTTTATTTCTACTGTCTAAAGTTAAAAAACCCCACACATATTTAGGAAGAGCTTAATGCAAATTACTTCATACCATATGCCTAGATGCTCATGGCAAGTCTTGACACACAGTTGTTCTCAGAGAGCAAGGTTAGTCAGTGTGAGCAACAGACATAATTGATAAATAACTAAGTCAAAGCCCTAGTTACCATTCCAGAGGGATACATTAACAGATGGCACCCTTACACCAATGGCCTAGTTTACACTCCAATTCAAATCTTGCAGCTAATACCACCCTTCTCTGTGCACAATAGCTCAGACTATGGTGTAGTAAGCTTCCTGTTTGGCCTTTCAAAATGTATTAGCTGCTGCACAAAATAGCAGAAGTCAAGACATGCAGAAACGTTTATTTGGGCAGTAATTCACAGGGGGTCTACTCTATTTTGAGAGATCTGTGTGTGAAATGAGTAACTTCAGTGCAGATATAGAAAATTTGTGCTAACATGATACTGAAGAAAGGGGGATATGGAATACTGATACGTTTCTACAGGAGATGTTTACAGCACAGCAATCCTAGCGTCATTATTCTTCGTAAAAAGACACTAGTACTCCATTGAAAGCACTCCTCTTTCCAAGAGTGAAGGCATCTACGCAGGAGTTGCAGCAAATTCATTTGTAGGCAAGTCCTTGGTACTGAAGAATTAGACTAGCTCATGAGACGAAGGCACTTACACTTTCATCTATATTATTACCAGGAAACAGAAAAGGATGGGAAGAGAATAGGGCTGTACAGGACAGGCAGGTGACCATTACTGGAAAAAAGAACTTTCAGTACACACAAGAAAGAGACTGTCAGCAAACTTCTTTAGTATAAGTCCAAGCACCCTGTGGATTCTTTGGAGATTATCGGACAGCCAAGTATCACGAGATAGAACCCTAATAAACTTGCATATAACAGAGACAGAAATATATGGTAACTCACCTGAATATTAGCTATGTCTTTTGGATGCAACAGAAAGTGAACTTCCTCAAGATAATTTACTCCATTTTTACTACTGAATTCAAACACCTTGTCAAACAGTAATTTAGCAACAACAGACCTGGGGAACCCCAAATTCCCTGTCCCAATCGCTGGGAAAGTAATTGACTTTAAAGATAGTTCCTCAGCAATCTCCAGGCATTTTGTGATGATGTCACCCAAGACCTGTAAAGCACAATTATTTTTTCAGTTACTGAAAGTAATTTTTTCTTTCCAGTATATGCAATGTAGCTCATCCCCTTTAGCTACCTCTTGGTATTAAAATACAGCAATTGCGTACCTTACAAGGAATATATTAGTAAACAAAGTATCAGACACACGGTAAAGAAAGAATAGGCCAACCTCTTTCACCTTCTTCGACACTCTCCCCCATTTCAAATAAAAAGTGGCATTAAACCCAGTATAAAGACCAGTCAAATTAGAGTTCAGGCAAATAAAACCCCTTATACCTTTGTAGATGCGTATCCCTGTAACCACGCAGGTACAACAGCATGAAGCACAACACTGCAACTTAGATTGTAACCTTTTGTTTTCAACACAGAACCTTCCTCAGGTGTTTTTCCTAGGCCTTCTTCTTTTAAGCCTCTCTGAAGCATTGGCCCTGCCTTGCTTAGCAAAGCTTTGGAGAGGGGCCCTTTATCAAGCTGGAGATCTTTGGTAACACTGATGACAACAATGTCCGTCTGAAAAATACACAAGCAAAACCTCTAGTTTATAAGTATCAAATTCAAATCTTGCACTGATGAATCTGCCTGCTGATTTACAAAGTAAAGTTTTGGGACTGCTATCTGAGATTAAGCAAAGAAATTATGCCCAATCCTAGCATCACAAACCTGCCCAAAGTACACAAAAGCTGAGTTAACAGTGAAATACTTTTCAAGCCAACGGGAGAAAGTGAAAATTCTGCATCCCTGGTCTACTCATTCTGCCTCCATTTGGAAAATGTTTATGCAAGTTTGCTCTCCAGGAGAAACTTGCACATCAGTCACTGAGGTAATCAGGACCTCACACATGTGGCTGGTTTAGAGAAAAAGGAGAAGCTTAATACTTTAACAGCAGGTAATTTAAAACACTTACGGTAGCATCCTCAATTCTTCCTTCTTTCAGCATGATGTCAAGGCCTTCCTCAGTGGTTACCAATGGGAAGTTCTTGTTATTTTGAGAAATTTTCCTTTTCCTAGGCTGATGAACTGTACTGGTCCAACGCAGTGAAGTGTAGAAAGGTGGATAATCTGAAAACACTTCTCCCAGTGCCTTGCTGAAAGCCTGAATTTTATTCTGTTCAATATCCACAAGATGAATCTCCTTCAAGCTGATGTCCCCCTTGTATTCTTTCAAGGTCTCCTTGATGGAGGCTACAATTGAATACGTACACAGTTCCAGTGGGAAGCCAAAAATCCCTCCACTTATAGCGGGCAGAGCTATAGAATGATGATGAAATGTTTCAGCCAGTTGTAGACTTCTCTTCACTGTCTGTCTTAACAAGCACACACACTGTTCTGCTTCATCCTTCCTCCACCTGGGCCCAACAGCGTGAATTATGTTCTTGCAGGGGAGTTTCCCTGCACCCGTGATAACCGCACACCCAGGCTGCAAGCTCCCGCTCTTCTTCACCAGCTCATCACACTCCTGCTGTATCTCTGGACCAGCTGCATTTAACAGCGCCCAAGCAACACCACCGTTGTGTTTTAGGTCTTCATTAGATGCATTTACCACAACATCAACGGGATGAGTGCACAAGTCATCTTCATAAACTGCTACTACAACTCCACCTATGGTCACCTGCCCATAGGGTTTACCTACATTACTATGTCCTTGCTGTTCTTCCAGCTGCTCTTCCGACTGCTCTTCCAGCCTCACTAGACACTCAAATTCTTGTTTCGCACTGGCAGCAAAGAAGTGTTCTCGCTCCTTGAAATATGACTTGGCTCCTGGCTCTCTAATTACCACACGTTTATAATGAAAGCCAGACAGAATTTGTTCAACTAAGGTGACTCCCTTCAGCACTTCTTTTCTTGGCCCACTCAAGGATATAACTCTACATTTCTTCTGTGTGATAAAGTCAACTTTCACATCTTTATTCTGTAACTCACCCCAAACACTGGTCTTCTCTTTTTCAAAAAAGTTTATGACTGCCATGGGCTTTCCTGTGATGAACTTTTGTACTTGTGTGTTTTTATCTATAAAGCTGAAAAGTTCCTCAAAGGCTTTTTCTACTGCTTGAGAACAACCAGCAATAATGACCTGACCCTGTGCCTGAGTGACTGTTACAGCTTCATTAGAGCAGTTTTCTTTAGTGAGCATTCTCCATTCCTGCTTCTGGAGGACTGACTCATCCTCCAATGTAATGCTTTTGTAGACCAGTTCCTTCTTTATTTCTTCTTCTGCTTTTAGGAGATCTTCAGGAGCATTCGCTTTCAAGATGATAGCATCTGGGCAAAGTTCATAAAAGGCACTAATTTGTTTTGTCATGAACAGGCTCTGTGACAGGGTTTCATTATCAATATGCTCTAAAAACTGGAAAATATAAGGGTGGACATTAACTGTTTTCTTTACCATTTTGTGTATGTTCTCTAATATTTCCCCTTTTACTTTATAAACTTCTTCGGGCATTCCACATAGGTTAATTATCTTCTGCAAAGGATCATAATTTATCTGTAGGGCTGGGAACTCCGTATGACTTTTTTCTTCAAGGCCAGTACTCTGTAAAATTGCATATTCCCCTGGACTCACCAACACTATTTCTTCAGTTCTTTTTTTTTCTCTTTCAATTTTTCTGGTGGCCTTTTCCACCAGAAGGGTCAGTTCTTGTTCAACATTCTTCACAACTTCTTTTTCACCTACTAGAACAAGTAAGTCCTTGGAAATATATGGGATTATCAGATACTCACCGTGGGTAAAGCTGTTTCTAATGGCTTCCCACACCTCTGCACTTACTTGACATTTAATTGCTTTGTACTTCGATATGCTATCTGAAAATGCTGTGGAAACATTTTCATTCCATGTCTTGATCACTCTAGATACTGATCGCTTCTGCTCAGACAAAGTAGCTGAAGGATGCAAAGTAACTTTTGGGTCTGCACAGCAGGGTTCAGGCCACGTTAGCGCACAATTATGCTTTGCCATTTCACAACTTATTGTCTCAATTAGTCTATTATTTTTCAGCAAGTAATACCAGATATATGAATCCAGAGGCAATATAATTGGATCTGGCTTCTTTATTTGTGGCCCTTCCTTTCCATATAGAGCTGTTCCCAGTGAGGTGTAGAAAGGATAGACAAAGATTGGTGTTTTGTTGAGTGAATGCTTCTTTGCCAAGATATTGGTTACATCTAAAACAAACAAACAAAAAATCCCAAACAATTATGCTAGAACTTAAAACCAAGAGTGTTTTTTTTAACTTTGTATTTTATATAATAATGTTTCTTATGTCTAAGAAGAGTTTTTCATTCATTTCCCAGCTAGAAATAATTCCAAGTTATTCAAGAGTTACTGGTTTTAAATGCCAAAAACTAAGAGAGACAGTTAGAAACCAACACTATCCACCTCCAGGAGGTACACACAGCTTTGTCCCCACTTCTGTTATATGCTGTATCACTCCTCCATTTCCCCCCTCCCCCAAAAAGAGCATCTACTTTCTTCAACTTCCTTCCAGCTTCCCCTTTCACTCCAATGCCTCCAGCTTCTCTCTTGTCTTCCACCTTCCACAGATGCTCACGTTTCTGTCACTGGCTGGAAAAACCACAGCACCTGCTCTTTGACCAAAAACCGGCCTAAGAAGTTGTCCTCACACAAGCCAGACAGCACACATTGCCATGGGGCAGCTGATGGTGAAGGTGACAGCTGGAGGGGATGTGTCCTGCACTAGGTAGGCCTGTGCTTTCTCTACTGAACTGAAACTGTAACCAGAACTCTGTCAGGATCAAGGCCTGGATGAAATAAACTATTCTATGCTGCATGCTCAGCTGGTCCAAAATGTAAACTTGCACTCCAGTTGGCAGAGACCTGCTGACAAAGCACCAGACCTACTGTATTATGAGGACAAAACAGGCATTTCTCTAGAAAATCCACATTTGGATCTTTAAATGAAAGGATCTCAAAGAAGTAAGATTTGTATTTCTGCATTACCTTTATGGTCATTGAATGTAATGATAGCTGCATCTTCATCAGGCAGCTGCTGAACATCCTCCACATGCCCACCTCCACTTTTCTTATTCTCAAAGTAGATGGTTATATGGTCACTGGGTATGTTAGGTGGTATATTTTCAGCCCTAATGCTTTTTGTTAGCTCAAGGCACCGTGCAGTAATATTTTGTTCTTTTGCTCTGTGGTTTTGATTAAACTTCTCAACAAATTCCCCTGCAGCTAAAACAGGAGAAGAAAAAAAGAAAAAGAAACAGTAAAAGAAAAACCAAGATCAAACTACTATCTTGCTTTCTTATCATGATGGTAGCAGACTATCCTTGTGTGCATTGACCACAGCACTGAATTACAAAGCATCTATCAACTAAGAGGTGCCCACAAAGCTACTTCTTTCCACATATTAAGTATCTGTCACCTAGTATTTACCACATGGTTGATCACAATTGTTGACTACAACTACTGTAGCCAGAATCTGTCACTGGTTTTCTTACTGAGTAGCACTGGGTCTATCCTAAACAAAGTAAGATCAGGTTCATTTTTGGGCTATGGCTTTATACACAACTAATCAGACATAAGTCAACAGTTCAAATCTGGATTCTTTCAGGTTTATGATAAACACATTCTATTTTCACTGGGTTTCCTCCCTGTTGTCATCACAGTAAACGACAGTCTTTTACATTTGCCAGACAAACACACAATTAAGTTTTTAAAGGATCTATTTATTTCCTAAAGGCTACACCAAAAACCTGGGACTAGACCACAGTATGAAAGGCAAATAATTTCTGACTTCTAAAGCAGAAAACACTTTCTCAGAGACTAAAAACTTCTTTGGTTTAGTTACACCACAGACTAATCCCTTCACAACTTTAAGATTCCTGAGCAACTTCATTCTTACATATTACCAATAATACCACTGTTCCCGCTAAGTTGAGTCAAAGTGGCAGATAACATATTTTCACCATGTTCTACCTTCTAAAGAGATTTACAATTTTTCTACACAGAAGACAGAATTCTCTCTTCTTTCCTATCCCATCTCCTCACCCTGAATCAAGTATATGTACCTTGTCCCTAAAAGAGCTCAAGTGCAGCAGCACTTGAAGAATCCTGGAACCAGTTCACCACATCAGTGTAATTCAGTTCTCCTGGTAACATGGTGCTGTTATCTCTACAACATCATCTATGGCATTGGCTTACACTATTTCTGAATCTGGTCTTATCAGATCACTCACTGTTGCCCATGTCCTGGGATGGAATTTGTCGATAATATCAACCGTAATTCAACCGGGAAGTGCCCCTGATGTGTCACTAGTGAGAAGCAGGAGCAAATACCTCTCTGTCACCTGGAAGATGCCACTGCCGTAAATCACTAATAAGGCAGAAGAGAAGGTATATATGTTTTAGGGTATCAAATACCCTAAAAAAAAAAAAAAGAAAAATCACAGTAGGCACGCAGTACCTTTAGACTAGCTGGTACTGCAGCATCAGGCAAAGCACACAGTGTCCCACACTTCACACAACTGACAGCTGTTAGTCTGCATAAGGACAGCATCACTTGCCTCAGCATCCCAGGGTCCATGCAGTGCAGTCTCCAGCAATGACCACAACAGGCATCTTTCTAGAGAACAGCTGCTTCCCTAATACTCTCCCAGCCTCCAACCTATTACAGTAGATTTCACAGGCCTAATGCAGCCTATTTAATAATGTTGAAAACCTTTGTTCCATCTACTTGTTCAATTTTCCCTCAAATCCATACAAACTTACTACACATGTGACACCTTTTGGCAAGGAGAGCCTTTATCATCAATCTTTTCTAAGAGCAAATACATCCTTTTATTGCTTGTGTAAAGTTAGATTTTGGTTTTAGTCCCACCTGTTCCGTTTACTATCCAAATCAGAGGGTTTACTAACCCTCTTCTGTCTACCTTTTTTCTGTAAGGTATATAGTGCATGTCATTAACTTCAGTAGAGTAAATCCTCATTTGAAATGACGTCACATCAGATTAAACTTTATACCTATGACAGAAAATATTAGTCTCCCTCACACACACACAAGTAGCTAATAAGAAAGATCCACAACTCTGACTCCTTACCAATATTTCCAGTAAAAGTAACTACAGCAGCATGTACTTCAGGTATCATTTCCACACTGAAGTCACCATCATCCTCTGACAAGCCACTTATGTTCTCTACCAGCAGAATTAACATGCAGTCTTTTACTGTCTCCTGCACATTCTCAAGCACAACTCTGGCGGAAGGCAGGGATCTTTGAGAGTCCTCCACTTGGCCTGGCTCCTGGAGAGTATCCACTTGCCATGGCTTCACAAACAGGTCAATTTTCTTCACAGAGTGATGCTTCCTTTGCAAAACGTTTTGGGCATCTAGTTCCACAAGAAAACAAAGATATGATCTTCCCTTCCCCTCCTGCCATAGCAGAGCAACATGTTAAATTACACTCTACTTTAAAAGCCTGGCCAGACATATTTTATTACATCACAGAAGGACAGAAATAAGACAAAACTACATTGAATGTTAGGGTCAGGATAAAAGCTACTGTATGTTCTAGATGTCCCCAGTGTCCCCCAAGAGAGAAAAGAAAAGAGTTATTTTTTGAGGTAAGTGCTGGTTCCTACTAGGACACCTCAAGAGCAAGAAACTGTTCTCCAGATCAGTAACGTTTAATAAATAGCAAATAAAGATATGGTCTTCCATCCTGCTTATCTTGTGTATTTAACTATTAACTATGTAACTATATTTTACTATGCTAAATATTTAACAATATTTAACTATTCTTTCTGCATAAACGGTTTCCTCTTTTTGCATACATCCTTCACACACTAACAAGTAGCCAACAGCACTTTAGTGTAGAGAAAAATAGAGTAAAAATCAGGTAAATTGAAGCTATTCTAAAAAATCTTTTACACCATAAAGGTGAGCGTTCACCTCTCTGTCTTATAAATACATATGTACTACAACTTTTCCTTCCAATTCTCAAAACCCTGCAACTGAAATGAATATGAAAGAAGATACAACACAATAGTATTTACCCATGATTTGCAGTTAATAATGTACTATGCTTTATCCAGTCTCCTAAACTGGAATTAAAGCTTATATATTCTGTGGTCTCCTGACATCATTTCTCCAGCATTATTCTCTGTGAGCCTTGATCCACATACTTGGGACAGCTCTAGAGAACCTCTGTCAGAAGCACACGCCTGTATTGGATGGACAGGCACATTTGTTCCTTTTACATCCTGCCAGACTTCGGAATAATACACCATTTCTGATGGATCAATGCCCACAAAGAGAGCCAGCACTGGTAAAGGCCTATTTTTAGAAGTGAGCTTTAGTTATATAACAGCCAAAGGATACAATCATACCTTCCTCATCCTGAAAGGTGATGATCATTTGCTGATCTTTTTTGACGTAGGACTTAATGGTCCCCCCACCAGACTTCTTTTTATTTTCAAAGTACATTTCCACAATTTCATCTTCTATTTCCTCCCCAGAGGCAGCAGTTACTACTATGACAGATTTCCTAGGGCTTGCTTTTTTCACTTCCAGTTTCTCACATGATCCTGAAATGAAACATCACTCCCTAGTGCAAGAGTTAACAAAACCCCCAAGCTTATTATCTTCCAAGTTTTCACAACACTTTTTGTTCAGATCATGAATAAGATGAGGAAAAAGAACAGGCAAATAGTATTTCAGGTGTCGTTTTTTATCACAACAGCCTTCAAATCCCAAATAAGCTGAGCATATCACTAGCATGAGTTGTTGCATAAACAGGTGAGGAGAAAAGGCTTCCATTAATCCCCAGGCAAGAGCAGCATAAATAATGGCTATGAAAGCTTCTTTACAAATCCATGATCAGGGTATCCATCACTTTTCTGCCCCTTCATTTACAGTTCCAGCCATTGCTGCGGTTGCTGGGTCTACACATGTTGTGCCAGCAGAGCTCAGGTGTACCTGGGGTACACAGCTACAGATGTTCTATCACAGGTCTCCCCAGCAGGGCTGGTGGCAGCAGGGAAGCTCTGTGCAGGGACGTTACCCAGAACTCAGCATCCACTGCATACTATCCCTAAGGAACTGACATGTCTGAGGTAGCCAGTGAAGAGGGGAGTTTCCTAAAGGAACTCATACAAAGGAAAAAAAAAAGGGGGGGGGGGGGGTATTTATTTACTTATTTAAGCTCAAGATCATTATTTCTACACTACATTAGAGAAACACCACAAGCGACCCAGGTGACCAGGGCACTATTGCAGCATAGAGGTCAATGAAAATCAATGAAGCAAGAATACAGTGGTGTCTGTTTGATAAGTGTCATGCTTGCCTGTCTTCTCCTGCTGAGTTCACACACACAGAATAAGTTTCCTTATTCTGGCAGGCTGGAAGTGACACCTGAGGTTCATTAACTATACATAAATGACAATGATTTCTGGGTACTTCAAGAAGAGTCACACTCTTGCTGTACCAGGAGCTAGCACAGATTGAATTTAGTTTTATTTGACATTGTCAGAATCACAAACTTCTATATATTACTTTTTGCAAACCATATGTCAAGTGTGGTCACAGAAACACTCTTTAAGCTCAAGAAGCCTCAGGCATAATGTTAAAAACCAAACTAGCACACCATCATGCTTCATGAACCCCTGCAAGCGCATCCTCCCGTGCATTACAGCACAGCCCTCACAGAGGAACTGTGTGTTGAACAAGAAATCTGTTGAGGACATTCCACCCTGGAAGGAAGTGCCTTTAGAAGTCAAGCACCCCTGTAAAAGTGTCTATCATGATGTATGCTGACTCTGCACCACATCGCTACCTGCTGGCTTGAAACAATAAGGAACACAGCTAAATTAGAAACCAAAAAGTAATGGCAATATCTGTCAAGCTGCTTTCCTGGCCTTGCACCCTCAGTCTTCACCTGTGCGCCACTCTTTTTGGCACAAATAACTTGCATGTAGGATAAAGGCGGCATGTGTGACTATCCAGCTCTGGTCCACAAGGAGAACACAGATGATGTCTGCTGGAACCACAACAAAAACTGCATGGAAAGTTAGTTCGTTCAGGTTTTATGCACGTCTTGGAGTTTACTTAAGCGCTATCCTTTATAAATTACATTAAATTTACTTTTTAAAAAACAAAGGGGAGTGGTGGAGGTGATGAAATGACAGAGCACATCTCAACGCCAGCCTGGGCAAGCTCTCGACCAGCAGACGGCTCTGTCGCCGTTCCCTGTCCCTCCCACCCCCGAGCCAGAGGTGTACAGACCCGGAGTCCCTGTCCCGCACCGCTCCTCACGAAGACCCTACCTGACGCCTCGGCGGCCTCGCCAGCTGGTGCCACCTCCTGCAAGCGGAACCGGAGAAGAGCGGTTACCGCGGCCCCGCTCGCCCGACCGCCCTCCACGCCAACCCGCCCGCCTCACCTGCGTCTGGCAACCGTCCGCAGGCAGCTCGGTGACGACTAGCGACAGCTGCCCTCTGGGCTCCCACTCAAGCTCATGGACCCGCCGGTCGAGCACCCGCTGCCTCACTGTCAATACGACACACACCGGTGAGGGGAGGGATGCCACCGCCGGACCTCCCGTTCCCAAACGCGGGTAGCGGCCATTGGTGGCCCTACCCTGGCTGCTCACCTTCGGGGTGCACGAAGCAGACGAGGAGGTGCCCGGTCACCGTCCCGGTCCCGGCCCGCAGCTCGCACTCGCCGCCACCCGAGCGCTTCTGGCTCTGGAAGTAGCGGAGCAGCTTCTTCCTCAGGGCGGGGGGCGGCTCGGCGGAGCCCCAGTCGCCGCGCACCAGCAGCGGGAAGCCTCCCGGCCGCTGCCCCGCCATGGCCGCACCTACACCACAACCCCAATCCCCACCCCTTCAGTTTCGGTTTCATTTCTTCAGCGACGGAGGCAAAAGCAGCGCCGGGCTCCGCCCTGCAGGGGGAGCGCTGCCCCTCCACAAGGAGGGCAGGAAGGGTGCCGCCGCCGGCCGCTGTAAGCAGCCTTCGTTACGCAGCCCGCTCCGCTCGGGAGGCCGTGAGCGTAACGCGGTACTTGCACAGAGCCGCGGCAGAACCTGGTTTTACAAATGCAGCTGTTCTCAGTGCCTGAGCTTGTAACTCAGGCAGTGGGTAATACTCTCCCTGCGTTACGTTTTGAAACCAAGTCGTGGCGCAAAGTGAAACTACTCGTTTCCATCGCTCTCCATCAGAAATACTTCTACCACTGTGCAGGATTGCAATTTCTTCTTAGGAAGAAATACTGTGAGGGTGATGAGACTCTGGACCAGGTTGCCCAGAGAAGCTGTGAATGCCTGTGATAAACGCATAAATACGTTGGCTTTTGCAAATCATAGGTGTTGCTATGTGGATATAACTGTATGAGTTTGCAAAGCTCGCTAAAGATACAAGATTAGACAAAAAGTTGAAAATGGCCAGAACTCTTGAGCAAAATGGAGTCACATAGCAAAAGAATTTGAAAAGGTAAAAGAAAGGGGGGGGGGGGGGGGGGGGGGGAGTGTGTGTTGATATGAGGAAAGCTAATGCCTGGAAAACATAGGGTTAAAGTACTTTTAGCTTAGCTTAGGTTGACGATAAAGAACAATGCTTGTGTTGTAAGTCTGCGGTGAGATAACAGAATTTAGTGGCCCCACTAAGCCTGAGTGAATTACTTCACACCATCCTTCTACTTATCAATTAGTTTAGAGACAGTGCCTCCCAAACTTCTGCTAGCTTGGGATACTCCTTGTCTGCTCATCCTGTTTTGCTTTCAGTAAATTTTGGACGAAGGTCATACTGTTCTAAATCTTTGCCAGCTATTGGAAAAATTACAGATATGGCTGGTGTCAGCTAGTTTTGTGATTACTGGGGCATCCAACTGCGCCAAAGGTGAAAAGTACACCGTGAGGAAGACTGATTACTTCATCTTGGAGACCCCTGCCCACAATCACCGGAGAGCAGTGCTCAGACGCCAAGAGGAGGAGACTTATAAGTTCCTGGAGCTAGTTATAATATTCCCTGCCTATATGTGGGAATTATGAATATGCATATGACTAATGCAATAGTGAAAGTATATAAACCTGTAACAAATGCTAATCGGTGCGCCTCTGGCTGTGGTCACACACCCAGCGCTGTTACTTTTGCTTTATTGACTTTGTCCCTCAATAAAACTCTGTTATCTTGATTAGAGGAGTGAGCTCTTATTTCACATGCCCCATCCCTGAAAGTGTCAAGGTCAAGTTGGATGGGGCTTTGAGCAGCCTGGTCTAGTGTAAGGTGTCCCTGCCTATGGCAGTGCTGTTGGAACTAGATAATCTTTAAGGTCCCTTCCAACTCAAACCAGTTTATGATTCTATGAAAGAGTGTTCCCAGACCAATGTGTCAGCTAGCTGAGGCATTTTCAGCCATGTGCCCAGGACTTCCCCTTGCAAAGTTTCAGCTATTTCTTGCTGTGTATTTTACTAATGTGCCCAAATCTGAGACACTAAAATAGCAGATAAATGAAAATTGGTTTTGTTAGACATGCTGAGTGGGCCTATGGGGATGCCTTTGTTTCTCAGTGGGCCATTAATCTTTTGTTTCTTAATTTACCGTTCTCTCAACAGTTTGCCCAGGTACATGCTCTCCTCCCTTGCTGTAACCCAGGCAAAGTAGAATCATAGAATCACAGAATAGTTAGGGTTGGAAAGAACCTTAAGATCATCTAGTTCTAACCCCCCTGCCGTGGGCAGGGACACCTCACACTAAACCATACCACCCAAGGCTTTGTCCAACCTGGTCTTGAACACTGCCAGGGATGGAGCATTCACAACCTCCCTGGCCAACCCATTCCAGTGCCTCACCACCCTTACAGTAAAGAACTTCTTCCTTATATCCAATATCTGACTTTGAAAGCAGATCGGTTAAGTTTCTTCATAAACAGTACAGCTGGTTATAGGATAAAGGTCTGGGAGCTTTCAGAGACAGTCACCAGGACTCCACTGCAAAACTCAGCCTGCAAACTTTGCCACAGATAAAACGGGAGCCAGTGAGTTATCAGACAGGGACCTAACACTGAGGAAGTGTCTAACAGGGACAGAAAGCAACACGAGCAACTGAAAGAAACTGGGGAGATTTGACATTCACAGCTTGTTTCACTGTGCAGAAAAGCACAGCCATTTAGAAACAACTGGAATGCTAGTATCTTACTGCACAGAAAAGGAGGAAACGTGAAATAGTGTAAAATGTGAAAACAAATGTGGTAAAACAAAACCACAGTAGAAGAGATATTGTAACCCACATGGAAACCAAACAGTGCTGATACTATGACACATGAAAGTCAGGGAGGTAAAGTAATACTGCCTGTTTACAATGTGGGAACCTAAAATAAAGAGAAATAAAAGGGAGGTAGCATGGGGTCCAAATCACCTCAAGTCGTGGTGCTGGTGGTAAATTCCTAAATAAAACAAGCAAACAAACAAACAAAACAACTATACTTACTTAAAACAGGAGGGAAAAGCTGTACAGAAGAATGCAGAACTGGGCAGATGGTATGTTTATATTTTGTTTATTGGTTATATTCAATAGCCTAAAAAAAATGGTTTAACTCACTAAAAATTATGGCTGCACCAATGGGAAGAATATAGTTTTATAGTTGTAAAGCTGATGTAAAAGTTGTATTTAAGTTCAAACACGATGGAAGGCACAGAACCAGGACTCCCTGATCAGAGATGGCCACAGGCACCATTTACTCAAATGTGCCTCAGCATTTAGCACTCCTACAGGTTAAAAGCACCACAGCAGCATCCACATATCCCTTCATAAATTATCCATGCTAATTTAACATGTAAACCCCAAACCACTACTGCCATTTTTATCCTGGAAAGGCAAATAAGTGAAAGACCACAGCCTGATAACAGCTGATGAACAGCTGCATAGAAATTTTCTAGGCAGATGAGTTACGTGATGCTATCCATGATGATAGACATAATAACACAAAGCTAAAGCATTTTATCAAATAGAAGCTAGTAGTGATCAGGCTGAGGGCTTGTGGGGAAAAAAGTGCAGATCAGATTCACTGGTAAAATAAGATACACAATTTGAAATTTGACAAGTGCAATGAGTACTGATACTGCACTCACAAGACCCAAATTCTGTAAATGCTACACATTTAGGGAAGCGTTATTTGAGGAAGTAAATGATATGTAAAAAGAGCATATATCACTTGATGAAAAAGATTACTTTTCTTAGCTGACTGTTAAATACAAGTGGTTTAAGTGCAGCAGTTGAACAAAGTAATTTCTTCTTAGTGATTGAATAGTAAATTAACTCCTACATGTTTAGTTACTGCACTTAAGGGTTGACAGCTGATAAATTCCTTTATTCAATTCCTTTTGCTTTCAATTCCAATCGAACCCGGTGCAGATAATCAGGATCAGGATAACCGAAGCTAGGAGAAGAAAAAAAGAATACTTCTGCAATGAAGCACTTCACAGTTCTACAGAACCTTCTCATCCAAATCTCTTAGAACACTACAAATTTTATTCACTTCTTTCTTAATCTACAGAGAAAACAGATCCTATTTTGCAGATTAGAGAGGTAGTACATCTGTAAAGCTAAAAACTGAAGAAAAGGAACTGCTGAATTTGGTTGCTCAAACTGACACCAAGAACTTGATTTTCAAAGCTGCCAGCTGTCACACTTGAAAATGATAGGGCACTTAGGCATGCATCTTTGTAAAAATCAGAGGCAAAGCGTATACAAGTGAGCATCCAAAACACAAATATAATAGCACCTCTGGATTTTAAGTAGTGCATCACCAAAAGTAAGTATGAAGCAACTGATAACAAGGGCGAGCAGCTGGGCAAAGGAAGCGATAAAGTAAAACTGGTACTTTCTGTCCTTTTATGAACCTAGCCTATTAAGGGGAATCTAGACATAAACCTTGAGAGCTTGCAAGAAGACACCTGCCCCTGAGAGGTTTAAACAAGCTTGAAAGAATTGTTCCAAGACTTCCTCTTGTCTCTGTAAGACTTTTCCCAGGAGCCAAATTTTACTGATATTAACTGCAGTTAATTGTATCTTTCAGAATGGCCAATGGTATGTGCATTAAGGGGTGGAATGTAGTGATGTGGACCAGAAGGCTGTTATACATTGAGGAATTAGTGATCCACAGTTCACTGAGGCAGGCCCAGGCCTGTGCCATGCTGTGCTGTGCTAGATGTGCAGCATGACCTTCAGGGCTGTGTTGTGCTGTGCACATGCCATGGCTGCGTGACAGACTCGGACAGCTCCCACTTGGTCCTGGTGATTACACCACCTGTGTATCCTTGCCTTTATCTAGAAGTGCAGCAAGTCCTCAAGAAATACTGAACAGAGTTTCTCTTCTACTAAGAAAATCCTACAATAGCTCAAACAACCAAAATGAGGTAACCCCTTGTACGGATGTGGTCGGCATGGCATCGTCTGCTCTGATCAGAAGCCCACTGAATGCTGTACAACTCAGGGTTCATAGCATCTAAAAGAACAGAACCATATCTATACTACAATCTCTTCTTGCTGTTAGCCTTCATATGTAGAATTTCAAATCACATTTTACAGAGTCTGAGTGCTGTCTTTACTGGGGTCATAACAGACCAGCACCTCCTGGTGCAAAACAGCAGGTAACAGAATTCCAACCTTCACTGCTATCAAGATCTTGCTGTTCTATACTATAAGTATTTTCTAACCAGAGCAGTTATTAACTGTGTAGGTGCTTTACACAGCTCACTGGTGAATGAGTGGCATGTAGGGCAACAGAAGCCTGAGCTCCTCCTGGTCAGCTGTTTGGACTGTTCAGTTGTCCAAACTGGTGAGGTCATTCAAGTCTGGATCCGTAGAGCATTCCACAATCACTTTGTCAATGACAAAATCTGAATGCTCTAACATGGAAAATATTGAGGGTAACCTTCCTGACTCATTTAATAAATAAAATTACATGAAGAGCAATAAAATTACATAAAGAGAAGTCTACTTACTTGGTAGGTCCTCCCACCATGGAAGTTTTGTGGTGAATATCATTCCATGTGATAACATCTGTTGCACCAGTAGTACGTGATTCCCCCACTGTGAAAATCAATTTTTGGTTAAAGGCTTTTCTGAGGAGCTGCAGAATTTCTTGCCCTTCTTTATTGTCAGGTAAATAGGCTTTTCGAAAAGTTGAAGAATAATGTTTCCCTGGGTTTGGATGGTTGTTCTGTTTTGCAAAAAAAAAAAAGAAAAAAAAACAAAAAACAAAAACCCCATTGTATATTATAAATGTTTTGAAAGCATGAAAATGACACATCCCAGCTTTTGCAATACTTTTTATCCCGTCTTTGACTGAGGAGGACTGATTTTGAGGAGTTTTCTCGTTAGATGATTTCTTTCATAGAAGATTCATTCACATTTTCTTGTCAACACTCATGTATCCATTGTTATTTTAAAATTTGTTTTCTCATCTTTGCTCTCTGAAATGCATGTCACCCCACCCCTGACTTTTTCATTCATCCCATTTTTAGTCTTAGTCATGACTCTTAAGCACACACCATAAGCTGATATCTCACCTGAAAAGCTTACAAGCCAGCCCATTATTCATTTTGGCCCATTGGTGTCTGCAGCTAAGAGAATTCCCCCGAAAATACTCACTATACTCACAAAATGCTGTTTAAATGATATTACTCCATAGATTTCAGTTCAGTTATCCCCAGTGTGCAAACTACAGACAGGTAGCTCTGTCCTGCTGCAAATAAAATGGCTACTATTTAACTCCTACTGCATTACTTAATTGCACCCAAAAATACCGAATTAAATACTTGCAGATTTGTACAGAACAAAGAAATGTCTCTGCTGGAAGTGCATCAAAATGATAGGAAACCAGTTAATTTTATGTTCAATATTGGTTTTGCTGTGGGAAAAATCTCTTTTATAAATCTTTATACTTACAGTTTGAATACCACCTCGCATATTATATGTAATCTCAATAGTACCACAACTGGGATAACCAGGGAGAGCTGAAGACAGAATTCTACTTGACATTCTCCCCTCTGGCTGGTCTCCTCTCATGACTCCATAGAAAGTATTGCAAATAGGACAAGCTTGCTTGTAAGTCATGGCCTGGTCAATGCAACTTCTGCAAAATGCATGTTTGCACTTTCTCAGTGTTTCTTTGTTATTTATTATCTCCATGCAAATTGGACACGTATCTTTGTCATTTTCTTCTGTCTTTGCCTTAGCCTGTCCTTCAGAAGTAAGATTATTCTTTTGCCTGCCATTGTATTTCTTCTCAGATGCTCCTGTATCTTCTTGATAGCTGAGATCAGAGGTCAGTGGTGTCCTATTTTTACTTTGTGTTGAGTCTTCGATGGGAAGAAAGTTCATAATGTACTTTTCAGCATCAGAAAGATGGTTTGGTAAGCCAATTAACATCAATTTGTCTTCTTCCTTCTTAAGCTTTACATGCAGATTTTCCAGTTGTTTCCCATTAAGTAACATATTTAATCTTTTCTTCTGACCTTCTGAAAGCTTCAAGCTGATGAGTTTTTCTCTTAACATTGCAAAGGCACTCTGAAATGCATTGATGAAGCATTCAGTAGCATGCGAAGACATATCAAAAGTTTTGATCCTGGGCCTAAATATTATCAGCATCTTCTGGTCATATGAAACGTCTCTCTTTTCAATTGTGGTATCAAATTTGTCTTTAATGCCTTCAATTTCTTTGCTTAATATTGTCTCCAACAACTTAAACATAGAAGCATCAACTTCAATTCCATTCCTGTATTTGTACAGTTCAGATGATATTTTCAAATTCTTTTCAGCTTGGCTGTTTTCACCTTCCTCTGCTAGAATTTTTTTGGCAGCTAAAATCTCACTTGCGGGACCACGAAGTAGCAACAGATTCCCTTCCTCTTTGGCAAGAATATTACTAAACTTAGCATTTAATTTCACTATTATCTCACTTAATGTGTAGCTGTTCGCAATAGGAAGTTCTTCCTGTCTCAGATTTTCCACATTTTTCTGAAAAGTTCTGATGAAAAAATCACTAGCTTGTTGTATCAATGCAGGACTTCTATCAGAAATGAAGCTTACTGATGTATTTCCATTGTACTGATCTTTACTTATTATACACACCCCAAAACGTTCACATAGTTCTTTGATTTGCTCTTTACAGGTATGACTGAAATATTCATAGAGAGCTGATGGAACTGTAAAGTCATTCACTTCTTCAGTATTCAGACCATTTTCATCTTTCAAACCATTCTTACTTTCAGAATGTGAAAAATCAAGGTTCGGCTCATTGCCTGAAAGGATATCCTTAAAGTAGCAATAAGCTTTTTCAATGTCTGCAAAATCTCCCGTCAGTTTCTCAGATCCATCAATATCAGGATTTCCTTCTCTCTTTAAATTTGGACATATAATGGTAATTCTCTTCCTTTGATGTTCAGTGAACATACTGGTATTCAGAGTCGCAGATACTGTAAGAAATATCTAAAAACATAAGAAGAAATCATTATTTATTTTTTATAAGGTTGTCTGCTTGCTGCTTCTATATTTTCAGTAAGGAAAAGCTCTGGTACATCTCAGTGGGGCCAGGTTACTATAGACAAATTTGCACATAGTATTTTCTGTCATGTATACTGACATTACACATATGTAAGTAAAGCAATTTGCTTCCAAGTCAGCAGCAAAAATGGAACTTATTAATGTCATCAGCATCGCAGGAACAAAGACAGTAACTTTGCTACTTTGAGAGTGTGACCAGTATCCTCTGCTCCTGACTTCCAGTTATGCAGTTAGCATAACTTACGCCATTTAATAAGACAAACAGCCATTCTCTGTAACTAAGCTGGTCACGTATTAGTTCCTTTCCCCTCTCATTATCATGCCCTGAAGGTCCTGTGCGTCAAGTAGATGGAGCAAACAGACTTCTTCTCCCTACAATCCTCAAGGTTCCTGAGCACCAGGCCAACTACTCCTCTCCTTACTGGCCTTGAAGCTAATCAGCATGCAGATCACTGTCTACAAAAGCAAGCAGTTACAAGTACCAGGTGGGAACCTGGATCACAACTGTTCCTGAACAGTGAGACCCGTGATCCTCCAGTGGCCAGGGATACCTCCACCATTCTCTGCTTTCTCTGAGAACTGAGCAAATGACTCATACTTTCATGTATTTTTTCAAGTCTAGATACATTACATCAATACAGCAAGCCAAGTACTAAGATTTGACATGGTCTGCAGAAGTGATTAGAAACCACAAGCTAAGATTTGCTGCGAAATTCAGTGCTATGCTATTTATAAAATTTTCCTACATGGATTCTGCATGTAGAAATCCTGTGCTATTCTGATCATTAATTCTATGCTATTTTAATCATAGAATCCTGTTAAAAAAATCAATCTTTAATTGTAACTATGACTTGGGGCCATCACCATTCTGCCAAGGTTCCCCAACAGAAACTGCCTGTCCCCTTCGTGTCTAGCAACAGAGCTACATGGTGTTTTAACAGAACATTTAATATTGCATTGATCTTTAATTATATTTTTAAAAAGTCATGCTTTGGTAACTCAGGGTTAAGGCAGAAAACCGGATTCTGAAAAATAAAAAGCATATTCACATCTTTACTTTGCACAGACAGAAGGATAGAGAAATTTGCAGTACACGGCTACAGATGCAAGGTAACCACTATTTAGTGATGCGCGGATAGACTCCACAACTTGTTAAAGTTGCAAAGTAGGTATGCCTTTTATTCAGCACTAAGGCGCACGGGGGATAACTCCTCCAAAAGCATGCACACCTCAGCATTGTTTCCCCTTTACATTTGTCCTCTAAAGTTATATATATGCATGAGGTTGCATAACACGCCTATACATATTCATGCCCTATTCCTGCTTTGTATTATAATGAGCTAAGAAGTCCTTTGCGCCTGCGCAGTGCCTCATAGTAGTCGTGAGGGAGGGTCTCGAGATGAAGTAAATGAGTCTTCCTCGAGCCTGAACTTTCCACCTCTGGTTGTTACGCATGCTCCCTGGAGGCTTGGTCTTTGTCCAAAGCGCAGAGCTAATTTCAGCCGGCCTAGGCATCCAAAGGACTAGAATCAAGTCACGGTCCCTACTTCTTAACAATAGCTATGTCCTTATATCTAGTTCTAGCATACACGGAGGCGTCCAAAGGACAGGAATCAAGACATGGTCCCTACTTCTTGACAGTAACTATGTCCTTATATCTTGTCCTAGCATAATCATGAGTGAGCAATGATATTGTTAAGTAAGATCTATCCCCTTGTACATTGCAAGTAGGATAAGCATGAGCAAGCAGTAACATTGTTAAGTAAGCGGTTTGACCTATCCCCTCGTACATTGCAAATATCATGTACAGTAAGCAGAGCAAGCAGTAACATTGTTAAGCAAGTGGCTCAACCCTAACCCCCCTGTACATTTGTTAACCCTTTGCATCATTAGCACATGCTATACCTGTTATACTACACAAAACAGGGTAAACCCTTTGGGGGCAGCTATCAGTCTCTCTGTAGAGTTATGTCCACATCATGTAACGCGTGGCCTGGCCCTACCCCATGTCCCTAACACACAGTTGGTCTTTTCTGCATAACTTCTAGTTCAAAGTGTCTGAAATGGTGCTGCACCAAATCAGAGCAGATATTTTTAACACTGAGGCAAAGGATGGAAGCAATTAGGGCTGTTGGAAGGTGCAAAATGTGCTGAAATAGTGTTAGAGGTCTATGTGGCAGGGAGGGATCCAAATCTTATACAATTCTTCCACCTTTTGGGAGCAATCCTCAGTGCATTCTATTTCCTGAAACCTACCAGGGTGCTGCTTTGAGGAACAGTGGTTGGCACATACCAAAGCCATGTTGGAGAGCATGCTGCCTGTTAGCATGTATGGATGACCTGTGGTACACCATTCCAAAGTCATCCCCATTTTATTGACTAAGATAATGTAACTGACATTGAACATTCTGTAACTTGAGTGAACATACTTGTCATGAACTATTGAAGCACAACATAAAGCAACACAAAGGACTTGTGAAACTACAAGCAGTCGTGGCACTGGCTGTTACTGCTCTCACTGGCATACCTTTTTAGTAATGACTTCTCTTGTGGGGTCTCCATGGCCTTTGGCTGCCTGCTGCTCCTGCTGAGCAGGTGGGGAAGAGCCGGAGAGGATGGGGCAGCTAGGGAATGCCTGCTTTGTAAACTGGCTTTTGCTCAGGTCTCCTTCTCCCCGCTGGATGACTACCTTCAGGTGCCTGGCACCGATTTCCACAACGTGATCCGTGCGAGATTCCACACTCTTCTTATCTGCAGTAATTTGGGGACAGACCGACAAGGCTGATAAAGTCACCTGACAGCTTGACTGCTACAAGTGGTTGTCACAGAGACCACCTGCCCCTTGCCCACCCAGTGGTGCCCATGGGAGCCATGGCCAGCCCCCTCACACGGTTACTCGGCGTCACGGCCTGCCTGCGAGCAGCCCTCCGGGGTGGCGGGGCTCAGCAGCCCCCTCACCCCTTCAGTACGGGCGGCGGGACCATGCGGAGCAGCGGATCCTGCCGCCTTAGAGCCGCACCGCCCGACCTAGCCGCTCTCCCCAAGCCCGTACGCACCTTGCTCCTGCTGGAAGAGCACCCAATAGGTGTTGGGCACAGGACCTGCTCGCACCTCGCACTCGCCGCCCCCCGACCTCTTCCCTGACTGGAAGTAGCTCTGGAGCTTGAGCAACACCTTCTCGCCGGCGTCGGGCGCGGGGCAGAGCCGCACCATCAGCGGCGACACCGCCATAATGCCACTGCCGCCACCACCGCCCGCTTTCGCTTTCGTTTCCCGCTCCGTCGCTCGGGACCGCAGTTCTCCGCCCCGCGCCCTTCCCGAGACCGAAGCTGAGGGGGAACGGCCACGCCGCGCAGCTCTGGTTAATGGGGATCCTCCAGGTAACAGAGCGGGGCTGGAGGGGCGTGGAGAGCTCGGGGCTGGAGGCAGCACCCTAAGGGGTCAGGGGAGCTGCGGCTGGAGCTGCCTCTGCCCCTGTGCGAGGCGCCAGGCCGGGGCCTCCCTCACAGCTTTGCCACCGGGCTTCAGGCCCTGGGGAATAAACCAAAGCCCAAACGGAAAACCCCAAAGAAAGCGTTCTTTTCTGGCCAGGCTCTCGGGAAGAAGTAAAATTTCCCGGCTGCTCACCACCCACAGGTGAGCCGGAGCTATCGTAAGGTGTGGATGACTTCACGCACAGTGCTCCGGTCACCCCAATTTCAGCCCTGAATAGCATTTTAAATATCGGAACACTTCGTAGTTAGTTTTGAAAAGGTGTGCTGCCGGGTTTGCTTGCAACAGAACGCCTCCTGCCGGAACGCAAAGGTCAGACAGTAACATTTACTTCTTGTCTTTGTTTAACAATAGAGTTACTGTCTAGAGATGTCTGAAGAAAAGAGCGGTTTAGGTAAGCCTCTCATTTAGCCATCTGCAAAGTGTGTTTCTGTATTTAAGTTGAAAACTGCCAGACACGGAGAGAAGACTAGAAAATATTGATGTGAAATAGCCAAAAGCAACCTGGAATGTGTGAATTAGACACAATTATGACTCAACGTTATTATCCATTGCTTCAAAAGGATTTGCTTGCATTTCTCTTTTAAAAAAAGTAAGAGCTCAGAAGTGTTTTGATGAATCAGTGTGTATATAAGTGCAAAATGTTAAACTCTTTACAAGCAGGCAGCATACCCCAGAGGAAAGTTTGATTAAGCTCATACAAATTCATTTACAGTAATTAACATAAGTACTGTATGTAGTGCTGCTGACATCTGCCAGGAGAGGGCTGTATAGCCATAGTGATAAGGTAAAAACCACCCCACTCTTTACCATTACTTTTTTTTTCCCCTAAAATAAGTGGTTTCAAAAACCCTTCTGAATACATGAATTCCATACTAAGAAAGAACTTGCTTGTGAGATTTAAGTGCAAGTCAAAGAGCCACAGAATTAGACAAAGATCAGCATAAGGTCTCCGTGGCATCATGAAATGAACGTATTAGCAAGTGTTCCTCAGCCAGTGTAGCTGTGAGTTACTGACTCTGCAGAGGCCTGGGGAACTCACCCTTGGACCTTGCTGGAAATCAGTAACAAAATGCTAAAATAAAATGCCCTGGAGAGGCCAGAAGGAGGCTTCTGTTGGGAGAGAATAAACAGTAAGCAAGTGAGAGAGGGAGAACAAGCAGCAGGAGGAGATGCATCTTAACCAGGCTTCCTCTTCAGGTAAACAGTAAGGCAAACTCAAATCCTCAAGTCACGGCAGGCTCAATGATATTATTGTAATCTTTTAGTGCTTAGTTGGGCTTTCTAAGCCTGTGAAAAAGGCAGAGAGATCAGACTCTGCCAAAAATTTGGTAGGTAATGAGAGTAGGATACAACTGAGAGCTATAAACAACACTTCTATATAAAAAGCAATGTTTTGACAGTAGCATCTTGTATTTCACTTCATATTATTCTGTATCCTAGGGCCAAGCATGGTAATGGACGAAGACAGCTTGATGATTCCCATCAATAAAGATGCCTGTGAAGCTCTTAAGAAAAGAGAGGACTGTCTAAGTAAACTTTTTTACAAAAAGTTTGCTTGTACATTGACCTTCAAAGATACAAAATGCACTGTTGAAGTATACAGGAAAAAAACAAAGCAGGGAATTGAGATTTCTGTTTGTAAGGATGATCTCACAAGACACAAGGCTGATGCTTTGGTGAATTCAGCCAATAAATTTCTTAATCATTCAGGAGGCCTTGCTTTAGCCCTTGTGAATGCTGGAGGGCTAGAAATACAAGCAGAAAGCAATCATTATATTCAAAAGCATGGAAAACTCGCAGCTGGCAAAATAGCAGTGACAGGTGGAGGGAAGCTCCCTTGTAAAAAAATCATTCATGCAGTTGGCCCATTGTGGGTTGTTTCTGAAAAGGAAAGATGTTGTGACCTACTTCAGGAAGCTATTTGGAATGTTCTGAGGTATGTTACTGTTCCAAAAAATGGTATAAAATCTGTGGCTATCCCAGCAGTGAGTTCAGGTATTTTTTGCTTCCCAGTCAATTTGTGTGCTCAAGTGATTGTAATGGCTATTAAGGAATTTATCGAGTCCAGTCCACCAAGCTGTCTCAGGGAAATCCGCCTGGTGAACCCTTACGAGCCTATAGTTGAAGAAATTAAGAAGGCCTGTGAAAAGTTTTTGGGTGATACCAGTTCACTTGAGGAAACACTTTCAACTTCATCAAGCCAGCTTTCAACTTACATCAGGCATGGAGGTGTTCACTTGAGCGTCGTAAGAGGTGTCCTTGAAGAGCAGAAGGTAAGTCTGTCCCATGATAAGCTGAACAAGAAGTTGCCTCACAATCCTTGCAGCATTTGGAGCCCAAGAGTTCAGAACGCATATTGATCCACTAAGCAGTTATCTTCTCAGCCTGATGAGAAATTACAAATGGCGAATATGTTATAGTGGCAAGGAGTTGTTGGTTTTGTTTGCTGGTTTTTGGTGGGGTTTTTTGTTATGTTTGTTTGCTTGCTTGCTTGTTTATCTAAATGGGTATTAAAAATCAGAAAGTTTTTATTTCTTTTTTGTATACATTCTGTTATGGCATTATAGGAAGCAGCTAAAGATTGGATGATTAATAACAACTTATCCCTATGCTAAGGTTTATCTTATTATAACATCATGGGAGTTCACATTTTATCATGCATTCCCTAAAAGTCTACTCTTATCTTTTGTCTTGCTTTTTTTTTCTGTAATTTATGTTCTCATAGATGCCACTGCTGGAGTTAGCAAACACTGCAACAGCTGAAAATAACTTACACAGATGATGTGCATCTTACCTTTAAAGAGCGCGTCATTGAAATTGATTCATTTAACTTCTTAGCTACAAAATATGAGGCAAAATATATGATCTTAGTCATAGTAATCCCACAGAGCTCTTAGACCAGAAGCTATGTCACAGGGATGGCATTTAGCCATTCCTTTAAAAATACAGTATTTGCTAAATGCAAATCGTAGCTTCTATTTTAAAGAAGTATCTTAATTGAACAGAAGTTAATTTTCTTGATGTGACAGTGAAAGATCACAAAGTTGCCACTGTGGCAATATTATTGCCACTGTGTAATATTATTAAGCAATTATACAGCAATTGCAATTATACAGCATTGGAAAATACCACATACCTTCAAGACTATGAGGAAAATCTGCTCCAAAGTCTTATAACTCTACAAAATCTTCAACAATTAAAAAAGCCAGAACAACTGCTGTTATCAGCATTCTGAAAACAAGATTTTTGCATTTTGCATATTTAATTTGAAATACAAGAGACCTGTGGGAATCTAGTCTTTCCACTGGAATTTGAAGCAATCATAGCTTTGGAGTTCCCTTGTGTGCACTGACCCCACTAGTCTGGTGACTACTGTAGCAGGGGGAGTGTCAGCAAGGGCTGGGATATCAGCCACAGCCATAGTTCTCTCCTGCTTGTTGATAATTGGCTGCAGAATTGCACGTGGTGAGGCACGTATGGGTCACTTCCATAGCTGCAGTAATAATTCTGCTGAACACACTCAAAAGACTGGAATGGGTCTTGTGCACGCTGTTGGCTTCTGAAAAAAAAAATGTAGGCATTTACTGCCACTAGAATGTGCGTACTTTGATGTATTCCAGCGCTGTTCTTAGTAATAAGCAGTGCTTATTAGCAGTGTTTGAATCTTTCAAACAGCTGATGTGCTGATGTGCTGCAGCCACACTTTTTTTAAATGAATTGTTCCTAGAAAGAGTGCTCTCTATAGTAGCAAAGCTTGTGTATTGTAAACTTGAATTATACTGAAACTTTGCTCTTTTTTGCCAGACTACAGATGTTGTTAATTTTGTATCTGTGAATGGTGAGCCTTCCTCTCCAGTTGCAAGAACACTGCTGCAAAAAGCAGGTTCAGCTCTTCAGGATGAACTTAAGTCCCATCTTAAAGATCTTTCGTCTTATAAAATTTTACGAACAAGAGGCTATAATCTGCCCTGTGAGTTTGTGCTGCACACTGTATGGCCACAATACCACCACCCGGTGTTACTGTGTGAGGTAATAATCAGTTCGATTGGTTTTTAATTAATTTTCATCTTGAGTGATGTGGGGACTAAAGCAGTTGCTTTCCATGTAGGAATTAAAAGCTGCAGTGACCAGATGCCTGCATTATGTTCGGGACTGCCAGTCTCCCTCAGTTTCTTTTCCAGCAAATGGCATTTGCTCATCGATGCTGCCTATTGGTGTAATGGCACAGAGCATGATTGAAGAGGTTTTAAATTTTGCCAGGGCACAGCCTGAGAAGAAGATAGATGTGCAGTTTGTCCTTTGCCCAGATGACAATGATGGTTATCAGGTAACAAATATGTTATTAACTACTAATAATGAAAACCCCAAACTGTAAAAATATTCTCATAGATGACTACAGATTAAGAAAATCTGAATTCTGTGCTACTTAAAATGTTTGTGAGCAGCAAGTCCATTAATGAAACTATTTCTGTCGTTAACAGGTATTACTGATCTTTACGGATCTTTATCTTCACTAAACCCAAAGTTATCACTCTGTGGTTTGATAAACAAGGGGAAGGAGCTCTGAAATTCTCATGTCTGTCAGCAAATTTATAAGAAAGTGTCTACTCTTAACTCATTAAAGAATGAACTTATTCCTCCTTGGGAAATTTCTTTAACCATTTTATTATTTTCTTTTGCATGACACTCCTAGGGCAAAGCACTATTAACATGTTTTATGATCTAGTGTGATAGAAAGGTTGCTAACAGACAGTGGGTAATTTTAACTGCAGTGGGCCATTTTCCACCTTGAATGTTTAGCTGATGTGATTAATACATACATGTTTTAGATAGCTATAAAAGTAGAGTTTGCTTTTGTCCCCATTTAACTTCAACCATTCATTGTTTCAGCTTGGTCCAAGAACTAGGTGGAGGGCAGTTGGAACTATATGATCTTTAAGGTTCCTTCCAATGCAAACCATTCTATGATTTCATGATTCCAAGATCAGATCTGTCTTCTGTAACTGTCTCATAAACTCTAAAGAAAGCTGTATGTGCTTCTCACTTAATCCCTTGATAATCAGGGCAAATCAAACTCTTTTTGCTGAAAAAAAGGAGAGGCAATTTGCCAGATGCCAAATCCACTGCCTAGCAGAGTAGCACTTCTCAGAGGCTTTCCGTGTGTGATCGTGAAGAGGAGTTTTGAGGTAAAGGTAGAGGAATAGTTTGGATTTTAAAACTGAGTAAGGATTCCTCAGCATTAAACTGCAACTCCTTCCCCTCTACTCTGCCCTGGTGAGACCCCATCTGGAGTATTGTGTCCAGTTCTGGGCCCCTCAGTTCAAGAAGGACAGGGAGCTGCTGGAGAGAGTCCAGCGCAGGGCAACAAAGATGATTAAGGGAGTGGAACATCTCCCTTATGAGGAAAGACTGAGGGAGCTGGGTCTCTATAGTTTGGAGAAGAGGAGACTGAGGGGTGACCTTATCAGTGTCTATAAATATATAAAGGGGGAGTGTCACGAGGACGGAGCCAGGCTCTACTCAGTGGCAAACAATGATAGGACAAGGGGTAATGGGTACAAACTGGAACACAAGAGGTTCCACTTAAACTTGAGAAGAAACTTCTTCTCAGTGAGGGTGACGGAACACTGGAACAGGCTGCCCAGGGAGGTTGTGGAGTCTCCTTCCCTGGAGACATTCAAAACCCGCCTGGACACATTCCTGTGTAACATTATCTAGGTGTTCCTGCTCTGGCAGGGGGATTGGACTAGATGATCTTTCGAGGTCCCTTCCAATCTCTAACATACTGTGATACTGTGATACTGTGTAACATCTTTGTGTAGTGTGGTTCCATGAGTTCCACATATCCCACATAACAAGCAGTTGTTAAAAGTGTCATTCAGTGTATAAGGGGTGTCTTACCTTAGGAGATGTAGAAGAACAGGAATGCTTTTGGTACTGTCAGCAATAAAATCTGGGGGAAATGCTGACAAATGCCCACTGTCAATAATTTCAGAACTGGGGGGAAGCAGCTGTAAACTGCTTATCTATTGGAGTTTTGAGAAATTGTGTATTTGACAACAGAGATTTCAAACTGCTCCTAAATGTTTTTCTTCCAAGGTTTTCCAGAGAAAATTTTATTCAGAGACACAGAAACTGGGAAAAAATCAGTATTACAACAGAAGTGATCATTTGAGTAAGTAATGGGCAGAAAGGGCATTTCAAGTAAATGAGCATTCCAGATTTGAGAATCCGAAATCACCTTCCTTTAGAAAGAACTCAGTGTTTGCATATGTGTCTTGGGGGAAGGAGGAGGCAAAAATGTGAGCGCTTTGCATTTTTACATTGATGGCAACAGAACTGGCCACTCCCTTATAAGATTTTAAACATAAAAATCATTGTCTCTGCTTAACCTGTTAGAAGTCATTTAGTGGAAGGCAAACGAATTCTGCATGTGTGTTTTGGTCTGGTTTTGTTGTTTAGTTGGTTTGTTGTGTTTTTTTTTTTCCTGGAAACCTTATCTCCTGGTATCCAAACTCTCTTCTGTTTTGGGCATACCAGACGAGCAGTGTGTTTCCTGCACACTGCATCTTGGATTACACATAGGAAATTGTGACAGCGCTTGAAAGCTCTTCACTCTTCCAGTGCACTTCTAAAAAGAAAATTTCTTTCAGGTACAGAGTCAGGCAGTCAAAGTGTAAAAGAGGCTGCAAATAATGAGCCTGCTATTGAACTTAAAGGGAACATACACATAGCATTGAAAGCGGCAGAATCATGGATCCGAAGCATGATACGAATTGAGGGAAGTCACCATGCTGTTATTGAAAACAACTACATTTTTAGCCTTGGTAGAAAGGAGTTTGCAGATTTGTCTCGAAAGCATCATCCTAGTGTATGTGTATCAGAAGTGGTGAAAGGTGGCAAAGCAAGACTGGAATTTTGTGGCCCTCCCGACGCTGTGATTGATGCAGTGCTCGCAACTGAAAAGTTACTGCTTCATATACAAGAGGAGACTACAGCCAAACAAAAGGAACTGCTGTACTTAATGGGTATGTAAACAAGTGTCTAATGAAGTAACTAAAGTAAGTGCTTAAATAAGGTCAAGTATGAAGCAGTATCTGTGTATTGCTGAGAGTGGACAGACATGCATTCAGTTCACACACATACTGAGCATAGCTTTAATTACTAATATTACTGTACTTCTATCTGTGAGCCCCTGAAAGACCATTTGTTAACTTTGATCACCTTCTTGGCAGTATTTCCAGTTGGGCACAGCTTATAGAAGGGCTGGCCATCATTGTATAGCCAACCCTAACTGGCTTCCTCCAGGACAGCATCACTTCACAGCCTGGCCACTGGTGACTGACAAGATTTGCACTTGATAAACACATACCTTTGCTGAGCTCTTTTGCTAGCTGCAGCTGAACCCTTGTTGCAGGACCAACCTTGGCCATGTTCTGCAGAGTCCTTCACTTTCCTTGAGGATGATAAGGGGGCTGCAGCACCTCCCATACAAAGACAGGCTGAGAAATTTGTGGCTGGTCAGCCTGGAGAAAAGGCTGCTTGGAGACCTCACAGCAGCCTTCAAGTATCTGAAGGGGGCCTACAGGGATGCTGGAGATGACTCTTCATTAGGGACTGTAGTGATAAGACAAGGGGCAATGGGTTTAAACTGAAACAGGGGAAGCTCACTTTAGATACAAGGAAGAAGTTATTTACTGTTAGGGTGGTGAGGCACTGGAATGGGTTCCCCAAGAAGTTGCAAATGCTCCATCCTTGGCAGTGTTCAAGGCCAGGTTGGACAGAGCCTTGGGTAACATGGTTTAGTGGGAGGTGTCCCTGCCCATGGCAGGGGTGCTGGAACTAGATGATCTTAAGGCCCTTTCCAACCCTAACCATTCTATCATTCTATGATTAAGTTAAGTTGATAGAAGTAGTGCATTACAGAAAGCTGTTGAGTGATCAATTTTTGTCTCATGTTCGTATAGTCATTCAATACAGATATCATTATATAAAAGTTGGGCTGTGGAGAGATGTAATGGAGAAGATAAATTGTTTTCAGGTTTGTTGTTTTTTTAATTCCCTCTCTGGTTTCTTTAATAAACATAGAAAAAAAATATATATATCAGTCCCTTTCGGTATTAGCCTCTTCAGAGAATATTTCACATTATTTCTTTTTAACCAAACTACAAAACTAAAGTATTGAATCTCTGGATCCCTCCTCATTGCCTGTACCTCAGATATTATGACCTGTGAAAATTTTACTCCCTTTTTTGTATCTAGGCCAAGCAGGACACCTTCACAAGACAGATACTACTAATACTACAAATACTACTAAATGCATCCAGATTTCACTGGTAGAATCACACCTTCAGGAGTTTAAAGACAGAGAGAAAGAGTTTGAAAAAGCTGGGCTTTGTGTTCTCAAGGTAAAGAGGGTATTCATGGTAAAAAATAAATCTCAGCTGATATATTTGAACCAAACATGCTTAAAAAACTCAGGTGAACTATTTCAATATATTGCTTTTAAAAGCTGAGATCAGCCTAATCCTTGAAACAGATGTAGTCTTTACTGCAAATTAAAAAGTATTTTAAAACATAAAGCAAATCCAAAAGTGTGGTTAAATTCTGAGAAGTCCTTTTAACTGTATTGTATATTCTGTTTCTTATTTCATGCTTCAAATGTTCCTTTGTAGGACTCTAGAGAGAGATTGGTATGTTAGAATGAGCAGACTCTAGAGAAAGATGAGATTGGTATGTTAGAATGAGCACAATATTCCAGGACACTAATGCAGCATGTCTGTTTTCTTCTTGGACATGGAATAGTGGTGTGATTCTTTTTCTGTGGATCAGTTGCACACTTCGAATACCTGATCTGCTCTGTGGTCAGTGCCTTTAAGCTAAAACAAAAGTTCTGCCACTATGGAACATAGCCTGACCAAGAGCACTTACGAATTTCATGGATATTGGTCTCTGCTAATACTACACTATTATTTATGTTACAGATTGAAAAGATACATAATCCTCTTTTATCTGCTGCATTCCAACAAATGAAAAAAAAAGTAGAAGAAAACCAGTATACCTATCAAATAACACACAAGTTGTACCAGTATGTTCCAGTGCAGTTCTGTAGCTTGGTGTGCCAGACTGGGTTTCACAGGATGTATTCTCCACCAACAGGTAATAATTTGCTTTGGCATCTTTAATCAAAATGAACATAGTGACTGACTACTGAAGTTGGATTAAAACCAGAAAAAATGGCATTCCTAAACAAGAACTGTTTCTTACATGCATTTAGTCATATGAGCTTACTTTTTTATCTGTGGTAAGATTTTCCTTCCTGATATTGTAAAGTCAGTAAGGCTCTGGGAGGACAAACAGGATTCTAGCCTAGCAGACACTGCTGACAGAATTTACATAGACATAATGCCAGGTCCATGTTTTCTTTTATTGTGTCACTTTTTAAAGTCAGAAGTCAGCATCTCTACTTGCTGCACCTTGATGTTTTAAAACATGTTCAAAGGAATCACGGACTAATTGAGGCTGGAAAGTACTTTTGAGGATCATGTAGGCTAACCCCCTGCTCAGATCAGATGCAGTCAGAATTTGACTGAACAGACTGCCATTCAAACTAGAGTATGCTTAGGAAGAAAGTTGTGGTGTCTGTGAAGTACTGTAGTAGACAGACATTTCCAGAAATGGAAAGGATAAGCATTTAGTGCTTCATTCTGCAGTAGGTGAAGGGTCTGGTATTTTGCTGGTCAAATGCAGAACTGGGATCTCAGACAATGAACTGTTCAAAAAGGGAGGTTTGCCTTTCCTTGTCTATGCATATATGTGGCACATTTTCACCCTTTCAAAGTAATAAATAGGATGGTGGTCTCATTTAATTTCTTTGCACTTTTCCAGGCCATACAGTGATAGCATTTTTATACAGCATTCTTCTTAAAAATCTCAAAGCTTTTATTTTGTAGCTTATATTATTAAAATCTTGCCGCCTTATCAGAGTCCTTAGTACATGCTGACTGAAGTGTTTATATAAATACATTATATCTTGATGTTTCTATCACTGCATTAACAGTTAAATCTGAATGGTCATTGCTGGAGCAGAAGTTAAATCAGAATGGCCATCAGCTGTCACTGCTCATGATTCTAGTGGGAGGCCAGTGCTAGCATTAGAGCCACTTAATGCATATTTACTTGTGAGAGGATGGCACACATTCAGCTATAATGTAAATGCAGTAACATGTAATACTGAATCAAGAAGCAGACTTTTAGTACCAACACCCCACAACAATCGATTGTTAAAGGCTTTTATTTTTCTAAAAATTTTTCTTTCTTTTTCCAGAACAAAAATACGGAGCTGGCATCTACTTTAAAAGGAACCCGAAAAGTCTAACTGAGGGTAAAAACACACAGGAAACAGACTCTAAAATGTATGTGTTTGAGGCTGAGGTACTAACAGGCTTATACACTAAAGGCAACTCATCTTATATTATGCCACCAGCAGTGGAGGGGGATGCCATTAAGGTATACGACAGCTTGGTAGATGATGTAAGTAATCCTGACACCTTTGTCATCTGCAACAGTGCTCAGGCCCTTCCAAGATATTTGTTGACTTGTAAGGAAACCAGCAGTATCCTGAATTAGACCTGTAGCTATTGTGAAGCCCCCTCAGAACTGGGTCTGGTACTTCTGGTACTTTGGTAGAAGATGTTCTTCGTGTGATCAAAGTGCCTTGTGCAAAGTGCTCTGAAATATCCATAAACAAATGAAGTAAGTCAATATGTTAAGAAGGTCAGAACAAAACTATCTGTGAATGGAAGCAGAAGGAAAAGCATCACAAAATACAGTCTAACATTTATCTGGTCATTTACTTTATGCCTTAGAATGTTCTTAGCATGTGACTATACACCTGATGTTTCCATAGGTTGTTATTCTTTCATTACATTTTCATAATCTGCGATATTCTGTATGTTTGTGAAACCCAAGAAATCTTGGTTGTGCCTTTAATTCCTATTTTTTCTTCTGACTTAAACATGTAAATGTATGAGGTCAAAGCTATTTCTGACTCTGGGACATGCTATTAAATGCCCATAGTTATGGTGAGTATGAGCCAATACTTCATGCTTTCTCACAGTAGTTGCTATTACAGTTTTTATTAGTTAGATATTCCAAGTATTGTAGACACATGTATTCAAAATAAAAAGTATGACTGATACTATCGGCTAACCTGTTATTTTTCCATATAATCTTAAGAACATGACTTGACTGAGCTTCAAATTTCGCAGTGGCACTGAATCTCACAAAGGCTACAGAACAGTAGAGAACTCATTCAAGCTACAGCATGAAATTTCTTTTTAATCTCCTTTACTGGTATCTTTTAAAGATTACAGTGTCATCCTTGTAGCCAGGTATCTCCCCGCTGGGTCTGGAGTGACCTGAAGCCAGTGACTGGAAAATTCTAAGAGCTACTGTAACTTATGCTAATGTAAAAGGGGATTCAGTCCAGCTCTTGGGTACTTTGAAACTTTCTGTACTAACACCTGAGCTATGCCTGGTGTTAGCGGGGTTCAAAACAAATCTATTGCCCCCAACTAAAAGCTACTACCAGATTTGCCAATTCTGAAGCATTTAAAACCATCAGTTACAGCCCTAACACCCACAGGGCTGTAACAGTGCTGCAATACAGAAACAAAGGCTTGTCTGTAAATATCGGGCCTGCTTCTAGACTGAAAAGCCACCTGTGGTTAAAATGGTGATTATGTGGGGAAAAGCGCTCATGTAAAACTACTAGAAACTAACAACGTCATATGGAAAGCATTTCAGCCACATGTAAAGCACTATGCTAATGGAGAGCAGTTTGAACCCGAAAACACAGATGAAATAAGCATTTAATAAAACTTTTCAAAATAATCTATTAATTAATTTGTTTGCTATAAGGGTGCTGAGGCCCTGGCAGAGGTTGCCCAGATAAGATGTGGGTGCCCCATCCCTGGCAGTGCTCAAGGCTAGGTTGGATGGGGCACAGTGGTCTAGTGGAAGGTGGCCCTGCCCATGGCAAGGGGTTGGAACTGGATGAGCTTTAAGGTCCCTTCCAACCCAAACCATTCTATGGTTTTGTGAATTCCGGCACATTTGTACTGCACCCACAACTCCCAAGATCAACAGTCACAGTGCTAGGGACCATCCAAAATAAATTAAGTTATAAAAGTCTAACTCTGAACTCTTCAGTAAGGTTGCAAGTGGATTTTCTTTTTTTAACTGATTACCAATGGTTTTTTAATAGAAAAAATTATTACTGAGAAAACTTTAACAGCTTACTCCAGTGCCCAGCACATGCTTCCTTCTCCCTCCATGTACACCCACAGTTTAAAGGATTCAGTCTTACCAAATATTTATCTTCCATTTTATTATAGCGAGGTATTTTCTAGTATATAATTTCTACTTAAGCTCACCAGTATCCTCTGCACTTGGTGATATAATGTATATATTTATATACTTACATATACATAGAATCCTTAAAAAATGGGCATGTAAGAGGTTGTATATAATAATTTTCAACTGGTCCATAAAAGAATAATTCCATATACAGAAACTAGAAAATAAACCCAGCACAAACCAGATGTACCAAGTAGTACATATTAAAATAATTACCACAGTAATTGAAAATTCCTTATCTTAGTCCTACAATAATACGTTAACTGAAGGTTACTCCACAGTCTCTGGGATTTCTCTGTCATCCACAATAAGGGTATGAATAATTCCTTCCTTTCGTTTCCCACTACTGACAGCCTTAATGCAACAGCTGTGATCACCAACACTGAAGTGAGTTTCAGTCCCATCTTCTACAAACTCACCCTGCGAGAAAAGAGACAAGAATAAAACCAGACATGTGCTACTTTAGTAAAGTAAAAAGTTCAAGCACATCAGACTGTTTCCAAGGTCAAGATCCCTCCTGGTTCCCACAATTACAGCAGCTGTGAGTACCTGTGACAAATACAGTGCAAATGATGAACAAAACAGTGGAATCTCAGACTGGGGCTGTGTTGAGGTGTCCAGTTAAAGATCTGTGACTATTAGGTGGCAATCAAAATTTCACATAATCAGAAGTGGTAAAACTGAAGCTTGTGAATCAGTATCATTGATCCATGTCAGTAAAACAAAAGTAGGAAAGTTTCCTTCTGAGTTGTGCAGTACAATCAGTAAGTACCACACAACTGAGGCTGAAGTGGCAGTAAAACATGAAGTATTCAGTGGTGCCACCTACAGCAGGATGAAGAGATCCCTGACTGGAGTGTAGCAGTTGTGTGATTTGGATACACAGCTCCTACTGCAATTACATTATTTCCCATTATGGATTTTGCCACTGATGGCTGTGTTTTTGTCATGATCGTTGGGAGGGTAGAAAAATCTGTGTGCTACTCTAAAGCAAGCACAGTTTGCCAATGAAACCTGTACATGTAGCTTGCAAGAATATCTCCTAGTGCATTTATTACATCATGGGAAAGGCTGAGAACCATCAACAGAAATTCTGATTCACTGAGAGAGGATGTTTCTTCCACTGATTACCACAGAAACATCTGGTGAATCTTTTCATCTTGTTTTCAAGCACAGGAAACCTGTTGATTTTAGTCTGTACTCATCCAGGGGCTTACTTGTGGCAGTAGTAAACACAGTGACAACTCTCTAGTGAGAAAGCACACTGTTTAAGGATGGGAAAGCCTACATAGTATGCATATTGATGGCTTGGCTTCGTGAGTGAAGATTTGGGAAGGGCTTTAACCATGCTTACTACAAGCATGATGACCGAGGGCAGGTGGGTATGCAAATCGAAAAAAAGGGAGCTTAGGCAATCAGGGAGTGTCTGACCAGGACTGTTATCTCCTGAGCGATTTCAAGCTACCCGTGCGCAGGTCTGCCCCACATGCAAGGTTGGATCTGCAGTTACCCATGCACCTTGTCACCTGCCGTTTCGATCCTCGTCTGTCCATACAGACAAGTGAGAGTAAGCCCTTCCAGCCTGTGCAGTGGGTTTTTAAGGTGAAGCGCAGCTTGCGCAGAACTGGTTCCACCTTTTACACCTGAGGTTTAACTGCCATGGCCAAGTTACCTAGGACAGTGACAGCAAAGTCCACAGGTCGTAGGTTTTGTAAGAGTGTCCTTCTCTGATGGAAGACCATACAAGGCTAGACAAGCTCCATCAGCCCGGGTTTGAATGTAGGAGCTTTCCTTCTCCTTTGAAGGAAGGCCTGTCTTCGCTGACGAAGATTCGGGAAGACCTTCACCCACGCATTCTGAACGGGACAGTCATCTCCAGGGCCAATCGCAAGCAACCGATGACGCAATAGCACAACAAGCGATGGCGGGATACTTAGAGGCATTCAGTCATAAGCCCGCAGATGGTAGCCTCGTGCCAGTGGCTCCTCAGCCAAGCGCACAGTATGCATATTAAAAGCCATTTATAACACAGCATAAAAAGGCACCAAATAGAGTAAACCTTCTAGCTGTCAACCCAACCTAACAAATGATGCAGATGTGACAGAAAGACAAAAACTTGTATTTGTTCCAATGAGACTATTAACACTTGTGTTAGGGACCATCTCTAGATGGAAAAAAAAAAAGAGTCAGACTAAATGTGTTTAACTTTCGGTCACTGCTAACATGAGCAGATTTGGAGGAGGTGGCTCTCCACTCTGCATTATGCTCAAGTCCCTTCCATTCCCATGAAGGTTTTCTTGTGAAAACCCTGGACAACTGACCCAGATTTATTTTGCCTGTATAAAAAGTGTAAACAAAATCATTGTTTACCCTTAAATAGCTTATGTTTGGCATCCTAATTCAAATACTGTCAGTTATAAGATACAGTGAAGATCATTCAGAACAAACTCGTAGTGTACTGCCTGTACAGGTGTACACTCATACTCTGTGGTAAAGTGAGGTAATGGGCCCCTCTGCAGCTCACTTTGCTAAGCTTTGGTTACCTAGCCATAGCCTGTGAAAAACCTTTGGAGATAATCACCTACCGCTGTTTCCATTTTTTGACCGTTGCACCACACATCCATCGTGTCCTTTTCTGTGAAGGAAACAGAAAAAAAGTAGAAAGAACAAGGTATTTTTTTCCCTTACAGACAAGAAGATCTAAGAATTTTAAAGATCTACTGTGGAATTTTACTTTCAGCTCCCAAAACAAGTTCCTTGTTAGCCACAGTACCCAGGCTACAGGGCTTGTTCTCATACTGGAGAGATGGGGGGGCTCTGGCATCAACTGGCAAACAACTTTTGCTATCAACATAAATGTTTACCTCTCCCTAGCCCTGGCTACTGTTCTGGGTTGTTCTGAATATTGTCAGAGATATTCTGACATTCTTTAACTGAAAAATTTGAAGAAAGAAAAATTCCGGAATTTCTGCTCATTATCTGAGTGCTGCTCATCCGGTGAAGCTCTAACATCTTCTTCCAGATCAGCAGTGTTACTTAACATGCTTTACCTGGACAACTGTCTCGCTACACTGCTAGGGCTTTCTTTTCTGTTTTTTTTTTTTAAATCTAGACCATGCTGCCATAGGCTCACACAGGTGTAACAAGATCACTATTTTTCAAGCTGTCTAATCCTAAACTTCCAGACCTAGGATTTTACACTGCAACAGTTCTAGTCACTGAACTGTGCTTTCTCTTCATTATCAGTTATTAAATGCATACAAGTTTACTCAAAGGCAGCAACACAAAGTCATTCAGTGTTTACTTACCTAGAACAACTCTATAGTCTGCACCACCCAAAGTCAGTACCCAAGTATTGGTTGTTTTCGACCTGTTCTCCATATACTTCTTGAGACTTTTCCCATTGATCTCCAAAGTATATTCATATGCAAAGCCACTGATGGCATCAATGTTAATAGTAGCTTTTGTTTTGGATGCTCCAACAGTGAATGTTTCTTTACCCACTAATTTAAACATCCATTCTTTCCTTATTTCTTCCTGCAGAATAAAATAAAGGCAATGGGTATTAATTGATAAAATATGAATGCATGTTTTAGTGTAAGAAAAATTAACTAGAACTTGGGAAACAGCTCAGTACTTAACTATTACTTCAGAAAGAACGAATACATGGTATTTTCTGTATCTACAATGCCTCTGCCCAAGGACAGCAAAGCACTTCATGAATATTCATACCTTAACTGTAACTGAAAAAAGAAATCAGCTAAAGTTAATCAACTGAATACACCTCGCTTGCGTTTATTAGTCTTTTTGTTTGTTCTGATGCCTGTTGCATGGAAGTGCATTTATATAATCTGTATCATAGTGGATTTTGAGCACACAGCAATTTCACCTTTCCATCAACATAGACGACACGTTTTCCTGAAGTGGTCCCATGCTCAAATTCAATCTTATGAACACCATCACTTAAAGCTACTTCCCAAACAGCCACCAAATCTGTCATCTTCTCTAAGTGGCTGTAGAGAGACCTATGGAAAAAACAGTAAAGTAAATCAATTGTCATTGAAAGAGTTCAATTGTAGAATTGTAGAATTAACCAGGTTGGAAAAGACCTGTAAGATCATCAAGTCCAACCATTACCCCAGGACTGCCAAAACCACCACTAAGCCATGTCATTAAAGGCCTCATCTCAATGTTTTTGAAACACTTCCAGGGACACTGATTCCACCACTTCCCTGGGCCGCCTGTACCAATAATGCTTGATCACCTTTTGGTGAAGAAATTTTTCCTAATACCCAGACTAAATCTCCCCATGCGCAGCTTGAGACATGTCATTATGAGATTAAAATGTGGTTTTTTAAATCTCTCTCCTACAATTCAACCATTTTCATTGCTTTATCTAATTAAATTCACTAAGAGTTACCAGACAATAGGAGCTGTAGCCCCATTTCATGATCTGACAAATTTAAAATAAATAAATTATACATGTGCACACTGCCGTAAAGGATCCTCTCCCTTAGGCATCAGACATCCTTGAAGAACTGCTATCAAACCCTAACACATGACAGACAGAAGGAGGAATCCAAGCCAGGGAAAATTCCGTATCAAATTGGAAATTACTGATGTTTATACTTCAAAGTTTACTGCATCAGGGCAAGTCACTTTTTACAGATGAAAAGTGAGAATTGAAAGAATAAGCCTACATAATTGCTTCTTTTTTCATGTTTTTCAAACATTTAAATATGACAAAATATCACAAAATATAAACAGACACTTAAACAGACTCACTTTGACAAACATCATGCAAAGACATGTATATCCATCTAACCTCTATAATTTCCTCTTCAGGTGACAGTATGGTTACAAAATTACACTTGGAATTCAGATGCTCTTGGACAGTTCTGCAATGTCTTGGCAGGCATTAAAATACAGTATTTTGATTGGTCTCTGAGAAAGCGTTTTAGCATTTTAAACTTGAAAACTAGTCAGGATGACCAGTTTAGCTTTTACCCGTTTTAACAGCTTTCTCTGTCATCTTTCTCATACATTATGTACATCATTCAGCAATGCAACTCTGCACACAGAAACACTCACAAAGGCAGAGATCTGGCAAGATAATCCTTTCATTTAAGTAATCTTTAAAGTTCAGACACAGTCAGAAGTGACCACTGGGACTATGGATATCTTTCCAAATCTGCCCATAGCACAATGCCTCTTTTTCAGTTTAAAGTCATACCACAGTGATTTTTTTACCTTACTTCATCTTCACAGATAGTAATCTCCTCACGGGATGCCATAGTAACCTATTAATCCAATTAGCAGCAAGAAATAAAAGAAGAGCAGAATAGCAGCAGAGAAGCGTTGAGGCCTAGATTTCCCCCGTTTACTCCATTCAAGACAAAGGACATCTTTTAAAGTGTCATGAACTATCATGTACTGCCGTATATATGATGACATACAAACATATTTCTTTCCTCTTAAGACAGAATGGCAAATGTAAGTATTCTTTTACAAAATCAGAAGGTGCAATTTATCCTAGTTTTATCAGCACATCAGCTTTCTCAGTTACTTGATGGAAAAATGGTTTTCCTAACTTGTGAGCAAGAGCTTAAAAACAAAGAACTTGACCAAAACAGGAACCAGTTCCAGAGCTGCCCATCTCAGTCACAAACTGAAGCAAACCAGGGACTGTTGCCACTTTTTGGAAAGCAATATAGCACAGGCAACACGGCCAACTAACTAATTTTATTAAACCACTGCTATCTGCATTGTCTGTGCATATCAGTAAGCATAATTTAAGTAAGTGCAAATAAGCTAATTTTTTATGAATTGCACTTTTCAGTAAAACATGAATTAAAAGTGAAGTTATAAGTTCTAGGGTCTCTCTTCAGCAGAACAGAGGACCCACTTTAAATGCACCAGCAGAGGTGCATTTAAAAACTAAACCTCCTTCACCCTGTCTTAAGCTCCTATTTTAAAACATGCTCAAGTACACTGTAGTATTACTGTTGTGGTTTTGTCAGTACACACATTTCTGTTCATAAACTGAAAATTAGGTTTTACTGTTCCTAAAACTTTTCTAAGGATCCAAGGATTTAATTCTCACAGTAGTGAGATTGTTTTGGTTGTTCCTAAAATTAAGGATTGGTTTCTGTGAAGGCTCTCATCCTCTGGCACATGGTGGAAGTCAGGCTGGGTATATTTCATAGAATCCCAGAATCATTTGGGTTGGAAGGGACCTTAAAGCTCACTCAGTTCCAACTCCCTGCCATGGGCAGGGACACCTTCTACCAGACAAGGTTGCTCCAAGCCCCATCCAACCTGGCCTTGAACACTGTTAGGGATGGAGCATTTACCACTTCTTTGTGTAACCTGTTCCAGTGTCTCACTGCCCTCACAGGGAAGAATTTCTTTCTAATGTCTAATCTAAATCTACCCTCTTTCAGTTTAAAGTGATTCCCCCTTGTCCTGTCACTACATGCCCTTGTAGAAAGTCTCTCTCCAGGTTTCTTGTACCCCTTTAGGCACTGGAAGCTGCTCTAAGGTCTCTCTGGAGCCTCTCTTCTCCAGGCTGCACAACCCCTGTTCTCTCAGCCTGTCTTCATAGCAGAGGGGCTCTAGCCCTCAGAGCATCTTCGTGGCCTCCTCTGGACTCGCTCAAGCAGGTCTACGTCCCTCTTCTGTTGGGGGCCCCAGAGCTGAATACAGTGGAGTAGGGGGTCAGGAATCAGCTCCCTCAACCTACTGATCATGCTTCTTTCAATGCAGAGCAGTATGTGGTTGGCCTTCTGGGCTGCAAGTGCACACAGCCAGCTCATGCCGAGCGTCTCATCAATCAACACCCCCAAGTCCTACTCTTCAGGGCTGCTTTCAAGCTATTCTTATTTTGGTACTTCCCTCTTTCCTTCTCCTCAAAGGAGCAGGAGCCAGGCTTTCAGGACAGACCCAGCTTCTCCCTGCCAACTAATCAACACAACAAGTGGCCTCAGGTACAAAAAGAAACACCAGAAGAGCTGGCACATGGAGCATGTCTACAGGCTACCCACAGCGATGGCATTACCCCTGGCAGGATGCAACCCTGCCGCATGAAACTAGCATTAGGATTGATTAGGATCAATGCCACAGGGGTTAGGAAGCATCCCAGAACATACAACTTCCTTTTTTTAACAAATCATGGCACTGTAGTACTCAAACCTGAACTCAAACTCTAGGCCAGCTCTATGTCTTCTGAAGGGCAGCGGGTACCCCAGGTGCGAAGGGAGAGCCGTACACTGCCTGTTGCAGCCAGCCCTCCCACGTCCCCTGGCTGGCTCCCATCCAAGGAAACGTGTTTGCACTGACTGCCGAACGCCAGGCATCTCTCTGCATGTTCCGTTAAACAGTCAGCAGTCCAAAATGAGATTTACTTCTTTATCCATAATGACTTGTTCTGAAAAATAAGTCTAGAATTACGGCTCTGCATCCATCTAATCCATGCCTAGAAACAGACAAGAAGGGATGGGGCACTAGCAAGGGTATGAATCACACAGACGTCAAGTTTCACCACACCACCCACATTTACTGCCAGCAAAGATTAGGGGGGTTTGTTTGTTTTTATCTAAGCTCTGACAGCCACACTTCTAAACCCTCGTCAAGCAGCTTACTGCGATCGCTTTGATCCTCCATACCCCGCGGAGACACGCGGATGCCCGACCCCCCGGCAACACAACCCCAGCTCGACCCACTCCTCCGCCGGGCCGGGGCAGCGGCAAGAGGCGGAAGCACATACGCCGGACACACGGTCTGCTTGGTCTGCTTCCTCTCCTTCCTCCTCCTCCTCCTCTAACGGCCCGGCGGTCTCCAAGGAGCCCGGGAGACGCTCCCTCCGCCCACGCGGGCCCGACCTCCCACCAGGCAGTGTTGGAACGGAAAAGGACTGAGCTCCGCGGTGCCTGAGAAAGGATCGGGCCGCCGCAGGCGGGCTGGGCGGGAGGGCAGCCGAACGAGCAACGGAGCCATCCCCGCACCTCGCCGCTCCTACCTGCGCGGGACTCTCCTCCCCCTCGGCTCCCCGTGCCGCAAAATGGCGGCGTGCGGCCAGCGCCGCCCCGCGGCCGCCCGCCTCCCTCCTTCCCGCCTCCGCCGGCGCGGGCGGGCGGGCCGTTACCGCTTTCCCTGGCCCACCGCGCTTCCCGCTGCAGGCAGTCCTGTACGAAGCTGTGCCCCGTCGCTGAGAGGGACCTGGCGAGGCTGCCGATCCCGGTGACTAACCTCTTTGCTCTCCTGTATCCCGGTGGCTGTCTGCAGGCGGTGGCGGTGGGCCCGGCCCTCTTTGCTGGCGATCCGGGAGCGGACGGCCCTCGCCATGATAGAGGTACCGTGGCGAACCTGAGGCGGATGTTGTTACTGCTCGGTAGTCAGAACGGAAGAGAAAGAAAACAAAGAGTAAACCCCCAGGGCAGGCGCCCGCGCACTCTGGGGGCTTCTCCCGCGGCTGGGGCAGGGGACTGAGGCTGGCTGCACACCTGGCGCGTTGGGGTTGACCAAGGGCTGGGTGTTCTAAACCTTCACTCATTGCACATCCTTCTGGTAGTGCTGAGGGAAACTGAGTGCTCTGGATATTGTTAAATACACTTTACACCAGTACTTGTTTCAGATCATATTGGAATGTCTCACAAGCCCTCCTACAGTGACTGGGGCTTTTGGGGGCTTGGGGTTGGTTTGTTTTTATTTGGGAGTATTTGGTATTTGCTGCTGCCTGCACAATAGGAAAGGCAGGAGACCATGAGCTGATCTTGAGAACTTGGGTTTCTGTCTCCTTCTCCCACCTGCAGCAGGAGAAGGCTGAATGGGAAAACTTAAATAAGCTATTAATGCGTCATGGGTTGAAACCAGTGAGTCTTGCTGCCCCCCAAAGCTGCAGAAATACAGCAGGTAAGGAAATGCTAACTATACAGGGTTTTGTGTTTTGAAATAGTAAGCCTAAGTTCATAAGGCATCTCTAAAGCTGTCACTTCCAAAGGGTAGCCGAGATGTGATCTTCTTCAGATACTGTCCCTGGCAGTGTTCAAGACCAGGTTGGACTGAGTCTTGGGTAACATGGTTTAGTGTGAGGTGTCCTTGCCCATGGCAGGGGGTTTGTAACTGGACGATCTTAAGGTCCTTTCCAACCCTAACTATTCTATGATTCTGTGATTAAAAGCCTTTCATTATGACTTTGCTTATTTTATGTATCTCCAGATATGATTGTCTTAGACAGTCAGTCTTCTCTAGGAATAAGACTTGCATTAAAAACACTGGTGGAAAACACTGACCGACAGCAGAAAATGATGCAGGGGCTTATGGAGACCAATCATTCTCTTAGGTAAGGATAAGCAGTGGAAGGAGCTTACTTGCTAGTGCACAGGAAAAGCATTATCAGTGTCCTACTCCTGACAGGTGGAGCTCTTGTTACACCAGCAGCTTCAAACTGTTTTCCTAAGATTATTGGCCAGTACGCAGCAACGTTGGCCTAGTTCCTTTTGTGCTCTTCTGTTATTTCATCTGCCGCTGTTTCACATACCTGCTGCCACAGGATATTATTGAGCGTCATCAGATAATATTGTCAGGCCTGTGCTTTCTTCACTGTCTTTAGTGAAATGAGTTTAATTTAAATTAAGGATTTATTTGTTTTTTCAGAGACAAGATCCGTCAGGAAAGCAGTCGGGCATCTCGACAAGAACAACGGGCTAATGATTTGGAAAATGTGGTGAAAAACATTAAGTCCAAAATTTGCCAGCTGGAAGATGAGACAATAGCTAAAGTTTGCCAGCAACAGAATCAAGTCAGAGAACTTCAAAAAGATCAGCAGGCTTCACAGGTAATTCAGATAGTGCTGTCTGAGGATTCAAACTTCTGACTTGTTTTAAAAGCTCTAAAAATATTTGCATTGATCAAACCAAGCATGAGTTCTGGGCCATAGAGTTAGTACATTGTTTATAGCTAGGATTTTTCAATCTATACAAAATTTTCTAGCAGTAACTTTGAAAAATACCTGTATCTTTCTTTCACTGCCTGTTCGGTATGGCTGAAACTGAGCCTCCTTGAGACCAAGTGCCTACCTGGACACGTACAGTACTGTCTCCAGTTTGTGGGTTAGAATAATTTCATAACTCTCCCATTATCTGTTCACAGGCAAAATACCAGCATCAGCAGGAGAAGCTGCAAGAACAGGAAGAGACAATTGCCCGTTTGCAGAAGGAGCTGTGCAAAGTTGGCCTGGAGGAGCAGCGGCGTGTTGCCACTCAAAATAAAATGTTTTGTCGTTTTTGCAAAAGAGCTCCCAAGTCTCTTCTAGATCAGCAGTAAGCAATTTTCTTATGTTGGTGATCGACCTATAACATTAAATGAAGAAATTGATTTTAGAGTAACTGTTCTCAATATTTATATTTAAGAAAAGAAATAAAAGGCTGGAGACCTTAGGAGTGCAGGCTGAAATATGAATTCCTGCACAGGTACATCAGTGCAGAGATTTAAAACAATGTGAGCTGTATAAAGCCATGGCAGAAATTCAAAACGCACACGCTAGGTGTCAGCAAAGAGAAGGGAATGATCCACTCTGGAGCTCCGTATCTGTTAGGGTGATCTCATCCTGGGACTCTTAACGTTTAAAAATGTAAATTAAAAAACAACCAAAGAAGAAAACAACAAAGACTATCCCCAGCCTCACCAGAAAGAGCCCTTCCAGTTCTGGAACGTGGTCTTTGCAACTGCAGACTGAAGGTTTGCTGCAAGGCTTCCCAGGTACTTTAGGGAAAGTTCTGCAAGTATTCCAAGCCTGTGTCTCTTGCAGTAAGATCTCCATAGTTCTGCTGTAATCAGATTTGACAGCTCTTAGGCCCCAGGTAGCCACACTTTATTGGGCTGCTGTCAGCTGATTTCCTAGGCCTGGCTAGCAATGTTTTCCTGAGTAGTATTTAAAAGGGATTGTGCGTGCACAGCCTTTTTCTTGTGCCCTCACTCTATGAGAGGGAGGATCACTGAGTTTGGTTCCCTGTGCATTCTCGCATGTCTCTCCAAAACAGGCAATCTCAGAATGCTCAAAAGGAAATTCAGTTTCTCAGCTGTTCAGTTTTTTGTGTCTCTAGGTTTTGCAACCACTCTGAAAGCATATTTAGTTTCTTCAGAGATGGATGTTCTTGGGCTGTGTGGGACCTGTGCTTTCACCTCCTGCAATGGTCGCAGAGCCCTAGCACTCAAGACTGTGACTCACTGTTAACACTTGCTGGGGAAACAGTCACAAGATGATGAGGCTCTCAGGAGAATTTAGCTTTTTTCTCCTCTTGAATAATTTTGCTGCTTTTTAGGCTAGCGCGTGGTTAATGTCTGTTCTGTTCTGAAAAACTGTGACCATGTTTGGTATGAGAGAGAACCTTCTTGAAGCAGTCACTTCTGGAGCATAGTGCAGATGTACAAACTGGCCTGTTCCAGGCATAATTTTTATTGGTTTTGGAGAATATCTGAGATTCAGTAATGCCATTTTCCTTTCTTTAGGTTCCTTTGTCTAATTGACTATTATGAATCGCAAATTAGTGAAATAAAAAAGGAGCTGAGGTAGGTCTCATCTGTTCTGTACTACTGTTCAAAATTTTCGTACTCCTTACTGTTCTTTAATCTTATAATGGTAAATTTTCTGTGTTCCAGATGTCACTAGCATGTAAGAAACAGCAAAGAATTGTAATGGTCATGGAAGCTTAGATTCATCCAGGGAATAACTGTCAGTCAGGCTAAGCAGCTGGTCATGCAGAAGGCTGGGACAGCTAGGAAGTTGGGTTTTTATTCTTCCCTTCCTCTTTTGCCATGGTTCACAGGCAGAATTACTGCATTAGCTGCACTCAGTTAACTCATCTCCCTAAACAAGCAGGCTACCAGCTTTTCAGCTTTGTTGTGGTGCCTAAATGGTACAAAGCAACAAGCTGAGATACCTGAGGTGTTCCTATCATTTGAGATTATTATTATCGTGAACAAAGAAATGTGATTTGCTTGTATGGGAATTTCTCTCCAGGAATAAGTGTACTTAATTAGTATATGAAACAGCTTCCCAGAAACAATAGAGAGGAGCAGTGGATCTTAGGGCAAAATTTCTAATCTATTTACTTTGCAGTTTATGGAAATATTACCATATATACTGCTAACTAAACCAACATAGATCTTTGAGGTAATGAAATTACAGTAAACTGAAACAATTTATGTTTCCCAATAGGCAGTATAAAAGAGATGAAGATCAGGTACCGAAAGAAGTGAAAAGCAAGGAAGAATTCTTAGATCTAGATGCTACTCCTAATTACAGAGCACTGCTCACGGTATGGAACTGCTAAGAATAAGTCTGTGCAGATCTCTAAATGGTAACTTTTAAAATGCCATGTAGAAACATACATGTATTTGATGCCTATCCCCTTGTTCTTAATCATGTGTTGTTCCTAACTTGCACACTGTCTGGGTAGGGTTCACTGTCTTATGAAAGATTCAGTGCTATTTTGTGAGTTGTCTTTGCTTGAGGACTGTATAACCTCCTTAATCACAGGTTCTCCAACTGTCGTCTAATGCAGCAGGCTCTTGATCTTAATTCCTCATCCACACTGTCTTGCTATATGGGCAACTGGGAGCTCTTCTTTAACACATACATACTTTAAATTGTTAAAGCTTGTTGATTATGGAATGAGTGAAATAAGAGAAGTAACACAGCCTATGTTGCAGTCTTTTCAGAAACAACTTATTGAAACAAAAACCAGGAATGAGCAGCTTTTGCTTGAAAATATAAATCTCAAGAAAGATTTGGAAACAAGGTGAGAAAGGATAAGCATCATCCTTTGCAAAGGCACTTCAGCAGACTGCTTTACAGAGAAAGAAGCCAAAAGCACCATCATTGTAAAAGTGTAGTATGGAATCTGCCTTTTAAAGTGATATGTAGAAATAAGAAATGTCAGCAACAGTCACCCTTCCCTCTGTACGCTGTTAGTAACGGCAACTGCTGATGGTTAGTTTGCCATTTATTCTCTTACCTTGTGGAAATGCTGCAGAATTTCATTTGCAGAATGCTGCTGCGGCAGTGGCAAAGCTTGCTTACTCTTTTCACTTGGCTGAGTTTTATAGTTACCTTCAAATGCAAGACATACAATATGGTACTTTTTCTTGCTAACAGACCAACTGCACAAGAATTAAAACTTTACAAGCACCAAGTGAAGAAACTAGAGAAAACTTTAAAGAAAACTATCAAGTAAGTATATTTCTTCAGTAACTTCCATGAATCCTCTGAACATCTGAAGGCAAAGATACTCTGCACCCTGTAATGTAGATAGCAGCTTATACAGCATGTACCTTATCCCCATTTCTGGGAGCCTGCCTATAACCAGCAAATGCTACTGTATCTCCAAAGTCACACTGTGAATCTCTGAAATGATGGTGTGGTCTGTTTGGGGGGCACAGCAGTGTGTCTTTTTTTATTTCATTTTGTCTTTCTGGATTGGATTTGAGTGGCCATATGGACAAGACCAGACTGTGGTGTTTGTTGCTTCCATGAGCTGTAAAGAAATCTACTGGTTACATTGTGGATTATGAATGAGAAAGTATGAGTTGACAAAACATTGCAGCCACTGATGTTATGTCCATATTATTCTTAGAAATTGACTTCATTTTTTCTGAAACATTACTAAGAAAATACCTTGAAGGTATTAGAAATCCAGTGTTGACAGAGCGTTTTTATCTGTAATTTCACTTAATCATTTGTGCATGTGTATACTGAATGATAAAAACTTTATAGTCTGAAAAAGACATCATTTGCTTAAACTTTAAAAATGTTCTTCATTTTACATCAGGTATATTTACATGGTCTTTTCTCTCTTGCAGTGGATGGGATTTAAAGGTAGTTTTATAGAAAGTCATCTCAGATTTGACAAGAAGAATAGTGAGCTATGTATAGAAAGCCAGGAAAGATGTTCAAGCAGATAAACACTGTGAGCATAGCATTTGACCCTTTTGAGTAAAATTCTGGATTTTAAGTCTTCAGCCATAGTAGAACCTCTGTAACGGAACAGCTGTGCAGCTGGTGGTGTCCCTTCTAAATCAGCATGCAGTCTGGAATAACCTCAGCCTGGAGACTGGAGATAAATTAATGATGCTTACATAGGTATTACATTTTTCAGCTAGCTTGGTTTGATGAAATTCTGTTGGCAGGTGTCATATAATGAAGATTTTTACTTTGTAGGTGTATGTGTACTTCATACTTGGTTCTTAATCAAGTTGAAAGTAGTACCTCCTTGTAAGGCTACTTATGTAACCCACTGTATGTATTTGGCATGTAGATCTTCGGAGAGTAGTACCGGAGAAAGAACAGAAGAAAAGAAAGAATCTGAGAGTATCGCAGGGGTGGATAGGCTGCAGGCAGTTTGCCAACAGTACTTAAAGGTATGCAGATTTTATCTGTGCTTTGTGTATCTAGCACTATTGCTACAGTGAAATATAACACACGAGTTTTGTTTAAGCATGTAAACTGAAGCATGCTATTTTGAATCTAAGAGTTCATTTGAAGTCATCCACATGAGATGCGTAATGTTCTGGATTTGGCAGTTAATGTAGGCTTGTTCTTAATTTTCTTAATTGTTACATCTTAGTGTAAACTACCTGAAAATACAGCATGAAAGCAGAAGCTAGGTTGGGAACCATCAAATGAATGATTTAGCTGAGGTCTTTTCAGGACAGGGGATTTGTTCGAGGTCTTGTGCAGTACAGATCCTTATGTTACTGTTTTAAACATGCCTGAGGAGAGAGTGGCTTTTATTTTTCTTTGAATAAAAAAAAAAAAAGCAAACATAATAAAACTTAGCAAAATGTAAACTGTGAAAAGAACAATGCCTCAAGTGTATAAATGTTACCTATCCCCAAAGGGGAGTATATTTGCGTTGCTTTTATGTATCTTCCAGCTAGTATATTTTTAAATCTTTGAAAGTATTACATACTGAATGCTTCTGTAAAATTCATTGATAATAACTTATTGGAGCTATTTGTAATTTAACATTTACACCATCATGACTGTGGTAGAGAGGGATTTTATGATAAAATGTTGTACATATTTGAAGAATAACATTTGTTATTTGTTGTTGAAGGTTTTGTCCCATATTGATTCTATCTTGCGAAGCCCAAGAGCTCCTCCGTTAATATACAGGCGCAGTAAAGGGCCAGTGCAAAATTACATTAAAGAGAATGAACAGGAATGTGGATTTGAGCACCTTTCACCCACTATAGAAATGTGGGCAGATCAGCTAATGGCCCTGAAGGTAATGCATTTTTGTACTTGGCTTTATATTCTTCCTATTATCCAGTGACCCCTCCTTGGTCCCTTCCTATATGTAGGGTTTTTTTCTGTGTGCAGCTTTTGTTATTGCCTGACTAGGTGTTAAATTTTAAAAATGATTCTGCTATTTATATGCCATTTTAAAACATAGTGGGTGAAAAATGCGCAGTGTTCCTACACACCAGAGGTATTCCTCTGTGTATATCATCTAAATGGGTTTGTTCACCACCTAAGAAGGCACTTAAATTTTAGAGTTGATGTGCTTTGTGCATTAATGACGATCCATTCTTTTTTTCCCCTTTGTCTTGTCCAAACAGTAACTTTCTGATCAAAATACAAGTGAAGGAATTCTGGTTAAAGCCAAACTCTCTGTGACCAGCACTTCTTATTTCACTGAAACTGTAATATTTGACGTACTTTATTGTAGAGTACCAGGTTAAGCAAGGCTGTAAGAATGTAAGCAAGATACTATGCTGAAGTTCCATGAAAACTAAACCCGTACTATCTCCAGTATAAGAATGTTTTTGCATATGAGAAACAGAAAATCTCCCTGTTTCTGTAATAAAAACACCCTCAAGCAGTTACTAAAATAAGTTGTGTCCCCTCCTGTCCTTTAAAAGGATTTGCATAGGTCCTTGAGAAAACTGTCTCTGGAATTGGCACCCTGGCATACTGAAGATCTACAAGACAACAGGGAGTCCATACGAGTTGAAGACCTCCAGTTCATAGTAGATGCCATTTTGGAAGAAATAGAAAATAAGGAAAAGGTAATTCTTCCAGGGGTTTATAATCACATGTTACTGTGGAAATCTCAAATGTGGTCTTACCATGGTGATTAGATTTTTGCATTTGAAAGCCTCCCGGGGTTTAACAAATAGCTGTTTGAAGACATTCAATAGTCGGCGACTATTTTAATATAATGGATAAATTCACCTCGGGGAGGACTGCTTTAATCAAAGTCAGTTGATCAGCGAGGAATTTGCATTGCCCCGTAGTCTCAGGTTATCCTGTTCTGTCTGTTTCTCAGTCAGCATTGAGAATACATAAATGTACTTGCTAGGCAACAGAGGAAAACTTCAGAGTTTTTTTAGTTTGCTGGATATTTGTGTCTGAAAACTCTCTTTTCAGTATGTCTTCAGATTTGAGAATATTTGAAATGCCGTGGTTTAATAAGGGCAGTTACACCCATTTTTCTTCATAGACTAGTTTTAAGACTGTTACTGTTTAAAAGAATCCTTGCTTTGTGAAGCAGTAACACTGACGAGTCGCTCCTTCTGCTTGCTACAGAACAGCCAGACACCATCCGTACCAACCCTGTTAGCAATAGTCTCTCACTTCCAGAAGTTGTTTGACGTGAATTCTCTCAGTGGCATTTATCCACGAATGCATGAGGTTTACACAAAGCTTGGGGAAATGACCAACGCCATGAGAAATCTCCAGGAGCTCCTGGAACTAGGTAAAGACTTGCCACCTAGCATTTGTTCACACCATTTCCAAAGGGAGAAGACAAGCAAAAGCCTCATCTCTCCATTGAAAATTTGGTGAGATGATAGGAAATGTGTAAACCAGGTATATTCTTCACTGGAAAGATAAAAATAGGTTAATTGGCAGTTTAAATAGCAAATCGCCATTATTTGTAAGTCTTTGGTAATTGCTGAGGAATACGAGGGACACAGAACAAAAGAGTAACAGAGGAAATTGATTTAATTCTTGACTATCTAAAGATAACAAGTTTTAGAAAAAATAACTCGGCCTCTGCTGTAGATTTCTCCTCAGTGATTCATTCTAGTGTATTTATGTCCAGTCCTCAGAAACTTCCATCTTATGCTGCTAAACTTAGCTAACATTAGTTTATTTCTGACCACAGGCACTTAATTTTCTGTGAATGGTGGAACTTGTATGACTAGGTGTGGGAAAACCAAATAAAATCTGGGCACCTGCAAGAACTGGATTGTGTCAAAAAAACTTCCCTGTTAACACTGTTACAAGGAACATGAAGTGTTTGTTTTTCCATAGACAGCTCTGCTCCACCCACTGTGGTAGTGGATACTGTTGGGAAACTGTGTGACATAATTAATGAGGATGTGACTGAGCCGGTACAGCAGCTTCTGGGGACCCAGGACGTCCACAGGTATATGCAGCTGCTCCACCAGCGGCCCTCCTGCAAACATCAAATCTCCTAATTGAGAGGACAGGCTAGAATGGATACTGAAAGAAGCTTCACTTATTGGTTGCAAAGTCAGCAAGCTGCAACAGTAAAGGAGTTGCTAGGATCCTCCATGAAACAAATCCTGAATATTTTCAAAAGGATAAAGGCGGCAGAGAGAAAAGTCAGAAGATTCCAAAACCCTTCCTTGGCTTGCATGGATGAGGTGATCAAATAATGTTTCATAGGATGCATGTTGCATAAGAAGACAAAGCAAATACTGCACGTGGGTAGGGAGGAGAAAGTGTTGCAAGGTTTCAGCTGTAATGTACAGGTTGTTAAGAGAGTTGGCTCAAGCTGACTGCAAATACTCTGGGAACTGGACAAATTCTGTTGTATCTTCAGCAGATGATCACATACACACACTTGGTAGCAGACTATATGAACTCACACTCAGCCTGTGCTCCACAAATATACTAACAGAGGCAGGTAGGGAGCCTGACATATGCTGAGTTAGTAATATTGACTCCCTCAGCCTTCCTGCACTCACCACAGTTTTAACTAGGGAATGGCTGCTTGTCAGATATTTCCTGCTCCACCTCTAAGGCAGTTATATCACCCACCCCCCAGGCAGTATATTTAGCATACACGAACTGATGTTCCAGTCCAAAAATTACCTGGTGCCTTGTAAGGAAGAAAGGATGTATGTAGGGCATGAAGAGTGAAATTAGAGCTCCTCTTTTGTCAGCTAATAGTTGGCTGCAATTTCAGAACTTAAACCCACATTTTTGGTGTACATGGTTTTATATGCTATTAAGCAGCAGAGTTATTAAAAAGTCATGGCAAAGTATGACAGACTAGCAAAGAGATGAATTAAAAATGTCTTGGCACCTTTTATCTGACAGTCTCATTTGTACCTTTCAGTATAATCAATAAGTTAGAAGAACATGAGTGCTTCTTTCCACCATTTCAAGCTCTCATTCAAGATTTGCTCTGTCTTCTAGGTGAGTAATATTTGCAACAGTTGTAATTATCTTCACGCCAACACTTCATCCTAAAACTTTAAATAGCTAACAGATGTTTTGTTTACTGCTGGTGCACTGAAGCACAAGGAGGATGCAAGGCAAGGTGCCAACTTTTGCCTCACTCTCTTTCCATCTTTTCTCAGGAAGTGACTCAAATATATCATTTTTATTGAACAAGGGGTTGTATAGAGTCAATCATATTACTCGTAAGAGAAGCTAAATTGAGGGTTTTCTCCAAAAGCATTAGAAAATGTGAAGTGTTGATTTTATTTGCTAGCTGTATTTCTAGCATCTTAGAACTCTGGCTGAACTCAAAGATGTTCTCAATACACACACCTTACTGTTTTGATTTTTGTTCTGTTTCAGAGATCTGTAAGCTGGATGATATTTTACCTACAGTACGAAAGTTGAAGTTGGCAGCTAGTTAAGGGTTACTCTGGTCTTCTTTAGCAAGATCATCTTACCTGTGACAGAACACAATGGTGCCTATGACATGACAGCTACCTCTATCCTCTATTACCCTAACCAAAAGACTTTTTACATAATTAAAAGCTGCTGCATTTTTCTTATTTTTCTTAATAATTTGTCATTTTAAGAAAAACCCACTATAACTCCAATCAGCCATCCTTGAAAGAGAACCGGTATGCTCTGTATCAGCCCAGGAAACTGAACCCAACCCAAGGCCAGATGTGCTCTAACCGCTAAGAATTTTGAATGCTGCTGACACAGTAAGCATGAGATAAAGGTGCTCTAACTGCATTAGCCATAACAGTTCCATCAATGGCCTGTGTTGGTTTGCTGGACAGCCTATTTTAAAATGTTGTTTACATTTTCAGATCAGTTTGGGATGTGAGCAGATTTTTACTGTGTGAGTTATGTATTGATGGTTATGGATGGAGGCAGACTAGATTTGTGTAATCTAAGCCAAATGTATTTGAAACTTGTTTGAGGTGGTGGTTTATGGGCTTCTGCCTAGCACAGATTTGAAGCTATATATTTCAAAAGTCAGTTTTAGAAAGGCATAGATCAAGATCATTATGCAAGACAGAAGTTTATTGTACAGAAACAATACACCAAGCTTCCAAAAATAGTTTTGGTATAATTTGCTCTGCTGTTAAGAAAGCTTACTTTACAAAATTCTGCTGTTCCTCAGGCAGAACACTTTACTATCAAGGTTTACAAGATTTTGAAATGTACTGCAATAAAGAACAAAATACGTTAAGGCATCACAAACTGAAACCTTAATGACTTGGTGAACTGATCTCCCTCCTCTTGGAAGCTCGTTATATACGTATCTGCAGCCACAATATGCCAAGATACTTTTGAACAGTGGAATAGCAATTACTTAGTTTCTCAAAAAACAGTTGCCATTAGAGTCTGAAACAGGTTCTTCCAACGGCTTCTGTAGCCTTCAGATGAAGAATGCCGTTTAAAATTTATTCTGTGAGAAGTACAAGGCTTTCATGTTAAAACAACATGAATAGGATCCTGGGGAAACGAGACTGCCAAGCAAAGTAATAACACTGAGCTGACACTCTGAAGGATCTCCAGGCACAACACTTCCTTAAGAGGGTATCCATATTTGAGGGTTCTCTGGGAGAGAGGTGCCAGAAATAGCAAAAATAAAGAACTCCTTATTGAGGGGCAATTTATCCCAATGTGGGGCGGTTTTGTTTGTTTGGTTTTTTTTTCTGAGTAGGATCCTTAAATTTACATGTCCTGAGCTGAAGACTGCTTCAGATTTGCAGTGACTGTTCAAAACACGTTAATTACAGGAGATATGTACATTCTTACAAAGTTGAAAAATCAGTAACTTATGTACATGAGAAGAAATCATGTTTTCTTGCTCCTACTCCTTGTCAGCTCATACCTGCAAGACAGACACAAGTAATTACAGTTGTTGCAGACTTTCTTTAATGTTTTAACTGGCACAGTAGGGAGAACTTGGGCTGCTTTATGGCCTGTGCTCCACAGGCACCATGGCAAAGGAGCTGCGGGGATGGGGTCAGCCTTCACCAGGAACTTGGAATGAGTCATTTCCTCCTGCTCTGTAATTGCCATATCCCTCTGTGAGGCACACAGGCAAGCAGGGCCAAGGGAACTTGGTTTTCCCATCCTGTCTGCATGGATGGCAGGCTTCTGGACTACCCGTGCTTCATTTCTTGGGCTCCATTGAAGCAGAAAGAAGGAAGAACTACCACTGTTAACTACAGACATAGAAGGGGGAAAAAAACCAAACCTTGGTTCTCAGTCTTTGCCTCATTCCAATGCTTAACTGAACCACAATGAACACACAAGCAAAATTGCAAGTGGCTTATTATAATAGTTGCTGTAAATGCTTTGTAATTAAAGTTTTATCATATATATATATATTGCTGATCAGACTATTAATTTAGTTAAGATCTTTATCCAAGTTAAAATTTATCACAAGGTTGCTTTAATAAACATAATTCTTTTACTTATGTTTCCCAGTGCCTTTCATGGTAACTTAAAATATGCTGAAGAGTATAATTGACATATTATAGTTGTTTCACAGGGCAGGTATTGCATAAGAAACTAGATTACCAGACAATTTAGATAAAACTACCAGATTAGCTCCAAGTTAGTCCTGTGTTTGTGGGTCATATGTTCTTGCTCGCCAAACCACAGGGCCCCTTTACCAGCACCCCAACAAGAGGTGCACAAGCTCCAGCAAAACAGGTGTCATGCTCTAAAAGCATGGAGATGAAAACTTACCACTGTGCAAAGCCTTTTATCAAGTCCTCCTGCGACAAGTCAATCCGCACCTTTAAAAAGCACATTTTCTTTCTGTGTATGTTATTCAGCATACAAATCGATTAGCTAAGCTAGCACTCCTCCCACATCAGACACACTTAAGGTTAGGCTCAAGGAGAAGGAGCTTCCTGAGCTCCCAGGACCTGGGCACTAGCCAGCCTCAGCACTGCCTCTGGCTTTCTTAGTATCACAACTTGAAGAAGTGATTCCGGTTTACACAGAAAGATTAAAGCACCGCTGGCAAATTCTGGGTTTAATCACCTGTCTTTCTGAGCTTGTGCTACTGGAGCCATTCCCCAATAAGGCAGCAGCAGATCCCAGGAAACACGTTTTTACTTAAGAAGCATACCTTTGAAATGAAGCAGCACACAAGTCGTCTGAGCCCATACAAGCTTCCACATGGGTACAGCCTGACTTCAAATGAAAATATGGCAGAAGAAATTGTTTCTGGATTGCTAGTCCTACTTCTGAGGCTTAGTCACTAGAACCATGTTTCAGAATCCTGCCACTCAGAATGCTCAGCTCTATTAAACCAGTAGAGCAGCTTTGTTAAACTTACTTTCCCCAGCTCCTTCCTGTCCTGTGAAATGAATGGCCTGCTGTTCTTCACCGCAACGTCCAGCGTCCTTTTCTTGACATCTTCCAAAGATTCAAAAAACTCAAACCTAAAAGCAAAGTTTGGAAAAGAGAGACTTAACAGTTAAAATCCTATAAGCACTGGTGGCCAGAGAAGGATGGTAATGAAAAGGCAATTTTTATTTGCATTGTAAGAAATCTCTTCCAGGCCTCACACAAGATTATGACACTGTTGTTCAGACTGCTCACTGTGCCAGGGGGAAGGAGGAAAACATGCATCCATGATGAGATGCTATTTACCATCATTTTCCCCCTTCGTGGAAGATCAGCATGTTTTCCGTGCAACCTGCATTACTCAGAGGAAGTAGCTGAGCCAACCCCCTAAGTTTACAAAGTCAGTTTAAACCACATGAAGAGAAGACAAAGGTTGAAATCTGTGGCAATTAAGTTCCTAATGGCTTCGACTCATGCCTCTGGCACACATCATCTGATGTCAAGTGAGTTTTGTCCACGCTAAATCACTGAAGTTCTGCCCACCTGAATAGCTTTTCCTCAAGTCAGAGTTGTAAAACAGGTAATGTGTTTTGGAGCTAAGTATTGCTCCACCTATTACACTTAATTGAGGATGTACAAGACACGTCAATACCGAGGATGAGGAAAAAGTGATGCTATTCTAACAGCTGTGCTGGCACAAGATCAGTGGTGTTACAAGAGAACAGTAATCCACCACTCTAGTGTTGAAAATGAAGTATTTTAAAATCTTTTCTCCGTTTCTGATCTATACTGACATGTATAGGATGGACCCAACATAGGAAAACTGAGCCACCCAGGATCAGCCAATATTCACGTACGTGTACTTTCCTCTAAATATGGGGTTAAAACAGCTTCTCAAAAGAGCTCTAAGCATTACTATGTTTGGTTTTATAGGAAACACAGTTCAGTGGGGGAACTGTGGACATGAGACTGTCAGAAAAGAGGTGGGAGCATTTCATTCTGCTCCCATCAGGTCTCGATGAGAACATCCATCTGTCTGTCTCAAGAACGGTCCGGTCCCAAAAGGCTTTGTATTTCTGCCTTTGATTTTTTGAAAGCTGTCAGAGAAGTGTCAGGCAAAAAAGTACAAACTGAGAAAGCGGCTTTGTGAAGCATCCAAATGGAGAGATTGCCTCTGCAATAACAGGGAGTTAAACATGGGTAGGGGGATGGCTGCGTGCAAAGCAACAAGTGCAGGCTGCCCCTGCTAGGATAGCAGAAGGGGTGAGAACAGACACTACCGCAGACAGACCAAGGCCAGCCCCAAGTACTTGCAATCACAAAGTGCTGGGGTTTTCCATAAGACCTGCAAGTGTCCACAAGACAATCCTTAGCAGCACCAGGCACAAACTTTCATGCATGCGCTTTCATTACATAGAGATCATAGCTATTTCAGCAACAATCATAATTAACATTTTCTTACTTCTCATCATATTGGGGGTTCAGAGTTTTTTTCTTAACAGAAGTCTTCTTCCTGCTTGTCCATCTTCTATCTGGAAGCAGGTATATACGAACATATGGATCTACTCCACGATTGGAAGAGGGTACTAAGTTTCTGTTAAAAGAAATACAATGCTGACAAGCAAGGCACATTCTTGCACTGTGTCTTCATATCTTCATACCTTGTCTCTCAGAATCAGACTAATCCTTCATGGGCCAGAAACATTTATCTTGGGAATTGGAACATAAGCAACTTGAAACAATGTTTTCACTACTTGAGTGTGTGGTCACTTCCTGGGATTCCTAAATTAATGTTAACAAATTCAGTCATGGGTATCCAGTCCTTGTCATGATGCCTATCATGACATTCCAAGGCATGCACCAGTTGTTGGTGCTGGTCAGAAGTAGTACTGGGTCAATGAAAGCTAAGCTACCTCTGCTGCACTCCATTGACCAGAGCTGGGCTTAGTGTGGCTGCACAGACTGAAGCCACCCAATGCTGGTGCATCTCAACTGGGCAGCTTACAAAGCACAAGGTTCTGCTCCAGCTTTGCTGACCATCTGACAAGCTCAGAGCTCTTTCCTTTACAGACATAGCAAGCAATTGTCAGCATTACCTGCAGCCATTCACCAGCACGACAAGACTCTGACGTATTGAAGCGTACCGCACCGTGAGCTGAATCTCTCCCAGAGGCATTTCAGTCCCACTGTAAGACAATTGCACAATCAAAGCTTTTAAACACAGCTATTTAACCGACCACACGCACAAAACAGGAGACAATGTTGGTGCTGCATTTTTAACTAAAACTGATTTTCATGGCACTGTTCTTTCTGCCATCCTAAGGTTTGATGTCCAGAAAGCAGCTGGACCACAGAGGTGCCACGGAAACAGCGCTCCTGGTGGTGCCAGCACTGCCTAGCCTGCCTTCCGTAACAAGTACCCCATTTCAGTCCCTGAGTACAAACAGCCAAAAAAGCACCTACGTGGCCTGCTGTAAGATGGAGCAGCAAAGTACAGGTGAGCACGTTACGCAGCTCCTTCAAGTATGTCAGTATTTGCAAAATGGGACCTTTTTTATATTTCATTCTGCATGTTATTAAAGTGGCTTCAAATCCAAAACCATTGCTTTAAAACGGTTTCTAAATGAGGCCCTGTTCAGAGCTGGAGAATTTGCCAGTCCAGAAATGCGAGACTGAGCAGCTGGAGCCGGGGTTGATGTTCAGGTTTATAACTGCCCTGATGCTCTCTTAATTGAGGTGGACCTTCTTTGCTACTTCAGCTCATTAAGGATTCTACTAACTCCATTCTGCATCCCAGGAAAAACAGACCCCGCTCTCCATCTTCCTTGACAGAGCCAACTACCTGCAGCCTCACACTTAGCACTGTGGGAAGGACACACACGTAAGAGCACCTAGTCACAAACACTTCGCTCACAGCATTCTGAAAGTCTTAAAAGTTTCTGGATAAAACACAGCATCCAAAACTTTAAGCAACCAGGTAATGCTTATTGAGATTTTATATTTTTACAGAAATGGGATATTCCGACTTCCAATACCCTTTTGCTAAAATCATGGGCATTATGGAACCAAGGATATTCTGTGCAAGAGGCTCTTAAACAATATAAAGCAAACATAAGCAGCATCTCTTAGGAGAGCCAGAGAAGGAAACACTTTCACTTTACACCTGAACTGGTAGTAACCTCATAATTTACTTTGCTGTTGACTGGAATACTTAGGTCAATTCTTCATAAGGTGATTTGACACAAAATTCCAAATGACTTAGCAGTCATGAATTCAACCATATACAACAGCAAACTATAAACCCTAAACCTTTCCATACAAGAACAATTCAGCTGGAAGAACACCTACTTATGAAGTTCCAGATTGCTGCTACTTAATTCAAAGCAAGAAGAAGGCAGAGAACCCAGCGAAGCAACACTGGGCGCAAGCCTCAGTTCCTGTACGACTGGCAGTGTGGGTGCTACCGCTGCTCTGCTATGCAGTGCTGATGATGTGTGATGCTCTGGATTTTGGCTGTGCTCTGCCTCATCAGGGCCAACAACAGCTTCGTTTGGTACCGATGCTGCTGAACTGTCCTTTGTGTCCAGGTCTTCTCTGCTGTCCTTTTTCAGCAGGGATTCAGGTGCTGCAGAGTCTTTGCTCACTGGAGGTACTTCTGAGACTTCTGGGTCTGGTGCGGAGACAAACTTTTGCTGGTTTCCGCCCTTCTCAATGACACGCACAGGTCCTTGCTTTGAGGCACTGACACCAGCCTTGACTCTTTGTGGATTGGGTTCTTCAACATTCAAGGTCTAAAAATCACAGGGGAGAGAAATGAGTGCTGCTCCCAAAGCACCAGGGTTAATGTGAGCATTATGGCCTGGGATGAAATTTCACCACAAAACTGTAACAGCATGAATCTGCCATTGGAAATGAAAGTTCAAGGCCTATGGGATTAGCTGTGGTGATCCCTTCCCTTGTCCTACTGTGTACGTATTTAACGCTGTCTAAACACTAACGCAGAGCACAATGAGAAAACAGTTCCTAAGCATCTGCCTCCTTTACTGTTTAGCAGCTTTGATTTCACCAGCTTAGATTTTTCTCAGTCCAACTCTTTATTGTTATGAGAAGGT